ACTGCATGTAAATGCTTCATCGCAAACGGTTCGTGGGTCTATGTCTTCGAATCTTTGGATATAGCGCTGACTTTGCTATCTTTCCTTTCTGATCTACTCTTTGTATGCGATACAATGTCGTTACGCCCTGTGCTACGCCCTTGTGCATTGCCTGATATGTCCTGCGATTCCGGTCATTTGTTCCCTCCATCTCCTTCCTTACGTTTTTGATACTGCGTCATTGATACTGCGTCTGTATTCGTACTGAAATCGTACTGAAATCGTATCATGTACGGCATTTACCGGAACTTCGGGTGCATCTGACATCTCCTTCGGATGCATCCGTGTGTGCTGACCGTTCATGCGCGCGTCAACGTTGGATGCATCTGAAACTTATGGATGCATCCTTCGGGTGGTAGAGCACCGGTGACGGATGCATCCAAACTACTGAAGTTGCTCACCGCCTGGAAGGACTCGGACATGCGCCAGTGGCTCATCGACCACGGCTACCTCCGCTCGGACGCCCAGAAGACGCGCGACGACCTGATCAAGCTCATGCAGGAGAAATACAACGATGCGTCTTCCAAGACCGCGGATTACTTGACGTGGCCCGACGCACGCCTGCGCGCATACCTGCGCGAGAATGGCGTGCCCGAGGCGTCCATCCGTCCGGCGTCGCGTGATAAGCTCCTGCAGGAGGTCCGCATCCGGTGGTACCAGGCCGAGTGGCACGCGAGCTCGCTGTGGCGTAAGGTGAAGTCGTACTTCGATTCGGGCGTCGAGGTCGCCGAGGACAAGCTTGGTATGATCCTCGAGATATTGAGCGGCGGCGCCGACGGTGCCAAGGAGGGCGCCAAGTCGGGTGCGTATGAGTCGGCGGAGAAGCACCAGGAGACGTCGAAGGTCGAGTTGTAAATTCGTGCCGGTACCCCATGATGACTACCTAGTCCCGAAAACTTTCATGATATCACGAACGGACTGGCGGATTGTCGGTCTCTGTAACATAGCATCTTCTGACGATTCGTAGTCACTACTGTCGAACTTACGTGTATGAATGATGTGTAACTCGAACCTTATCAAATTGTAATACCTGTTCAATAAATTCCGTGGCTTCACCTGCAAGCCCGCCCTTTACCTGAAACCGTTCGCCGAATGTGAAGTAGCGATGGGAAGAGTCATCAATAGTTCAGACAGCCGGAGTATTCATGTTCTAGAAGATTATAACTGGGCCGAAAAGATGAGAACGTTTACGATTTCACGCAACTGGCTACGTAGCAGGCTGCGTAACCATCGCCAAGCTCTGTGAGTATGCAGCCACGCAGTCGTGTAACTGCGCGTCAATTGTAAGCTGTAACTGGAGCGCCCTCCGGCAGGAGTTTGGCGAAGGGCAAGGCTTAAGTCTATACATCCTGCAAAGCCCTTGAGTAGACTCGTTGAGCTCGCGACGCTGGTACGAGCGCATCAGCGATATGAAAGAGAAGGTGAGAGGCTTGTGACACGCACATGTTCGTTGTCGTGATGCTTACGCCTCTGTAGATGGAATGTGGAGATGCGCTATGAGCAGGTGGCCCCCGCAAAGAGAAGAAAGCCTAGTACTTCGGCAAGCTATGATTCATAATGAAGAGCTATGAGATAGTAGTTGTGGATAAGGGATACGTAATGGACTCACCAGACAAGTCAAGATGTTGGAAAGGTGACACATGAAGAGAACCCTATCGTGATCACCTGAGCATCTCCCCCAATGTATAAAATGGGAAGTACTTACCGAGTGCTACAGCAGAGGCGATGCGGATGATGTAATTCGACTGCAGACTATAAGTTGGGGAACCCAGTGTCATTGTCGATACAATTGGTGTGATATCTGCAAGACTTACATAGTGAGCTCTTCGGAAGTCATTTCGCCTAGGTTTCCCTCTGTGGAGAAGGCAGCGCGACCTGCGCGATGAGAGAGTGAATGGTGACCAGGAACTCGGGCTGTCAAGTGTTGATAGTTAAATAGTCGCTGGACGTCGCATTGAATCGGATACAAGGAGAGGACTGTGTATATCCAGTTGCCCCAGGCGGGCTTCACTGTGATGAACATCGATGTTCTGTGGGCAGTTCAGTGGTCATTGATACATATTGATAGATGGGCATGCGCCGCTGCGAATACCGTCACAGACGGAAGATGGTCATATTTTGCTCGACAGGTGATCTCATCGAGAATAGAAGTTCGTGTCTGATGTTTGGCGTTACGACATGGTTTTGAGGAGCATTGAGAGGAGAGGATTGTTGGCCAGAAGAGCCTTGGACGAGATGAAGTCGCGGATGCCGGAAGAGATGATAGAGCCCGAAGAGCAGACCTATTGTAATGCAAGTGGCACGGCTTGCACGGTAGTCACTGTACAGCGAAGTATGACGCACTGGTTAGGCAACGTTCTGATAGAGATGTGAACAAACAGGCCGGAGATGTCCAAGTTTGCATCTGCCACGACAGAGATGGTGAAGCCTTATCAGAGCCGCACAAATGTCACAGCTAAGTACAAACACTACATAACGGCCTGGGAGTTTATCACGGATACAGCTTGAGAGCGCTTACAGCAGACACGTAGTCGAATACTAAGGTTTCCCTCGACCGTGTCATGACTACCACAAGCGGTTCAATGAGCAATGAAAGGGATCGTTGGGGGACGTCGGTAGATTGTCAGTGCACACTGCGATAAGCGAAATCAAAGGTCCCAAGCGCTGTTGTTACCGAAAGCGGACATCGATTCCCCTCCCTCATGGCACGACGGGGACACGACGGGCATTGGCGAATGTCCCGGACCCGAGCCAGGACAGAGAAATGCCAATGCCCTTCGTGTGGGAGCCGTCCATGAACCGAAAGCGGACAGGCTTCCACTTCTGTTTGCAGCTAAGTGATGGACTCCGCCTCCGACGTTCAAGACGTTCAACACAGGTCCTACAGACTCATTGGGCGGACATTCAGCTCTCCTGAGCTCACACGATGCGTACACCGGAGCAGTGAAAACCTCTTTCTTGGGATAAACTAGTCTACTACTTGGTACGAGCGATGAACAATGATTGTACTATCGTGTACTGATAATCTCCGCACTCACCTCATATTCTGCAGCCTGACTACGCCTACTCTAAACATCCACAAGTGTCAGCGAGCATGAGGTGATGTGAAGGCGCACCAGACAGTTCATTCAGCTGCATTGGCAGATCCCGGTGCGCGCTGCCCAAGAACCTTCAGTCAGCGTTCCAGCCAAGACGCATGCTGCGATACACAGAGACTGACCAGTTGAAGGCTCAGCCTTGCAATGCGCCATGCCCTACTCCGCACAATCCGAGTCACCCGTCCCTGACAGGTGACTTTTCCGGACAGGCGTTGACTCGTTCACCGCTTCCCTTTAGCGTGGTGTTTCGCGGCAAGGAAGGGAAACGAGCCTGAGTAGAACACGACGCGAACGTCGACCGCCACCAGGTGGGCTTACTATCGACGGGGCGGCTGACACCTTGTATGCACCATGCTATTGTGGATATGGCGTTGTCAGGTGGGCAGAGCCAAGGTAAGTGATAGCACGTACGTGTTTAGGGGAAGTGCCGTACAGGGGGAGTACCTCCGATGATGGCTGAGGAGAAATAGCTGAGCGCGAGGAACAGAAAAAAAAGGGACGTGATGACATACATCGTCGTACGGAGGTACCCGTGATGCCCGTGCTCTTCATGAGAAACAGAGCGGACAAGCGTTGGAGAAGCATCCCAGAACAATCAGCCCTCACGTCCAAGCGTACGACCAGTGACCCGACATCGAAGTGCACCGATGTGGGTGATCAGCGCACCTAGAGAGGAGAGAGGGAAGTGAACATGGGGGTTCTGAGGAAAGAGTGGATGGGCGCGGAGGGTGGTTTATATACGCTAGGGGATGGAGGCTGGCGATGATCGATGGGCACCATCGGCGCGCTGATATTCGGGTCACCTCTCTAAAGTTTCACCGACGCCAAAGAGGGCTCGGGTGAGTGTGATGTGTGAAAAAGGCCGTATTTGGGACTATATCGCCCGATCTTCTGCACGACAGCGTTGTTTTTGTTTCACGAGGAGCAGTTGTGAAAGGGGGCAATCTTCGCGTGAGCAGAAGCCACTCCGCAAGGGATTCATTGTACCTTTTTGCTGCATCACATAATGTTTCTTCCATTTCACGATCGTCTTTGCTCAGAACGAATGTCTTGTTGACTCCGATGACCAGCTTTCTCGTGATGTGCTCGACAGTCCGCACGTCCTGAGTTTCAGATAGATATTATCGACGATAAAACCACTACAAGACTACAAGTGCGTAGAATCGACGTTTCCGACCATTCAATGCATAGTGTGTAGATCCAGATGTGAACATGCCTGCTATGGCTTAGAAGCTGGACGTACCTACGAGCAACGTATACACGTCAAAGAGTCAGATGTACAGGGACACGCACCTGTCCTGCTGTCCACAGCGTTGGAAGATACTGGCGAGCGCTGTCCAGCCAATGTCCGTTAGCTTCTTGGCATAAGACCCAGTTTCTCCCCATCGCACTCACCATTCGGAGGCTCAGCCTTGCGGTGCGACGCGTCCACTCCGCACAGTCCGAGTCGCCCATCCCTGACAGACGACTGCACCGGACAGGCGTTGGCTCCCCTTTATCCACAGCCACGGTATTTTACGGCAGGACGAGGATAAGCCCGAGTGGGACGCGCCGCGAACGTCGATTGCCACTAGGTGGGCTTACTATCGACGGGGCGGCTGATGCCTTTTCGCATATAACGTACTGTTACCGGGACGCAGTGAGCAGGGATCGGACAACGGATACACGCGAACGTACGTGGTCGCGAACCAGCCATTTAGTAAGAAGCTTAATTCTCTGAGGCGGGAGTCGCCCCACAGTACTGAAGCAGCAGTCTATGCGCCACGGCCATCAGTGGCTGACTCTGCATTATGTGTGGAAAGACATACCAAGTATCGCTGCTAGTTGACATATCCCAGCTCGCGACCTTCCCTCGCAACGCAGCGTACGACCAGCGACCCAACATCATAGTGAGCTGATGCGAGTCGCCGGCGCACCTAAATGGGGCGTGGAGAGAAGGAAGAGAACATGGGGGTTCTGAGGGAAGACAGGATCCATGACGCACGCAAGGGTTCATATACGCTCGGAGACGTCGGAGGCTGGCAGTGTTCGGCGGTGAACACCGTCACCTCATTATTCGCCTCTGCCGAGAACTGATCAAGCGATCAGCCGTACTCGGGCACAAATTGCCCGTCCTTCTCTACCTAAGGGCTTCTCATCCAGGATGGAGTGATCGGTTGTGACAGTGTGCAAACGTCGAGGCGTCTTGAGGGCAGCTCCAGCGTGGGATGTTATGAGAACCGCTTCCCATACCTGCATACATTCATGCATTCTACAACAGCGCTCGAACGACGCCCATATGGTTCGTCAGTGCTACTATAGTGATGATGAGATATCTCACCATAACGACTTAGCTGGGGAAATTGTGTCCTGTGACACCTAGGAATGGCCTCAATCGTGGGCAACGCCATCGAAGGTCCTTGCGTATCGACGAGTTCAATGATGACAACGAGTGTAACCTGATGTTGAAGGTAAGTTTCGCTCAGTGACTACCTAGCACGTTGGTAGACCCTGTTCAATCTGTCTGCGGTCGACATAGTAGCAGTAGTAGTGGCCCGGAGAGCAAATACATCTTATTCTGCGTCAGCGCTGCTATGTTGCTTGGGTCCCGACATCAATCGCGAAGATGGGGTAACCGCGCGCACGCCGCGAAAGTGCTCCGTCTGACCGATTCCTCATATTTAAGTACCCACAAACGGATGCACTCCAATCGAGTACACCGTCTAGGGTGAGAATCTGAGTATAGCGATGGTGTACCTGAGATTGCGCAGTCGGAATATGAACAAGTGAACCTTAAGCTTTAAGAGTCATGGGACTTCTCACGCGGAGGCCGCGCTATCTCAGCCTGCATGCGTACAGCGGTGCCTCAACCCGCTCCATTCCACCATTCGTTACGCGTCGCAACAACAGTCAAACCACTAATTGTATGGTGCGTTCGTTTCACTCGCCACAACGGACCAGGCGCCAACAGTCCGGATTATCAGCCGGGAAGTTGAACTCCACTCACCTTCGAATCCAGTTCCCTCCCGTACGTTCAAGACCCACCCACCCGACAAAAATGTCTCCCAACGCCCAATATGCCAAGTCTGGAAGGTCCGGAATGTTTGACGCATCACGAAAGCTCCAGCCTCGCCTTTTCAGATCTCTGGCGAAGAAGATAGTGAAGCCCTTCTCGGAAGTTCGTGCGCTGCTCGAGCCTTTAGTCAGGCGCGCCTGTCCATGCATCAGCACCTCACGCCCGAAGCCTACCTACGGGAGCCCTGTACCCTTCTCCCTAGGCGATGCCCTCGTCTATGTTGCTCCAGCGCCCATCGAGAAGCTCCGCGGCCGATCCGTCTTCCTCGCCGGCTCCATCGAGCAAGGCAAAGCCGTGCCCTGGCAGGCGGATATGATCCACCAGCTCTCGCACATCGAGTGCACGATCTTCAACCCGCGGCGAGACGACTGGGACCCGAATTGGGAGCAGCGGAAGAGCAACCCGCTGTTCAAGGAGCAGGTCGACTGGGAGCTGGACTGCCAGGAGCGCGCGGACGTGATCGCGATGAACTTCGACCCGAAGACGACGAGCCCGATCACGCTGCTCGAGCTCGGGCTGTTCGCGGACGCGCGGGCGGCCGAGGGCAAGAAGCTCGTCGTCTGCTGCCCGGACGGGTACTTTCGGAAGGGGAACGTGGAGATCGTGTGCGACAGATATGGGATCGAGATGGTCGAGAGCTTTGAGACGCTGGTGAAGAGGGTGCAGGAGAGATTGGCCGAGGTTGTTGATGTGACCGGAGAGATCAAGGAGCAGAGGCTGGAGAGTCCGAAGGATGTGTTGCCAACAGCGTAGAGGATAGTGAAGCCCCAGGTCTCGATGAGCGTCGCATATGGATGGACTTCATCCTGTGAGAGGTCGGCGCCACAGTACCAACACTGGCCGGTACATTCCGATACCGGCGCCTCTGACTGCGCAACGCCCGCGCGCTACCTCCTTCTCGATTAGCATGTACTTATTCGAGGCTGTATAGAGGATGGCCCTCTGGGCGGTCCTGGCCATGACTAGGAGATTGAAAATAGGGCTGGATGGTCAAGTGCGCCCTCCGAGCGCAGAAAATCCGGTGCGCTACTGCGTGCCTTGTTCTTTCCTGTTGCATAGTTCGAACTCAGTACATTCCAATGAGACTGACTCGAACACTTCTAGATTTGGCCAGCAAACATCCCTCCGCTCCGCTGCGGCCCCACAGATGTCCTATCTGCGCCGATAGCCATATTAGTCATAGAAGCAATCTGAACAGATATCCAGAAGGCCCACAAGTGGGGATATTGGTAACCAACTACCATACTAAAGGATCACACAGTACCGCAACAGTCAACCACGTCTCCGCAAAGAGCTCTGGAGTGTCAGAAGTCTCGATAAAACGTCCATCTGAAACACCTTCCCTGCCAGTGGTTCTTGAGCTTGAAGTTTACATTCCGGGTCCGTTATATAAGGCACTCTCGACTTGCGTTTGAGCAACGAACACGAGTGTCTCTCCTGTTGTCCAGATCAGACACAGGATGTCTTCTGTCAATTCTGCGTCAAAGTTTCGTGTTGCCATCATGTAAGCCTGCGCTTTACTCGTTGTACGATTCCTAGCTGATCACTCCTGGCAGTGGCGGCGGAATGGGTGGTCTAGTCCTCGGTCTGTGCCTCAAGAAGTATGCGTCGGACGTACGATTCGACATATATGAATCTGCAGCCAAGCTTACGGAGGTTGGGGCCGGCGTCGCGTTGTCCCCCCGTATCTGGACGATCATGCAAGAGCTCGGGTTGGAGGAAGAGCTAGTCAAGGTCACGGGTGCAGTGGACCGTGCTGGTTTGCTGCCGTCGATCAATGTGCGTGCGAATAATACTAATGAGAATCACGCAGGAAGCGATCTGTTGTTTCGGAAGGGAGACGAAGCGAAAGTGATCGACATTGTGAGGTTCCATCAGCGTACGTGCCGACCACATAGACAGGCCATTGTCTGACAGTGGGGTATCAGTGCACATGTTCCATAGATCCATGCTCCAGCGGATCCTAGCAGAGAAGCTCGACGCTACCGATAGGATTCACTTCTCAAAGCGCCTCACGTCTTACTCCGAGCCGACCTCCCCCACTGAGCCCATCGTTATGAACTTCAAGGATGGGACGACAGCAACCTGTGACATCGTTATTGGTAGCGACGGCATTCGTTCCTCCGTGCGCCGCACGATGTTCGCCAACCTGTCCGATGAATCGGAAAGGCACGGTCGGATCGAAGAGGCGTCGCGTTTCCGCGCCATGGTGGAGCCGATCTGGTCCGGTCATGTTACATACCGTGGTTTGGTACCAGCAAGCGACCTCTCCGAGGAGCTCAGGCAATTTGCGTCTACACCCCAGATTGTACGTGGATGGCTCTTCTGTGGGTCCGCAACGTGTTACTGACCCTCCACGTTTTCATTCATAGCTGTGTGGAAAGGACAGGGTTCGCCTCATACGTTGTATGTGTCTATGATATCGGATGGCTCACGAATTTTGTAGCATATTGTGTTGTATCCAGTGTCCGGCGGAGAACTTGTGAACGTCGTTTCTAGTGTGTACACACTTGGATCGGGTACAGTGTATGACGGACCTTGGGTAGAGACAACTACCTCCGAGAAAGTCGCCAAGTTATGCGAGGGATTCATTCCCAATGGTGTGGCCCTGATCAAGGTACGCCTCCATGCCAGTGTGCGCGTCTGTATGCTGGCATTGAGCTTATTCATACACTGCAGTCGATGAGGGAGCCTTTGTGCTGGGCGTTGCACACAGTACCCAAACTTACTACGTACATCAAAGGAAGATCTGCGCTCATTGGCGATGCCGTGCGTGAATAGCTTGCCATGTTCATGCCAGCTTCCTCATTTCAGTGATCACGGTTTCAGGCGCACGCCATGGTTCCATTCCAAGGCGCCGGCCTTGGACAAGCAATCGAGGACGGTTTCGTGCTTGCCAACATTCTCGCACATTCCTCTGTTGCATTGGCAAACGTGTCCGAAGCGCTCAAGATCTACGACGATGTCCGCAGACCGTTCTCGCAGACCGTGCAGCAAGGATCAGAGTGTACTGGGGAGCTTTACCAGCTGAGGCGAGCTGGCTGGGAGAATATCAGCGTCGAAGACAGCGCGGCCGGTAGGTACCCGCCTGAGCTGCTCAGTGACTTCGAAAAGGATGCAAAGGCGCAGATGGAGTGGCAATACGATCCTGGAGCAAGTATCAAGGGCGACATTGCGAAGGTTCTCAGTATGTTGGAGACCCTTTCCGCACAATGAAACTCCTCACGCTATACGTCCTTTTATGTTGGGTATGTAGGCGACACGGAGCGACCGAGTTATGTCTGGCTATGTACTGAAACAATGGAGTTGCTTCTGCGATCTTCCGACGCATACCAAGGAGCGACGCATCTGCATGCGGATAGCGAGAAGAGAACATGAGACAATGGAAAGTAGCATCAAACACCGCAACTGCAATCTTAAAGTAGATGCACAGAGAGATCCCTTAGATACGGTCGTGGTAACTCCAGCAGCTAAGAACATGCCCACCTCACGATGCGGCATCACTAAAAGCTCGGAGTGGCGTCCTCAAGGAACTCCCACAGCTTAGTACGGCCGGTTTCTTCAATGTATGTTTCTTTCTCGCCTCTCCAACACTAGCCCACGGGATCAGGTGCTTCAATGAAACAGCACTGCACCGAGAAGCACACCTTGCCACCCAGATCCGTACCCTCCGGCGTCGTGCCCGCATGCAGTTCGGTGAGCGCCCCCATTAGTGCCGGATATAGCAGATTCTTCTGCAATGGATGCGATGAGTACATCTTCACCGAAATTCACTTCTCCGGACAGCTTACCGTAAGGATAGCCTCGAACTTGGGGATGTGCCTTTGCAGGTCCGTCTGGAGATTACCTGGATGCAGCGAGACAGAAACGATCCCTTGGTCCGCATAACGTCGGTGAAACTCGTGCGCGAACACGACATTCCCCTGTAGATATGCGCACTATAGAGCACACATGAGTATCTGAGGAAGCACATACGGATGCTTGCCTGAGGGAACGCCGACGAGATCACTTACGAACTTGCTCAGCGAGTCGAGCTCCTTCGTCGTGCCTGCATTTAGGCGCTTGGGTCCGTCTCGGATCATGTCAACGTCGATTCCGGCAACGAAGGTGTGGCCCATGGAAGACGTGTTCATTACACGCGCCTTCCCGTCCGTCGAAGACTTGGCTGTCTCGATGAGGCGCAGGAGGAGGAACTTCGTGAGCAGGAAGTGGCTTGCCCAACAGCGCAGATGAGATGGGACAAAAGAGCTGAGTGCGAGAAGACGCACCGATCACGTTGGTTCCGAACTGCAGGTCGAAACCGTCCTTTTTGACCTGTTCGACGGGAGGGTACATAACTCCGGCGCTATTGAAGAGCACGCGGTGTTCTTGGCTGGGGGGACAATGTCAGTGCCCACCAGGACCATAGGCTGATAATACGCGCCTCATGAAGAACTCAACCGCGGGCGGAATCGTGCTCAAGTCTCCGAGGTCGACCTGCAAAAAAGCGCCTCCTTCCCTTTGTTGTTGATTGTACCCATACCGTTATGAAGGCGCTTATACGAAGGCTGAAGTTGATGGTCTGACTCGGAGCGTCGTAGCTCAAGAGTCAGCCTCTGCCTAAAGCCTGGGCGAACGCTGCGAAGGTATGTGATAGGAAATTTTATCCAATTCCTTGGTGGTAGACGCAGGGCATATCATCTGTAGGTCGTTACTCAGCACGTCACGCCATCTCGTACATACATCTGCAGGTATGCTGGTCCGAGTCTGTCATATCGCATCACCCGGAAGCACATGCTCAGAAAGCTTCGGGTTCCAATGTTCTTCATCTCCGTCTCTACTTGACGTGTCGATATGGAGGATGTTTGGCTCAATGGGGGATGCTGACTGACGATCAGCGATTGCATGACCAGATGGGCGTCAGGTCAGATACAACTAAATTCTGGGCAGGAGTAAGCATATGAAGACCCACCGGAGACATAGCTCTATTGTGCTCTCGACAATCTGGCCTTTGAAATTGTGGATAGCGGCTGGTATGCTCTTCCGTGTCCCCGAGAGTGCCAAGAGACTTTCGGATGTTGAGGCTGACGACATTTAGATCAGAATGCCTGGAGAGGATCCGATGGATCAATAGTTACGCCACCAAGAATGTATTCGCGTAGACTGGTCTCGGCCGCATCGTAGACTCATTAGCGGTAATGTTTTATTCAATTTCAAGGGACGACTCACGTTTCAGCAGGATACAAGAGGTTGTCGCCCAAATAAACGTTTTCGACCACGCAGCCGACTGCAGATAAAACGCGGTCAGCTATGGGTTACTTCCAGGTCTGTGCGAGTCTACGTACGCAGATTACATTAATGATGTGGAAGAAGCTATATGGGGGAATTATAGATAGTTCAATTTGCGGATTGGACAGAAGTGGAAGTCGTAATGCGCACCACGTAATCAGGCCTGCAGCAATATGGTCCAGTCTGGCGCAATGCTCATACCCACAACGCTTAATCGTACTCACCTGTGCTAAGCACGTAGGCTATCAAAGTGTCCAATATTGAGTTGGACCTGGAGTTGCGCATCAGGCATCTCTCACATGGCTTCGGGTTCTATTGGCGGGACTCACCGACGGAAGCCAGTTCGATGTCGGCGGAGTAGGTAAATTAGCGTGCTTGTGATCATCATGTCTGCCACCATCTGAACAGCAGATGCGACTGATATGATCCACTACCACGGAGATCTTGTGTCATTGACACATCACGAAAGCGAGGGGCAAGACGCACCGCTGAGCCATATAGACTTGACACGCTCGGTGCTTGGAATCTGTCAGTAAGCGTTAGAGCGGGTAAGGTAGCTTGTCTCGTTGACGGCTGCAGCACGGACAGTTTGACGGACATCGCTGTGAGGCATAGGAGAAATACTTGAGAATGACTCGAGTTTGCGAGTTGTGCTCAGAGCCCTCACCAACGAAGCAGCCTCATCATCATTAATGATGAGTTTCTCGGGCAGGATGCTCATAGTATGTGATGCTTACCGCAGTATCCTAGAATCAAGACCATCTGTACGGACCCTCGTCATACACCCAAAGCTGCCGGTCGGTGGGAGTGTATCAGCGGACTCACTGCAATTGCTACGACTGGGCGAAGTTTTGAAGAGACTACCAACGGGTGAGCGACGTATACTCCGTCTCATGATGGTACTTAGGGATCCACACTCTACGAGCGAAAAAGCTAGGGCAGGATGATATTAGCTATGGCACGTAAGCCTTCCCGACAAGGAGGGCCGTCTCATACACTTGGGAAACTAGGCCAGTTATGGACTAATCCCGCCAGTCAGAGTTCGCAGGGAACGTGAGTCTCGGACTTCACGCTACTCACACCCACTCCTGGTAGAAGCTGTAAACGTACTCAATGGAGGTCAGGTGGGAAAGATCGGAAGGTTTGTGGTGCTTACGCTGACAGACCTGGATGTAATGTCAGAAGAAAAGAACGAAAACTTGTGCGCCTGCATGCTCACCAGACGGGAGGTAGGATATCGAAAGCGCCAGCGTCCCAGTACTTAGTGATGGCATAATAGTAGCTGTTGACGACTTTCGTTAGAGAGGCGAGTACACGAATGTACAAACAGAACAAGGCGTACGTGGTGTGCATCACCATGACTGTGGTGAACGTCTCGAAAACACTATGCAACGTTTTGCGTTTTAATAATTATAATGCCAATCCGAAGACGTCATGTCCGACGCACAGCATTATGAGCACCTGCGCAGGTCCAGTTTGCGAATTAGCGTAGCTTTCGGGTAGGCCGAGTACGGTCATACCCAGATCCTGAGGAGTCGGCGATCATCAGGGTACAGTCGAAAGTAGAGGTACGCTTGAAGAAAGAGAAACCCGCTGAGGCTGTATGCAACATGTCAGTACTAGACACTACATTTAGACAATACAACTCACATCAAAGCAAAGAAGGCCCCTAGCAGCCAGGCTCCAAGCGTATTGTCGACGGGGGCGTGGGTTATAGTGCACTCAGCGTTTGAACAAGCTGGAGTCGACATCGAAAGCAAAGACGGGGGAGGTGGGAAGAGGACGAGCGCAAAGGGTGTTCTACCGTCATGTGAAGGCCACCTCATGATAGAGTTACGTTCTTGGCGCATGACGCTACGACGAAAGCTGGATATAAGAGTGTACTGCATAGCTTGTGAACCTTGTCGGCCATCGGAATTCCGGTGCTTTTTTGAGACGTGGAAAACCGTCTTCAGTGAAACTGCAACCTCCACACCTTCCTTCTCCACCCAAGTAAGCGATACGAAGGAGATTCGAAGACGCGGATGGGCAAACCAATGTCGAGGCGAATTTTCAATGGTCCTCGATGCAAAAATCCATCCGTGGAAAGTATTACTCTTTGGCGAAATGCTGTCATGGAAGGCTGGGTTCTACTCCCACGCTGCCAAAACAACGGGTTTAGCTGTTATTGTTACGTCTTCTGCGATCGCGGTCACAAGGCTAGGAGCCATGGTCCCCAATGAAAGATGTCCGCCGTTTCCTCATGATAAGGGGAGTCGAAGTGGAACTCGAAGCGCTTCGCAAGCTGATCCTGTGGAAAATTGAAAATCGTATAGGATACCAACGATTTCGAACCTGCTTGATGAGGGACCCACCACCAGCAAATCAGTGCAATTGCCTTCGGAGGAAGGGCCTCGAGGTGCCCAGAAGCATGAATATAGGCAAGGGAGATCTGCCCTGTCTTTGCACCAATTGCACTGAGTTTTCGAGAGAAAGTCAGCACACGGTCCTCGGCGATAGACAACGTGGGACTGACTCCGAATCAGCCAGCGAGCGACAGGTGAGCTAACGTCGTTTCAATGGGTCGTGTCAGTCACATTTTGCGAGCATATTACTGCGGAAGTCGCTTGGGAGATGGAAGGCGACAGACTGCACCAGCACCATACCACGGGGTGCTCGATTTGGTATATATCCACGAACGAGTACCTGGAGTCCAACTGACTACATCGACGTGGGTAGGGGTTCTAGAGCAAGCTAGGAGCCCGCTTGCCACATCTGACAAACCTACTCCAGATTGTCTACTGATTGAACGAACTGCCCTTCACTGCAGAAAGCCAAGCCGTATCGGCATGAGGGAACTATGATATATTTCAGCAAACCTCATCAAGGTGTTCTACCCGGACGGAATCGCACCTGATACGTCATAACGCCGGCATTCCAGCCCTGACCAACTGCTTGTGCGACGCAAGTGCCGAGAGCAGCAGGATCCATGTATCCGCCATTAGTCATGTCCTGCGTACTCGCAGGTTTGCCGATGACAATCTTGCTCTGGTCGACACCATGGCCCAATATTTCGAAGACTGATGAGCCCCCGGCGTTATACAGAAGGGTGTCGCAATTCTCGTAGCCAGGATCAGGAGACTCTGCTTGGGGCCGTAAGCATGGGGCACGATGAATGTCATTGAACGGACGAACGGTTGTAGAACTGGATGTTATACTAGAGCAAGCGTCAGGAAGTAAAAAAAAAAAAGCGGCAATCGGGAATGTCAAGGCTTACCCAGTCGATGAGATCACCGACGTTCTGATGAACTGTAAGATAGCACCCGCCCGGACAGAGATAGGGCTCGAACCAGGGTGCGACAGCTGCCATTAATGAGAAACAAAGTGCCCTCATTAAGTCATTACGTCTCTTTCAACGAGACGGGATGACGCACGTGCATGCGAAATGATGAACTGCCCCTGTGGAAGCCGCGCCCTCAACGCCTGGGTGAACGTCGACACCCACGTCTCGCCGACACCGGCCTGGGAGCGCATGAGCTCCAACTCCTCGTAGTCGACGTCAACGCCGTCCAAGTTGTTGTCCAGCACGAACTGCGCCATGGTGCCCGCAATGGTGGTCGGGTCCAGCCCGTTGGTCGTCGGAAGGTCGTTGGCTCCGAACGCCGCAACAACGAGGGAGACACCCGCGGCGTTGTACTGGGCCTTGAGTTGCTGGCGCTGATCGATTGGAAGATCAGCCCATCTCTTTGCTTGACCGTATGGGCCATCGCATTGCAGGAATGCCAGGTTCCTGGAAGGCGAGCCTGTTAGTTGGGAAACCGCGATGGGGACGCGATGACCCACAGAACATTGAATCCCTGTATCTCGTAGAGGGGTGGAAGAACGCCCTCGTCGACCGCGGAGGCTGAATAGACGACGAACTTCGGACCGCTTGGAATGAACCCGTCGCGGCGTTGCAGGTTCGCGGACGAGGCAAGGATGCAAGATACCAGCGTCGAGCAGGAAAGGAACGCGGAGAGAAAGCGAATGGTCATATGAAGGAATGGGGTTTCTTGGCGCGTTGGCCAAGTGTTCTGAGAATGAAAGTGAGCGAAGGGTAAGAATAATCAACCAGCCGGGCGCAGCAACCAGTGCTGTATTGTCCAGAGAAAAGGGTCAAGGGGATTCTCGAAACAGACACTCGTATGTATGCAGGACTGTCAGCTCTGGTCAGCCACTTCTTGAAGGACACGATGCGGTCATGTCTGCCCTGTATCGTCAGCCGCAGGTCAGCCACACTATCTGTCAGCCAACATCGACACTGAGACGGCCAGAGCTGCGTACGACTACAATCGCCCTGTGGATTGCGACACCCGTTTGTGATTAGTAGAGAATAAGCACCGATGTCGTATTAACCTGCCCGTAGTGGGATCCTAGCGTGACATGTTATTATCTCGTAAGATATAACGTAAGACATACCACAGCACCCCGAACCGTCACTCTGTATCCTTCCTCCCATCGGCATTCTACTCATCCCCTTGCTCTTCTGGATCCGTGACTGGTTTCGCACGTAGCGCCGCATCCTTCCTTCTTTTCAACGCGCCTTGGTACGACATGCACACATACTTAATGTACCCGATACTCTCCCGATCGCCGACCGCGACGAGCCGGTGGTGCAGCACCTCCAGCTCAAAGAACGACAGCGACGGGGGCACTGTATCGTCGGGCACTTCCGTGGAAGACAGCATGCGCACGACCGGACGGGGGGCGGTGAGGAGGATGCGCGTCGAGCGGAGGGCGTGTTTCGGGTTCGGCTTGCTGACCTGGCTAGGGGGGTACCGGTCGACGAATTGCCTGACAAGGCGGACCGCCTCGCGGTGGTAGCCCGTCCTGCGCGCGCACAGCAACGTCAGCATACGAGGAGACACCAGGAGAAGGGGAAGGAGAAGGGATGCACTCACAGGGAGAGCACGCGAATCATCGCCACGTATGCCCTCTCCACTAGTCTCGCGTCAACCCGCGCCTCGTTGGCCCCTTCCCTGCGCCACCACGCCTCCTCTACCGGGGCCCACCCCGCCCAAGCCTCCCGCGCGAACTGCAGCGCCTGCTTGCGCTCCTCGCGCCTCGCGCGGCCCGCGCGCTCCAGTGCCTCGATGTACGTCCATGCGTTCCGCTGCACCCCGAGCTCGGAGAAGACGGTGCGGTAGAGGTGCGGGCCTGCGTCGAAGAGCGCGTGCGCGTAGTGTACGGAGAGGTACGCGTTGAGGAGGCGCGGGGTCGGGCGGACGTGCTGGAACGCGTGCGCTATCGCGTCTTCCGCTTCTGAGGTGTGTTCCGCGTCGTCAGAAGCCTGGCGGAAGGGAGTAACCACATAGCGGAGGACGCGAGCGAAGAGCGCCTGCGCTTCGCCGAGGACCTCGGCGTGGCTCTGCGGGAGAAGGGTCGAGAAGTGGGTTGTTTCCGTCTCCACGGGCGATTGTGGATGCTCTGGAGCGGCCTCTCCCTCCTGTGAAGACACGTTCGCAGTTGCTGTCGACGTAGCTTCGCCCTCCTGCGGTGCGGGCGCACCCTCGGACTCCGTAGGAGCAGCCTCTGCGCTTCGTGCCTCGGCCTCTAGAGACACAGTTGCTCCCCCATCTACCGCCTCCGTCGGTTTGTCCCCGTTCCGCTCAACCAGAACGACATCAGAACGCTTGAACGGCGGCCTGTACGCCGCATACGCATGGAACACATGCGTCAGGATCTCCTCGTCCACTGCCACCCCTCCCCTCCCGCCCTCGCGCAAGCATTCCGCGACGATCTCCGCAAGTATCCACCGCACCTTCGCAAGGTCCCCGGTGCGCTTCGCGCCCTCCAGCAGCGCGCAGAACGTCTTGCGGTCAGGGCGGAACGCGGGGTTCCCGTACGCGTCGCGGTGCCCGTCCAGCATCTCCTTCGCGAGGCGGAACGCCTCGCCCACGTACAGCTTCTCCCCCGAACGCGCGCACGCGTAGATCGCGGCGGTATACGCGGCTGCGGTGGGCGGGATGCGCTTGTCGACCGTCATCTCGGTAAAGAGGTCCAGGGCGCGGGCGGGCTGGGGTGCGATGACGCGCGAGGCGCACGCGGAGATCATGAGCGTGTAGAGGAATGCGTCGGGGGTCGGGTGCGCGACGTAGCGCATGTGTGCGAAGAGGTCCCAGGCCTGCGCCTCGCCCACGGAGGAACGGAGCGAGAGGAGGCTGGAGATGAGGCGTGTGTAGGTGCGCTGGGGAGCGGGGAGGTTGCGCGATTCGTAGTCATGGATGAGGGACAGGGCCTGGGTGGGGAAGGTACGCGGTGCGAGGGCGCGGAGGTGCGCTTTGATGTGGAGGTTGCGAAGAGCGGGGGGAGGTGAGGGGCCAGCAAAGGTGGCGAGGAAGCGTTCCGCGCTGGGGACGTCTCCTGCGGAAGCGTAGACTGACATGACTGTCTCCAAAGCAATATCCGGCACGTTCGAGCCAGAACGCTACCAAAGCGTGAACAAAGCGCACCCACAGAAGTTTGGCACAACGCACCTTCATGAGACCGACGACTGTCTCGGCAGCTGCTCCATCGTGCCCCTCCACACAAACACGGACCAGAGAGACCCATTGCTCGTCCGAGAGCAGAGAGACTTCCACGGGGAGTGCACCTGAGGGGTCGCGGAGGGGCTCCAACGCCTCAACCATCTCGATCAGCTTGGATATCGCTGCCTTGTACTGAGACTTCAAGTCTATCGCGATGGCGCTTGGATCTTCTAGCGCATACAGCGAGTGGACGGTGCGGCGAACGATAGCTTCATCCGCTCGCTTTTGTGCTTCCAAGTCTACGACCTGTCCTTGGGTCTGCAACGGGACGGCAAGCAGATCCTCGTACATAGAAACGAGTTCCTCATCGGAGTATGTCGGTGCCATCTCTGCGGCTTCTGGCGCCTGCAGTATTGACACGACAAGGTTACGCTGGCGAAAAACAGCAGGACACGGTAGGTGCGTACCTCGGTCACCGGTGCCTCTTTCAGCTCTGCTATACGCTTCTCCAGTTCTGTCACTGCTTTGTCTTGTGTGTATGGGAAGAGCCCAGCGTACTCCAACGGGGAGAGCTTTTGGCGAGAGATCTGCCGCCTGGAGGGAGCTAACGTGAGTTGCTGCACACGAGCACAGCGCTGCGCGACATACCGGGAGTAGAAAGAACGACCGTCTTTCTCTAGCGGTAGGTAATCGCTCGATGCCATTTCAGTGAAAGACACGCTCTGGTGAGCGTATCGTTTGCCTTGGATGGAGGCATTGCGGCGAAGGGACTGGTAGGCGAGCGTTTCCAAACGTGCAGAGGCCCGGGAGAGTGTAAGGTCCAAGAGCGCGTGCGGAAGGAGGGCTCCAGACATAAATCGAGTAGGATACGAGGAGCAGGGAGACAAGAGGACGAGCAGGAGAATGAGGTCGACGTCGAGGTCCGCTCGCTGACACGGCCCCGCAGAGGACCGAAGCTACGAAAATGTGACTAGGCGCCCATGGGTGGACCGCTCGTGGGAGATAGATTCCTTTCTGATGCGTCTAACAACGCGGTACGGCTGCCTCGTTGAATTCGACATTTATACAGACCTACACATCCCCAGCTTTCAAGTTGCCACATCGTTGTGGACAACAGGGGCCGTAGGTTCCCAACTACGGTGCCACGGCCCATGGTCTATACGCTGCGGTCTCAAAACTGCTTGCGAGGCCTCGGTGCCGCTCAACCAATTGAATCGAGAAAGGAAAGCCTCTTGCCATTTTAGTCAGGAAGCCCCCGCCCAGTGGCATGCCAGCCTGCGCGCCCGAAGGCATATATAAACCCCATCTCGAACATATATGCTCTTCACAACCCGCCACTCATCCCATAAGACAGCCCTCATCTCAGGCACCTCGTCGGCTGGAATTCAACGTGAGTCACCCTGCTTGACATCTTCTAACCACACCCTCACTTGACGCCACTCTCTTCTGAAGATGCTGGTTCGCCTCTGCCGCTCTGCTCTGGACGCCCATTCGTTGCTATTCTGTTCGAAAGCGTGTTTCGTTTGAGTGGTCTTCGGCTTTGCCTTCGCTTGTGTCTTGTTCCTAGTGCGGCGCTGCTGTGGCGACTCTTCTCGGTACCTAGGCGATCTCTCAAGAAACTCAACACCACTGTGACTGCTAACGCGACTACAACCGCTTGCCAAGACATCAAGATGGAACTGGCCTTCGGGAACTCAACAATACTTGGACTTAGTCTTGTTCTGGTTCGTGTTTGTGCCTCTCTTTGTGTCCGTGTCGGCATTGTGTCGCTTTTGTGTTAGCGTTCCATGTTGTCGTTGCGTGGCGTTCGTCGTTGTTTAGGCTCTAAACGGAACAGGGATGCGCAGCTGAGGTCTCGAGCGTACGAAGGGACGCGTCTGGCCACATGATGCCACGTCCCCGGGGGAGTTTTGGCCGCTACTGTCCGGGGCAACCGGGAGCGGCATTCCTGTGCACGAGTTGAACATCCTCGCCCCATCGAGGGCAGGGCGGACGTATGTTATCTACGACGCTCAAAGGAGACAGGTTATACCCCGCGCACCTCTCTTCAATGGGCAGAGACCTCGCTGTTGCACCTGTTCTATGCTCCTGAGAATACGGATCATTTTGAATGATCTCTCGTGTGCCGCCACCGTGTCTCTTCATTGCACGTCAAAAGCTATCGTACCTTCTAGTCGTCCAATACGCTGCGGCCTTCACGTCCGCGAAACGCAGTACCTCTGAACGTGAAGGGACTTCGCTGGACCTGCGCGAAAGTCGCAGAGTGCCGGATGGCACCAGTGTACGCAAATATACTGTAAACCTTGGCTCGCTCCTCTGGCCCCGCACCGCTTGAGTAAACGAATGTGATGGTTTCCATTACTCGTGGAAGATGGGTACAGCTCTATAGAACATTAGTATAGTTGGAGGAGCGGTCCCTTGCAAGCGCGCGATTGAGGCCACATCGGTGCGATGCCCGTCCGTCAAGCAGAATCTTGCGAGAAGCCCTTCATCGCGTTCTCTTCGGCTCGCCGTCCTTGCTGGCCCACGCGTCGGCCTTGCCGAGGAGACGGCCGGGGTGGAAGAGGTTCAGGGTGTACATGGCGAGGACGATCATCGCAGCGTCGAAGACGTCTGCACCACAATTCATGGTCGGCATTGAGTGACAATTGTAGTGCTAGGGGGTGGTCCAACGTACTGAAGTACCATTGTGTCCTGATGATCTTACCCTTCCAGCCGTCGGAGAGTTCCTGAGATAAAAAGGCTAGCTCAGTACGATGCAAGTGTGGTGCGACATGCATGCTGGAATGGTAGTACGCACGACCACTCGGTAGATGGACCTGCGGTTACCCCGTCAGTAGTCGTCACTGGACACTGGGGCAGAACGCCAGCGTGTCTACTGACCGGATGAACAGAAATACGGCCTCGAGAACCAAGCCGAAGATCATCTGCTTCGTCTCGGGATCCGTCTTGCGCCGTGCGACCGTGGACTGCCCATAGCGCGCAAACGGGTGGTCGTACGCGTAGCGGAAAATGAACTCGGAAGCTAGGAGGACGTAGAACACGAGCGACACTGTATCCAGTGCTCCCGGTCAGACCATGTGCTTGTGCACGGACGGGAGTGGAGAGGGGACGTACCCATCTGGAAGGAGACACCGGCTAGCATGATGTGGCCTCCCTGTAAGTTAGGAGACAGCGAGCGATTGAGATGGAACCCCCCATAGGAAGAAGGGTCTTGGACTGACGGGGGTCGGATCGTTGCCCTTCTGTACCGCCCCTGCTGCCCCTGCGCCACCTACGGCTTGCACTATCAGGGCCACGAGATCCTGTGGGACCGGGCTGTCAGCCCAAGAGACCGGGGATGCATCCAGCGTGGTCACCCACAAATGTGCAGAAGATGATGGTGTCTGTGAGAAAAGTTAGCCTCGTCTGAGGCACAAGAGAGAAGGCATACGCACACCACTTGGCCGTTATCCGGCTGTACCTCTGGCCCATGCGGCGGATGATCTGCCCAAGGATCACGAAGTTGGCCGCGATAAGGGGTGTTGGCGCGATGATCGTCGTCGTAATCCTGAGCACGCACACATGCAGGCGCGGATATGTCAGCGGGACTCCGAAGGCGGACGGAGAGGAGGAGCGAGTTATGACCCACTGCATAATATACGGCTCGATGTTGGACACGTTCTGGTTTGACCACAGTCGTGCGCTCCAACCGAGAATCTCTCCGATGCCTGCGAGACACGCCGTGATGAGCAGCCACCAGAGGCGCGAGCGGATCGCCTGCACCAGGTGGATGACTGGCGACTGGCGGTCAGCGCTGTCTCTCGAAGCAGAGCGTGCGATGCGCGAAATCTTACTTGTGGAGACACCGAAGAGGACTATGAACAAGATGCAAATCCACTCAGTCGGAACGTAGCCATACGGGTTGTTGATCGGGTGTATTGAATCCACGGTCGTCGCCGCGGACGCGGCAGTGACGGAGCTGGTCCTCGTAGACATGCCGAGAAGGTGTACGGGAGGAGGGACAAGCGGAGGAACCGGTACAAAGAAAGGGAGGAGTTCTGACTGCGTACTAATAGGGTCCCCGTTCTTTAAAATCCTCGGAGGACGATATCCGAGCCATGGTGATCTTGGCAGGATCTGGCGGCCTGCCAACTCCGTGCTGGACAGTTGTTCGTCCTGTCCACCGAGCTACATGTCATATCGTATATCGCATAGTGATTTTGCTGGGCCGAAAATGTTGGTGAGTAGGCGGGTATGTGAGTTTCCGATGCTTTTATAATCCGCTCGGAACCTGGTGGGAAGAGAGGCGCCCGACAGCTAGTCAAGCCTCAAAACGTGTCCCAGACTCGTACAAGCAGCACTTACACAGATCAATCTATACGAACACATAGACATTAGATCACAACACACAATGGTTGACTTACTGTGGAGTGGTGTATGTATGGTTGAGAACAGAGTCAGAGGACCGGAAGTGTTGAAGCGATCGGAGCGCCCACGCTCTCGGGACATCGAGCGCTTCTTTGGACACCGCAGCACCGGAGCCGGACCGAGCCGGAGTCGGTACATACCCTCAGGCTTCCACCATCGTAAACTGAAGCTTATAGCTGACAGGCTGGGCCGTCACAGGGACCCTAGAACCGTTCATATCTTGTTGCAGAGCACTGAACAGGCAAATAGTTTTTCACTCCCAAAATCGTTCCCTTGCTAACGTAGCCTTTTGAACATTCAATAGATAGGAACTACTCGAACGCCTCTCCGGGTATAATACACTGCTGATAGTCGCGATTGCAGATCGAGACTGCGTTCATAGCTCGCTATTCTTGACGCTGGTGCCCCACATCGACTTTCCACCGTAGGCTCTAAATGTTGAGACGCCAAGTAGGGTGATCGTGTACAGAAACACTGCGTCAACAACAAATGTTTAGCAAGATAATGACGGGCAATTTGGGGATCTCTGAGAAAGGGTACACTCACGAAGACCAGCCGTTATGTATGAAATAATCTGAATAGGGTCCCACTCATGACAGAGCGTTTTGAACTCGTCGGTCGGAACGTCGCCGCAGGTCACTCCATGTGGCAGCTTCCCTGGACCGTTGGTGAAATGCCTGGTGGACAATCCGGTGGCGATGAACATGATCCACAGCACACCTAGATGAAGGAGGGCTTGCTTAACTGGGGTTCCGGCGAAAATGCAGCAGACAAACTCACACAACCATGGGATTTCAATCAGGATGGGTAGACCGATGCGGCCGTCATTGATGAAATCCACGAACAACCTGGATCGCTGGAGCTAAGGGCTTCGCCACCTAACGTGTACACACAAGGTATACGCACATAGCAGGCAACGAGATGATGACCATGGCCCCTGCCGCAATGCCGAGGTTAGCATAAGTGAGTGTTGTAGTGATTCCTGCGAGCCCAGGACCCGAGAGTAGCTTGTGGAACGCGGTCGTCGAGCTGACGCAAAGGCCAAGCACGATTACTGCTGTTATCGTCGCCAATGCTGAAGAAGTGCAATACCGGTCGATGAGCAGGTGAGATGACTCGGACAACTTGTGTAGAACAGATGATACTCACCCAAAGAAGCGAGTCGATAGAAGAAGACCAAGCCCATTGCGCCTGCGAATGGAGATGAACACGGGTAGTTGCAGGAGGGGAAATATTGGGCGAATGGAACCTGCTCCCTCCTCAGCAGGCATTGGCACTCTTATGCATGCATGAACCGAGAGATGAACAAAAGCCCATGCGAACTCGAGTTCTCATGGTCAATACGCCGCCGAATGCTGCCCGACGAATACCGGAGAGTTCGCAGTGGTTGACATGACAGATTCCAATCACAAGCGATACTTCTGATTCCCTGTACATGCCTCCCTGCAGCGTTGGCATCATGGTCGGAATTTGAGAAGGTAGGCAACGCGCATTACATCCGTAAAATTACCATTTCCGCTCATGAAAAGGGGATTGTGACACGAGGTCATCAAATGGGGGCTTTAAAGCTGTCTATGCTTTCGTTTACAGGAGTGCCTTCGCGCGGCTGTGCGGAACCGAGAACATATCGGCGAAGTGACATGGGAACGCGCTCAGGAGGTGACTCGGACTCTGAGCCGCCAAACTCTCAGTTCTGACATGATCAACAAGGAAAAGGCACACCTCTCGCTCTATTCACCCGCATTTCCAATGCCATGGCGCGCTAGAACTAGGGAATTTGTATATGCGACAATCTCCGAGGTAGGCACAGGGCGCCCAGAACGACCACAGAACGCTGTACCAAGGAAACCCATGTTGTATCGTGGCCAGCAGAAACAACGGAGGACTAAACGCTTGGCTCGGTATTTTTCACGAATACATAGCTGCCTCACGACCACCGAGTACCCATGAACCGGATACGAGTTCTGAGCTCGGTAGCTAGACGACTACTCACATGGTGGAGGCTGATTAGGATACCGCTTTCAACGTCTATGGTAGTGCTATACACTGCCTTTGACCCTTGGCGTTCTCAAGGGTTGGAAGCACGTCGATGGCAGTGTCAATGTCACTGGTGGTAATTGTCACCGGAAGATCAACGGAGCAAGGCGCTCAAATGCGCCACGTCCACTACGCATCTTCAAGTCGCTCCCACGCACCTGAACAAGACCCCGACCCTGAGTCGTGCCATGTCGATCAGACTCCACACTTATGAATCGATGGAATTTGAAATTACACAGCAGACTCGTTCTTCCCGCTCTTCCTGACGGAAGTACCCCAAACGGACTTGCCATTGTTTGAGTGTTGTAGTGCCACGACGAAGAGCGTTATCACGTAGAGTTGCACTGCCGTTTCGTCACCGTCAACATATCGTACATTTTAGCAGGAGTGAGCGGAACTCACAGATGGCTCCCGTTACAGCCGAGAGTATGCCTATGGGTTGAGAATCCCTACAGACCTTGAAAGTATCGGGCTCATCGGTGTATAGATCGCAACCTGTCACGTCTTGGTCCAGGATTCGGATATTTGGATCTGCGAAAGTCAAACCGGCCGTTGCGATCCAAAGCCATCCGAGGACAGCTGCGTAAGGTCGATACGGTGAGCTAACGGAGACCTGAATACACGTTGATGTGTGCGCAACGTACACAACCAAAACACCTCGAAGAGAATTGTTGAACACAACGGCACCGACCTGAGGTGGCCTCCAATCAACCTAGACAAGAGGGATCAGTAAAGATGAGTTCGAACAAGAGAGAGATCACGAGCACGCACAGTAGCGGCAGCGTAACGGCCGACATGATACCGGCAGCCACTCCCATTCTAGTATAAACGAACGTGCCGAGAAATACTGTGGTTTCAGCACTGTGATCCTGCACGCTCAGAGCCAACACCACAATAGCGAAAATGGCGGCTAGGACTTTGAATCACGGGGCGGTCAGTCTAAAACAACTGAGACAGGCTTTGTGATCTTACGCAAGGAGAGCACTCGGTAGACATAGAGGCCAGCCATCGGAGAAATGAGAGAAGGTGATGTGTAGGAGAGACGCTGTGGAGACTTTAGGTGTGTAGTGGATGACCCGCCAGTGGTGAGGAGCACCCTCCGCGTTCCTCCCACCTTTATACTTGGGGCCAGGAGGAAATTCAACGTAATCCTGAAAGCCCACACCTCTGAGCGCATCCTATCAAACGACGGGATCGCGAAATGGGCGGCGTACCCTGGGTCAAAGTGCCCTCCTATCATTACTCCCGTAGCAAGCGGGACTAGCAGAAGGATTGGTATCAGACGCCACTGACATAGCGTGGCCTGTCTAGAGAAATCTAATCAGCGTTCGTGTGCTCATCTCCCCGAGGAGCAAATATGCAATATGGACGGCAGACGGCAACAGTACGCAGCACATACCTCGGTCGCGTTGTTTTTCACATCTAGCTTTGCGTAATCAAAGTCCCGAAAACTCAAGTTGGCAGCATGTTTCTCGTGCCTGTACTACAGTACGAGAACGCTCATTACAGCCGTTTACATAATTATAGACCCCTGCGAGAACAAGTGTGATCAGACACTCATCTGGAAGTCCCGCTGCCGGTCTCATTCGGCCAGATCGCCACCGCAAGAGCGGTGGTAAGTCCAACAACAGCCGTTACCCGGGATGACAGGCTCCCGCACTGCACAGCCCTGCAAAAAGGTCTGATTAGCGCTGTCGGATGTAGAACGATGATACGAAAAGGAGTTCGATTATTTTGGCTTACTGACGACCTCTTGAGGGAAACTCCTGAGCTCGTCGCTTGTCGAAGCTCGCATGGACACGGCGACATTTTCCACCAGCGAAAAATCACGCAATCCAAAGAAATGCTGACGAGCGAGAGACTGACACGCACATGATAAGAAGTGTTATGACAAGCCTCGTGAAGACGCCCGCTGAGATGGCCATGCCAGAGTAGACCAGTGTCGTGGACTTGGGGATACTGCTCTCTGCTGCCTTGCTCTGAGCACTGAGAGCAAGCGTGACAGCGCGATACCAGCTGGGAGAGCTGGGCAAAACGCGTGATTAGCGTTCATTTGGAAGTATAGCATGACGATCACTCACCCAAGGAACGAGACGGAAGATGTACAGGCAAGCCATCGTATGGAAGTCTCGAGTAGAACTGTCTATGGACACAACTTTGAATGAACACGAAAACGAATACGAACACGGACACGAACGACCAGGACCCTCCAGTCGCGGAGGGCACGGTACTCCTGAAGGACGCACCTGTATGCCGGAATCGACCATGCGTGGACTGCGATAACCAGACTGCATACGCTACGTCAAGACTACATGCAGAAATGCAGATGATATTGGATTAGCGGAGGATGATGGTCGGAACCTTCAGAAAGAGAGGTGTATCCGGCCAGCAGGGCATGACTGTTTTAATTCGCAAGATCATGCACAGATTCGATAGCAGGGGATTGCTTGAGCAAAACCGACTAGCAAGCATGTACGCACTGCATTCTGACATGAAACGTCAGATTATTGCTTCCATGATCGCAGCGTATGCATACCTTCAATACCAGCATTCGGATGCGATAAGCATCATATTATTGCTTGCGCAATTAACATTCTCAACGCATAGGTTGCTGCCGTGAGAGACGAGGAAATTTCAGGTGCGTGTAGGTGCATATCGCCTGGAGCTATGGGATCACCGCGACCCCTCATAAACCGGTTTCCTCCTCTCCTCGAGAAGCGCATTCACCGACGGTGCTCCGCACTCGGAGTCAACGCAGTCGCAACCTCCTCACTAGACGCGCCGACGATGACCAGCCCAGAGTTAATCGAGTCGCCAAGTCGCCCACTCTCGAGCAACTCACAGAAGAGCCTTCGAGCCAGCAATTAGCCAGCGATGGACGAGAGCTCAGGAAATGCGCGAGACTTACACTGCTGGAAGCGTGAGAAGCGTCCCGACGCTGGACGTTGCCCCAAATGGCGGCAACTGTTCTTCATGGTCGGTACTATGCTTGGACAGTCTCGAAATACAAAACGCTCACCAAGGGATGCAACACGACATTTTCACAAACAAACCATTCTGTGGGAGAACCAAAAGCGGAAACAATGCAGAAGGTAAGGGAAAGTGTCGATCGTGCCGCTGACGCGCTGATCTTGGCTGCTTATCAGTATAGTTCGCCCTCCGTTGGCATATTCTGCCGTGCGGGCTGAGGGCAGGGGTTGGCGTGTCAACGTGGTAGATGTGGCGGTATGGTGAAAGCGCGTTCTAGCGATAGCGCTGATTCACGTGCAGGAATGCATTGGCAGACCTGGAAACACACCTCCGTCGTTGCAGCAACGCCAGAGGCAGCAGAACTCCGATCTGTCTGAGCATCTCATCAGTACACACCGGCTCGAAGATAGTGCCGTGGATGCAGACGCATAGTTTGCTCCTATACTCGAGGAACACACAACCCGGGTATTGTGCGATCATTGTCCGAACCTTCGAGCTGAGCAGAAGCGAAGCGGGGCCTCTACAAAGGAGATGACCAACGTCGGGCTGTAGTGTGCGTCGCTGCTTGAAGCGCCGGATGACGGAAGGGTTCAGCAGGGTCCCGAAACCAACATCCGTACAAAGCATGTAGCTTCGAATGGCATTCACATATCTTTCATTGCTTGCATATGCCAATCTTTGGATAGGACTTTTTCCGTGGTGAAACATGAGAGAAGACATTCAAGAGTACACTTACCTCGACATAAACCCCTCAAAAATCTTCGCAGATTGAAATGAAGACTGGCATAGACCCTCGCGGAGACAGACGCAACAGCGTGACAATTCCTATGACGTGAATATGAATGGTGTTGTGAGACACCTGGAACAGTGCTAGATACGACACAACATCCATGACATCGCTGCGGTCGTATATGCTGCGACCTATCACTATTAGTGTACATTCCAGTGCAGCCCCACAATGTCAGCCTACCATACCGTGGGTGCAGACATGTGTAAGACGTACCCAAGGTGATTGATTAAAGGGCAGTTCGGTCATTGGCAGCCTTGTTCAGTTGAGCGGACGAAGCCCATGGCGGAACGGCGTACGTGGATTGAACACCTCTAGACCTGCGAGGTATACAAAGTCCAAGATGTTTCTCACCAGTGAATTTGGGTTGGCTGGAGCTGTAACGAGCACGCACAGGTGGATACGTGCTTACGGCACAACAAAACGCATTTCTCGCAGGCCAGCTTACCGCGCGGGTAACCCGTTGCCACCGTGACTGTACCACGGCGAGACGGCAACCCGCCTTACGCACTCCGCAGTTTACCGCGCAGCAAGTACATGTCGTTCCAATGACAGCGCACCTTCGAATTTCACAGGCCGAGACACTCAGATGATCGACGCACTCTGGACAGGTCCAGACCGCCGTCGCACCCGTTACATCTTGTCGCCGTGACGAACGCCAGCTCCGGTTTCAAAGTCAGTAAATATACATGAGCGGATAAGTGACAGAGCGAACGACAGCGAGACACGGCACACGGCACGACCACTCCTGCCATCCTCAAACCATCGTCCGTCCAGGGTCCGGGGCGCCACTCAAGGCCCTCGGCCCCGCAGGTCTGGCTCCAAGTAGTGATGCAGAGTGACAGACACGAGGGCACACGATCAGTGCCTCTTCGCGCCGGGCATGGAGAAGTGCGTCCAGATGGGCTTGCCCTGAGACGAGCTGCCGACGGCTACGAACGTGAGCGCGGCGGTGTACAGGGCCACTGACGGATGCAAGTCAGACGTCAGCATTAAGTCAATCAGAGAGCACACGCGCGTGCGCGCCGGAGCCGGCGCGCCGCATATGTATTCGAAAGGCCCAGGTGTGCAATACTCACAGATACCCGCCGACAGAAGCGCGAAAATTACGAGGGTTTGTGCGTCCCCGCAGAGACCCTGAAGGGTTGCATTCGTGAAGCTGCTGCAGTTCTTGAACATCGACCCGGTTATGCCCATAGTCTTAACGCCGGCGACAATCCAGAGGACCACCAAGAGGACTGTAGATCGCTGTGAGCGATGCTGGTAGAGTAAGCGAGATTACTGGGCTTACGCATCCAGACAAGCTCCAAGATGACCGTAGCGCTGTAAGGCTTCTCTTGCGCCATGTCATAGAGAAGGCTGTGGGACGGCGGCTGTCATGAGGTGGCCTGTGCCGTGTACGAGAATAGAAGCGAGAGGGGACGTACATCAGGGGCAGAGAGAGAATGGTCAGGACGCCGCTCGCGACACCCAACTGCGCATACGTGAGGTCCGCCGTCAACACACCGGGGGACAAGTTGAGGGTGAGTTGGCCCATGGCCTGCGCGATAATGGCGGTGATGGTGGCCAGGGCTATAAGTCGGAGGCACCCCGTGAGTGCTCCCATCCGAAGTGCGTCCGTCGCCATCGCAGGATAGACCGAATCACTCACTCATGGCCGTCTGACGGGTGTAAATGAGCCACTGCATGATGCGTAGACCGGTACGCGGGTAGAAAGACTGAAGCTGAAAGAACGGAACGGACGACGAAACAGCGAGCGCGAGAGGGACCAGCCAGAAGGTGTAAAACATATGCCGCGGCAGCGACCTTATATATGAGATCTCACGCATCACTCGGCTGCCTCCCATTGATCAAGCCGAGATTCTAAATTAGGAGAAACGTCACGGGCCGGGCCTACGCAACGCTAGGCGTTTGCGATTGGGCCGATCCGCCATCTCACTACTATATATAAGAATCACTCAGGCTCGACGATGAGAATAGCCTTGGGATGCATCACCGCCGAAACATCCTTCGCAGTAAGAATGGGCATGACCGGTGGAAGTAGGAAGACGGAATGACCGGGTGTAGATAAGGGATGCTACAGGAGGTCGACCAAAGTGATTGCTGCGGAACGAATACTACAAATTCACGGCGGTTTCCACGGCAACGCGGAACGTCCTCCATTGCACCTTCGTTAGCTGCGCCCAAGCACGTCTTAGGCAAGTAATCTCAGGCCTGTAGTGCTAACATGAGAACGAACAGTCGTAGGCAGTCAATTGCCGCTTGACAAGAGACACGGTAACGGAACGATGTTATAATGGGCTGGGAGATGGAAAGGTTGCTCGGGGAACGCGAAGGGTTCTGGCCGAGGTTGTCCAGTGCGACGATCGCAGTGCACGCACACATGCGCGTCTGATTACTCTACTACATAAACCCCTTGCCTCCAAAAACTGCGCCCCACCGCTGAGCCCGTGAGAGAGTGAGTCATCTGCTCGCATCTGAGGTGTATTCAGACGCTACGATGATACATGATCGGAGCAGGCCACCTGATCTCGGAGCCGCTATGCGTTCGCTCTGGCAGCGGGGATCTTTTTGATCAGCACTGACACGGTCTACATGGCATGCAGTGCGTACGCATATCTCCTGCCTGTGCCCCACTAACTTAAGTCTGACAATCATTATCATCACCCAGTTACTCTGCAACAGGTACTTCCAGCTACGTTAGACATCAAGGTAGCGCTGCAAAACGTGACCTCATGATATTCTTACAGCCTTGTCTGGATCCAACTGGTTGACTAGTCCGCTCTCCTGATCACTCGACGCGTACACCGAAATCATTGAAGATTTTTCCTTCGGACACGCTATAGTCTAAAAGGCTACAGGCGGGATCTACAATGATTGTATTGTGCATCAGTACCATCCCCGTACCTACCTGTCTGCAACCTAGTTGTGCCTACCCACAGAGGTCAGAGATCATCAGGTGTTGTAAGAACGCACCGGGCACATTAATCAGCCTTGTTGGCGGATCCTGGTGCGCGCTGTCCGAGAACCTTCAGTCAGCATCTCAGCTAAGACGCATGCTGCAATACGTAGAGACTGACCAGTTGAACGCTCGGCCTTGCAATGCGCCCCGCCTCACTCCGCACAATCCGAGTCACCTGTCCCTGACAGGTGACTTGACCGAACAGGCGTTGGCTCGTCCACCTCTTCCCTGCAGCATGGTTCTATGCGGCATGAGTGGCGAACGAGCCTGAGTGGAACACGGCGCGAACGTCGACCGCCACCAGGTGGGCTTACTATCGACGGAGCGGCCGACAACTCGAATGCACCAGGCGTACTGTGAATGTGGCGTTGTCAGGTGAGCTCAGCCAAGGTAAGTGAAGCCAAGGTAAGTGAAACCACGTACATGTTTAGGAGGAGTGCATTACAGGGGGAGTACCTCCGATGGTGGCTAGGGGAAACAGCTGAGCACAAGCGACGAAGTGAAATAGGAAGACGATGGCGTACAGCATGGTAATCATTCGCTCACGTCCAAGCGTACGACCAGCGACCCTACATCAAATTGCGCCGATGTGGGCCGCCGGCGCACCTAGAAAGGAGAGGGAACAAAACATGGGGGTTCTGAGGAAAGAGTGGATGGGCGAGGAGAGGGGGTTATATAGGCTAGGGGTCGGAGGCTGGTGATGGCCAAGATCGGCGAGCTGGTATTCGGGTCGGCTCGAGAGACTCCGTGTTTGCTTCTGGATCGCCGCGGGATCGCTTCTCCATCTGTTCACCGACGCCAAAGATCGCTCGGGTGATTGCGATGTGATAGTGAAGCCATATTCGGGTCTCCACCGCCCGGTCTTCTGCAGACAGCGTTCTCATTCTTTTCTACGTCGGAGAGCTGTTGTGAAGAGGGGACGATCATCCAAGCAGAGGCCACCCCGTGAGCAATTCATCGGGCCCGTTTCCTGCATCACAAGGTCTTTGTTAGATTCACAATCATATTCGCTCAGAGCGAGTCTCTTGTTGAGTCCAATGACCGGCTTTCTCGTAATGTACTCGACAGCATGGTCGAAGGCTCATATTGATGATAGAAACGCTACGAGACTACCATATCATACAAACGACGTTCCCGACCGCTTATTATGTAGTGCATAAATCAATACGTGAACGTACCTGCTATGTCTTAGAAACTGGACGTACCTACGACGTCTACACATCAATGAGAAAGATGTACGGGGACACGCACCTGTCCTACTGTCCATTGCTTGGAATATACCGGCAAGCACTGTCCCGCCAATGTCTGTCAGCTTCTCGGCATAAGACCTAGTCTCTTTCCATCGCACTCACCATTCAAAGGCTCAGCTTTGCAATGCGACACGCACACTCCGCACAGTCCGAGTCGCCCATCCCAGACAGGCGACTTCACCGGACAGGCGTTGGCTTCCCTTTATCCACTGCAGCTACGATATTTTGCGGCAGGAAGAGGAAATGCCCCGAGTGGGACGCGCCGCGAACGTCGATAGCCACTAGGTGGGCTTATTATCGACGGGGTGGCTGACCTCTTTGCGCATATAGCGTACTGTGACCGTGGAGCGGTGAGTAGGGATCGGACAAAGGATATGACGGGAACGTACGTGGTTGAGAATCAGCCATTCAGTAAGAAGCTTGGTTCTCCGAGGCGGGAGTCACCCCAGGGTACTGAAGCAGCAGTCTATGCGTCACGGTCATCAGTGGCTGACTCTGCATTAGACGAAGAGAGACCTAACCAGTATCGCTACTATTAGTTGATACTGCCCCAGCCCAACAACCTTCCCTCGCAGCAGAGCGTACGACCAGCGACCAAACACCATAGTAAACTGGTGCGAGTCGCCAGCGCACCTAAGTGGGGCGTGGAGGGTAGGAAGAGAACATGGGGGTTCTGAGGAGAGGGAGGAAGCACGCACGCAAGGTCGTAGGCTGACGGGGTTCGGTGGCGAACATCGGGACCTGCTTATTCGGCTTTCCTGAAAAAAATACAAGTCAGCCGTGTCGAGTCGAGATCAGCCACTGCGTCCAAGTGATCGATTGTGACGATACGCAATCCATGCAATCTCTGGGCGGTTGTTTCCTCACAGCCTCAGACGTCTGTCCGTTCCTCGACGCCGCCCAAACGAAGCACGAGTTGCTCGTCATCATAGCGGTACTGAGACATCTGCTATCATGATGTAGCTACGGCGCTGATTCACCCAGAGCTGATCCATTGGGCGCTGCGAAGCAGTACCGCTGAAAGTCGATGCCTTCACTCCGGTACGTTGCAATAGCCCAGGAGTAACTACGTCCGTGGACATTAGCCCAGAAATAAGTTTAGATCTAGCGTACGACTACATCTCACAAAGACAAGCACACACCCGATCTACGGCTACACATCCTCGAAACCCGGGTCCACTCGCATTTTGGACTCCAGATGGGATGGCGGCGCGAGAGTACAACCAATTGCTTTTTGTAGTAGATACTGTCTCCATGATTACAGTGGGGCCACCGTGCAGTCGAGACAGCAGGCTCGCCAGCACGGCGTGAGCACGGGCATGGGCGCCAGGCGCCAGATCGTGAGCTCCTGATGAGAGGAGCCTTCTTCGTCCAGTACGTTGCGCGCAGCAAAAAAGGGGGGGTTAGAGGGGGGTATGATTCGTGGAGCAGCCTGCCACCCCGACACAAGGACGGCCATCGGGGGACTGTCAAGACAGCTCGGGATATACTGTACGGTGCGCGTTAGGGAGTGTCGGGGGCGTACTGGAGTGGCCGAGCGTGGAAGCGGGGGCGCACGCCGGGTATAGGGCCGCGACAGGCTGTTGAAGCCGGCGAGATGCAGCGGTCATACGACCTGGTGCATCTCGGCCTTCTCGCGGTCTGCGGGGGCGACGAGGACGTCGTCGGGCGCGGCGGTATCGAGGTCTGTGCGGTTCGACTGGGGGCCCTTGTAGTGCTTGCGGCCGCCGAGGACGTACCAGACGCTACATGGTGGGGAGCGGTCAGCGACTCGGATACAGACTGGGCTTGCGGCCTAGGGGGGAAACGTACAGAGAGAGCAAGATGACGCCGCCGGTGATGGGCTGCAACCGTCAGAGACCGATCAGCAGACAAGTCACTGCGATCGAAAAGGAGGACACGTACAGCGGCGTAGTTCATCGTGTTCCCATTGACCGGGAGCTCTGTAGGAAGCGCGAAGATGATGCACACGAACAGCGTCCACAGGATACAATTCACGTTCGCGATCCACCCAATGATCCCGTCGCCCATATAGAACGGCCCGGGCGTAAACTTGACCTCGGGATGATTCCTGTACCACCTCCGGCTACATACCCACCGTCAGCACGTTGTGCTTCCTCCACAGACACACAAACACCAGACCACACTCACCAGAAGATCGGGATGATGTACGACAAGTCGAGCGCCATCGCCGTCATCGCAAAAATCGCGTTGAGCGCGATATCGCTCGCGAGGTCGAGCAGCCCGGGCACGATCGCGACCACGGTGACGAGCCAGATCGCGCGCAGCGGCGTGCGCGTCCACGTGGACACGTGCCCGAAGAAGCCGCGGTCGGGCAGGCCCTTGTCGCGCGAGAACGCGTACACCGTACGCGACGCGGCCTGCAGCGCCGTCTGGCACACGAAGAACGCGGTGAGGCACACGAACGCCCAGATGAACAGCGCCCCGGGCTTGCCCATGCGCAGGACCATGATCTATGTATGGCGAGGGGTAAGAAAACAAACGAGGTGAATTTAGCTCCCGATAGGAAGGAGGGGTTGTGTGGGTTTGTGTTTGGATCGCGGACTTACCTCGAGGAAGGCCGAGCCGGAGGGGCCGGGCAGGTTCTCGCTGTTTGCGGTGTGCGTGTGGTCAGCGGGCTCCGTCTTCGCGCGGGATGCCGTACCGCGAGGTTAAGATACGCACAGAGGTCCGGAGCAGAGCACGAGCACGATGTTTAGGATCCATCCAAAGATGCCCGTGCCGATCACCGCGATGAAAATGGCGGACGGGGCTGCAGATAAATGACCAGTCAGCGGATAGAAATTTCAACACCGTGATTGACGCGTACCTGCGTACGCCGCACGCCTCACTTCCTCTCTGCAGGCGTCGAGGGTTAGCCACCGCGCTCTATACGAGGGAGAATGATAGGCAGGGCGTGGACTTACGAGATATGAGCCGTAGCGTCATAGTCCTACAGTCACTGTCGGTATAAGCACCTCAGGCGCACAAGCCAATGGCCACTCACCGTCATCTGCGAGGCAAAAAAAACGTCAGCATATGCGCTTTCTGGTTCTGTCGTCTCGTCCACACGGGATCCGATCCGTCACAAATCTGGAAAAGTAGACGCACCGTCCACTGCACGCTGAGCAGTCCGAATAGGAACGCAATGCCGTTGTTCCAGCCCCCGGTGTTGTTCACGAAACCGTCGCTCCCGAAGACGTACGACGCGCTGTGCATCTCGCTCCGCGGGGTCGTCGCGAGCAGGACGATGATGATGACTGAAAACAGCCCCCCATTCCGTCAACAGCCGTCCTCGCGTTTCGTCTCGAAACTATACTCACTGAACGTCGCGCCGAGGTTGATGAACACGAATCCGCTCGTCAGCCGCGCGAGCTGGCGCGTCGCCAGGCAGTTCTGCGGCCGGGGTCAGTGTCAGTGTCATTGCCGCGCCCCACACCATCCCTCCAAAAATGTTAAAACAGAAACAAAAACGAACCAGGATTCCGTGCAGGACGAGCAGCCCCGCGAACAGCCCGACGCTCTTCCCCGCCGTGACCTCGTACGTGTCGCCGCGGCCGACGACGACGGCGGCCCAGATCATGTTCGCGAGCCCGAACTCGGTCGACGACAGCCCGACGATCTGGCCGAGGATATTCAGCCAGCCGACGACCCAGCCGACAATCGCGCGCTGGTTGCGCGGGACCAGCTGCGCTGATGCGGTGTATCTGGGGGATGTGATAACGTTGCGGGGGTCATCAGAAGTCAGAAGACGCGTTCGATTGGGCCGCGAGCACATGTCAAGGAGAGTTCGAACTCACAGGCCTCCGCAGGTGGGGAACGCGCTCACTATCTCCGCGATAGAGGAGCCTGTGGATTTTGGTCAGTTTGGACGTTGTACTGAGGATATTACAGCGGTTTGCGTTTCAAGAAGCCCTTTCAGCAAAAAGATGCTTGGGTCGGTTGGGAGCTGAACCATATGCAAGCCTAATCAGGTAGCCAGACGCTATAAGACCCCACTGAGCGCGCTGCCCAGCAGGACCCAGCGAAGGGAGTTCAAGCGTCTTGAGTGGCAGATCGAACTCGCATCTTGCTCGGCTCTCTCAACGGCCTGAGCTTGTGTTTCTGGTAAGGGCCTACCGATATGCAAGCTACGGCGCATTATGGCACCGATGGAGCTCGCGAAAATGAGGAAGATGGTCGCCGGGGGCGTGACGGCATAAGCTGCGTTCCCTGGATGTGCACCCACGCGGTCCGAGCTTTTCGCGCCTGAGCAACTTTTGCTATCGACCCGCTCCGGACATGAAGGATCCGAGCAAGCTCAGGTAGAGTTCCACAGTCGACTTGTGACCTCTACGCCCAGGCTAGTCTGGGGGGCCACGGATGCAATGGCGTCACTGAGATACGCGCGCAGGGAGCGTTTGACAGGCGGGGGCGATAACGCATGGGAAGGGAGCGATACGCACCGAGGGTGAAACACATCGTCGCGCCCAGGATCCAGCACCATGTCACCGAGGTCGGTCCCCCAAGGGTAAGAGGGGTATTGAAGGTGGTCGCGATACTGGAGCAGAGGCCCATGATGCTGAACGCGAAGCTGATCTGCGAGGATGTCAGACCGCGTTCTGGATGTGACGGAGAGTGATATACGCACGGTAGCGACGTTGGAGAACTCGCGCTTGAACGATGGGACGTAGCCAATCTCGAGGAGCTTGTTGTCATCGTCGGCCGAGTTGTCGCTGGTGCTCGCGATGGAGCGGGTCTCTGCGCTCGCATCCTTTTTGAGCATGCTAGGGGAGTTCGGGGCGGGCATGGTGGTGGTCGGAGGAAAGGGAAGGACGGCAGGAACGGACGAGAAGATAACGCTAGGGCTTTATGCACTGCGGTGGTGGTGGATATCGTCGGTCGCGTGCCAAGAACTGCTCGTTGCCCGTTCGGGAAGCCGGCCACAAAAATCAAGAGGAACGCACGCGGTCCCTGGTCTGCCTCCCCCGGACTCCTCCCGTCATTCGGCCCCGCCATATCCCGACGCCGGCCGCGCCGTGTCTTCGTCCAACCAGAGCTGGAGACCGGTCGGTGTCCCCGGAGAATCGTTCTGGTCGGGCTGATCAGTCGCGGATGAGTCGAGGGAAAACCAATCGGGCGCGCGACTGTCGCAAAACGCGTCGCGAGCCATGCGCGTCCAATCACATCGCACGTGCGCCGCGCCACTACTCCCCGCCCGTCACAGGAGTTGCCGTCACAGGGGGCTGTGCGGTCTCTTATCCGGATCTTGCCCGCCGAATCGGCCACACGGACGTCATCTACTACTTCCTGGCATGTGAGACATATGTGGCCACCTCCATCAGGGTGCTCTGGACCAGTGACATTGCTTTCAGGTTGTACGGTGTCGCGTGTCTGCTGTAGACGTTCCAGTACTTCCGGACACCGAAAGCCAAGACGCCTCTTGTTGCTACCCGGGCGATACCGTGCTAAATTCTGATCTTGTGCCACGTCTAGCACAGGTCGTCTGGATGCTGTATATGTGGGACGCTCCGCTCCCGCTCTGGGGCATCGACGGACAGATGTGTGTGCCACAGGATCCTCGACACTCTTGCACAAGCAGCAAACATCCTTTCTTTACTGTATACTCCTCAAGCACCATTACGGACCTTGGAGCAGGTTTTCGAGGTGCCCAATCTGTGGTACGTCGCGAGGACATCGGGTCTCGGTGTAAAATCCAGCTGACGATGCCAATCATCCCGTGAAGGTCGAGACCAGTGAGTGCTCGACGAAGACTACGCGTAGTAATCTCATCGTTCACCCTCCGCAGGCCAATAGCCTATTCGTAGTAAGTATAACGCCCTTAGTCCTCTTACCTCACTTATGTGCTTGGGTTCTACACGGCTGCAGCAGTGGCTACCCACAGGTCAAATAGTATCAATATGCGGCGGAGTCGAATGGCCGGATGGCGTATCTGTAGCTCACTGGCGTATAGCGTCTGGAGACGTAAGCTTTGCCTGTTGTCTGCTGGGCCGCGTCCATCTGTCCTGAGCCCGGTGTCCACTAAGCGGCAACGTGTTCATGACCAGGACTTGTGTGAGCTGTGGCTTAGCCTTCGCGACAAGGGGCCACCAGAGACCTGAACGCTCCTGCTGTTCAGGTCGCCCTGACACCGGCCTTCATCAGTACGTGATCGTGTCTTCGTCCCGCTTCCTAGAACGTACTAGGGTTTGCAGCTGCTTTGCTAGGTAGGTACAACTGCTGAAATGGCTTCCGCGCGGAAGCGTAAGTCGACGCCACCTACTGCTACACGACTCCTCATCTGACTGAAGTTGATCATGGGTTAGGTCCACATATCTGCACCGGTCGCCCACTGATGCCCAAACGAACCGGCTTCAAGTGAGAGTGCTCTGGACGGCCACTGAAGGAAACTTGCCTACATTTGTTGGCAGTACCCAGCAGTAATCACCATGTCTGTCACGGCTGCTGCGACGGCCACCATTGCGACAATCGTGTCGTACTACCTGCTCAAGCGGTACGTACCGCATTCAGTCTGCAGTCTGTGAAGGCTGTGCGTGCAACCTGACTACGTACTGCATAGGTCGACCGCGATCATCATGACGTCCATGACGCTGTCTAATGATGAATGACCCTATCTGACAGCCTGCCGCTAGTGTCTTCGCTCTTGCCACTACTCGTGTATCTGTGACTATCACCTCTTGAACACATGTTGTCCTGGGACTCACATCTCTTGCAGTGCTTCGCCAAGCTAGACATGTCCGCCAAGAGCAAGTCCAACAGCGCCCTCGCATTGCGTGCCTTGTCCCCGCCGACGCGGCCGTACAGTCTACAGCAACGCGTTTCTCACCCTGCTCCACGTCCGCGCGCATATAGCAGGCGTCTGGGACGACGGAGAGTCGACTGAAGACGCGCACGTATTCATGGAGAGGCATGTCGATAGTGTGAGTGTCAGGAAAGCCTTGGTGATGGTGGCTATATTCGATACTGCCCAGACTTGTCAAGGATCGTAATCCCGAGCTCAAGGAAGTATGGAGCGATTGGGGCCAGAGTCCTGCAAGCCAATCAGCGGAACTACAGGTCTTGGAGTCAGAGGACCACGAGGAGGCATGTCCGCTGTCAGCGACTATAGTCGGTGATCAGAGTTTGTTGAGCGGGACAGGATGAGATGCGAGCGGGCATTTAACGAGGTCAACTTGAAACTAACACTTCTGATGAATACTCTCCGCCGGGACCCGTACGCAAACGCGCCGCTCTAACTCCGAGTTCTCCGACCGCTGCTCATGGTTTGCCATACTTCCAGGCCCGTTGACATTTGAACGCTGAAGTGGTCCGGTGACATAGGGGCGGCCTTCACGACGTACCTCGCGTCTGTTCAGACGCCGAGGACAGACCTTGCTTTTCGGCAGGGTATACATCGCGGACACCCACCCCTGGCACACCTCAGGGCCCTATCCATCCGTGCTGGCTTCACGTGTGCTGTGTCCCTCAAACCAGTAATCATGGCTTTGAATGTGTTGGACTCCGACGAGGTGATGCCCATATATGGCGTCCGCCTCCAGATATACGGCATCTGTAATGTGCGCAGAAAACAATGCATCCCTCGTTATTAACATAGGCAGATTTGATTCGCCATACGAAGTTCCGTTCTCGCGTCGCGGCTTCCTCGGCTTCAAGCTTCATTAAGTTGGCTTCCGTGTACGACTCCCGCTTCCCGCAAAATTTCACATCCCAACCAGGTATATGATCATCCTGACGCGTAATCCCCTCGTGCGGCGGCCAATGTCTCTGTATCTCGCAGTAAGTCTTCCATGTTCGCACTGAATCCTGAACAACTTCCTAAGCTTGACAGGCGACTGCGGCCGTCACAAAGATAGGCTCGACGGGAAGCCGCAAACCACCTGCCGTACACGCGGCAACATCACAAGATATCTGATAAGATGGGCTAGGCTCGTATGCTCCGTGTCGTTCGTGTGCCAACGACTGCCTTCCTTTTCCTTCCCCAGGCACAGAAACGGTAGAAGGGCCGCAGAACCATAACAGCATCTCCAACACTCTCAGCCTTTCCCCCGGGCACAGGCCTTTCCGCGAATCAAAGCTTGCTGCCAGCCTTCTGGCTTGGCATGTCTTGTCAAGTTCGCTCCCACGCCTAGGCGGCACGAACCCACGCACGCCGTCAAAGTCTCTCACTCTCCACGTCAATCACTCCCCATGCTCACCACACCTCCGCCGAAAGCGGGCGCACGATCCCACCCCGGTGGACGCACTCTATCAGATAAGATGAACGGGTACTGGGTCAGGGTAGTCTCGCTCGCCTCGTCCCCCATCGCGTCCTCTCGGGAGGAAGGATTATTGACTTGCCAGCCTGTCCACCGCCGGCCCAAATTTCGCCTGCATCTACCAAGTGGAACGACCGTTGACCTTGTATGTCGTCCGTTGAAAAGATCACGAGCAGCGTGGGCAAGGACTCGCCCGTGGTCGACGAGAAGGAGAAGACGTCGGTTGACGTGCACGACGAGGGCTCGAGCCAGGATGAGCAGGCCCTAGTGCTGGGATACTCGACCCCCGGCCTTGCGCCGAAGCCGAGGCTCCCGTATTGGTGGCAACTTGCCGTGATCGTCTTGACGTGCTTGTGTACCTGTGCGTATTCTTCTTCGTGTTATGTATGCGAATTGGTGTGCTCACGGTGGGACCTGTTGCAGTCGGGAACCATTGGTCAAACGTGAGTGTTTTGCCGCATTGTTAGGAGGTCTATGAGTCGACTGACTCGGACACCACAGGGTCTCATTGTGTCAGCATACTGCGAGACGCACTTAGCGGATTGGAGTCGTCTCTGACTTCTTTTTTCCAGGTCTCTCAAGACGACGATCATTAAAGAGACGAAGATCAACAACTCCCAGTTTGCCACCCTGGTCCCCCCCGTTCACCCTCATCCATGCCGAGAACACTCAATGCTGACCCTCTTTTGCTGCGCAGGTTGCCGTCACGAACCTCGTCAATACATTCCTCTGCATCGGCCTCGGCTTCACCATCGACAGGTTCGGCGGCGCGAGCATGTCCGTCATACTCGCGGCCTTCCACTTTGCGGGCGCGGTCGTCATGTCTGGGGCTGCGACAAACAACCTCAATAGCTACCCACTCCTTATTCTCGGCAAAGTCATCGCTGCCATCGGCGACGGCTCGCTCGACAACGCCCAGCATCGGATCTTTTCGACGTACTTTGCACCCGGCAGGGGCTTCGCGTTCTCCATCGGTGCGCCCTCCCCGCCCTCAGCCCGTATCATATCCCCACTGATTTGATTCGCGTATAGGTTTGATCTGGTCCATCGCGAATCTCGCCCAGTTCACCGGCCAGTCAACCGCGAACGTCATCACGGTGAACCTCGGCTCGTACGCCTGGGCGCTGTGGATCTCGTCCGTCATCTCCGCGTTCTCGTTGATATGCGCCATCTCCATCTTCTTCCTCGACCGCTACCTGCGCGCGCGGTACAACGTCACGGACCAGACGAATGGTCGCCGCCACGTGGGCGACCACGCGCGTCGCGGATTCGACTTCAAGGCTATCAAGTACCTTCCGGCGACGTTCTGGCTTGTCGTGCTGTTTGCCGTCTTCGAGAACGCGGGCGTGCAGTCGTTCGTTTCTATTTCGACGTGAGCGCATCGCATTGCTGTGGATTTAGAGTCGGGGTCAGAGCTCAATCGGATTGACGGCGTTTGTAGGCAATTCGCTCAGCAGCGCCTGAAGAAGGGCGCGGTCATTGGCGGATGGGTGTCGAGCTTCTACCTGCTCCTTCCTGCTGGCTTGACCCCTTTCTTGGGCATCTATATTGATGTCTTCGGACAGCGCATTACCTTCCGTAAGTGTAGACGTTGTAACTCGATAGAGTCGTACGGCTCACAAAGGGCACCCGTCAGTGTTCTTGTCCGGTCTCACTTTCCTCATTTCCATGCTGCTTTTGAAGTTCTCTCACACCGTTCCTACCTTCGGTACGTTGGGAATAATTATACGTAAGCGGAAACTTGTGTTGACCTGACCCCTTACGATGCAGTCGCTGCGTACGTTTTCTATGCTTTGTCTCAAGCTGTCACGCCGGCACCACAGGTGGAGATCATCCGTAACATCATTCCCGACCCTCAATACTTCGCGACCGGGTAAGTCTGGATGCTTTGCTAGCCTTTGCATTGTCTAATCTGCCATACCGTCACACAATAGCTTTGCCATCAAAAGTACGTTATGAGCCTCGCTCGCGTCACTCTTCATGCTGATCAGCCACGCAGAATCCGTTGTACAAGCCTCCATCGTCATCATCACCACCGCCGCCGGCAGGCTACAAGACCTCTCCGCGACGGACTCGCTCGACCCGGCCGTCTCGCTCTGGCTCGCCTATGCCTTCATCTCCGTCGCAGTGTCGGGCTTCATGCTCGCCATGGCGTACTTCGCGCCAAACGTTTTCCCCGCGGCGAGTCTCTCACAAGTTGCACCGCGTGACCTTCCCGGGGCCGTCGACAAGCTCGCGGCGGTGCGGGGCCTCACCGTGCCCAAGGTTGACCCCGCGGCTGAGGGCGCCAACGAGACGAAGGAGAAGGAGAAGATCCTGAAGTCGCCGAAGGTGACCTTGGGATGGGTGCCCTGGGCGTACTCTGCGGTGTCCCTCGCGGTTATATTCATAGGGTGGATCATGTTTGGTCTAGGAGTTGGATGGGGCGTGCACGGGAGTGTTGTCGCGGGTACCGTCGGGGAATGAGCTCCTTCCTCACATTCCAGTCCATTCGAATCTATGATGCTACACGAAAGTTCTATAGACAGCGGTGTATACGAGACTTCCGTGCGAACTTCGTTACGGAATACCAATTGGGGAAGTTCGTGAGGAAACCAGAATTAGTGCTAGGGCCAATATGTGGCGTTGGAATTCCAAACTTCGCTCAACTTCTGCCCACTTGGGCTGCCCTTCTCCGCGTCTTGATATCACTGTCTGCTACGCCTGCAACGTGTCCTTCGTCTGGTCGTCCTGCGACGTGTCTGAGGACAGCATTTGCGCATCGGAGAATCTCTGGGATCAGTCGTCCACGTGCCTGCGACCACGTAGCGCGGCAGAGGTGACGTGTAACGCATAAAAGTACTGCTGCACGCGCCCGGTGCCCGCATACTCCTCCCTCATCATGACCCGGCTCTGGCTGGTGCTCTGTCTATGGCTCTCGCTATGGTCGGAAAGCGTCCTTGGGTCTATTCTGGCAATCGACTATGGCGCGGACTTCATCAAAGCTTCGCTCATGAAGCCCGGCCAGCCATTCGACGTCCTCCTTAACCGGGACTCGAAGCGGAAGATTCAGTCGACGGTCGGGTGGAAGCAGAAGGATAGGTTGTTCGGACAGGACGCAGCGAACATTGTGAGTAAGTAATATCTCGGGCAAGTCGTGGATGCCAACGTCTTGCGTTACAAGGCTGGCCGATTCCCGCTCGACTCGTTCTCGCACCTCAAGACCCTCCAGGGTGCTCCATACGAATCCGACGCGGTCTCTTTCTACACCGCCATTTCCTCCGCAGACACTGTCAAGACCGAACGCGGCACAGTCGCGTTGCGTCGCTCGGACGGGACAGAATGGAGCGTCGAGGAACTCATCGCCATGCAGTTCGCGTATATTCGCGATTTGGCCGAGAGCACTGCGGGCGAGAAGATTTACGACGTCATCGTCACCGTGCCGCCATACTACACGCAGTATGAGCGCGACGCGGTGGTGGACGCGATCGAAATCTCCGGCCTCCGTACCCTCGCGCTCATCAACGACGGCACAGCGGTGGCGGTCAACTATGCTATGACCCGTACGTTCTCCGAGCCCGAATACCATGTTATCTACGACGCGGGGGCATCCTCCATCCGTGCGACTGTAGTCGAGTTCGCGCCAGTCGCCTCGGATGGGAAGTCCAAGGCCGGGAAGGACGCTACCCAGATCACTGTCCACGGCGTCGGCTTCGACCGCTACACTGGCGGAACCGAACTGGACGCTCGTCTGCGGAACATGATGCTTGCTGACTTCGAAAAGCGGTACAAGCGGAGCATCAGCCAGGACAAGCGGGCGATGGCGAAGCTGTGGAAGGAGGCTGGTCGCGTGAAGGCTGTCCTGAGCGCAAACTCTGAGGCACAGGCGACGGTGAGTGCTGCGACGCGACTCACATCCCGTTGCAGACAGAGCTAAGATGAATGACAATCAGATCGAGAGCCTCGCGTATGACCTTGACTACAAGGCGAAGTTCACGCGCGCGGAGTTCGAGACCGAGGCGAGAGACCTCAAACATCGTTTCGCAGTACCCATCCAGGAGGCGCTCGCGCGGTCTGGCCGAAAGCTGGTATGTCTGTATGGCCTCTCCAGCACTGTGTGACCTGACGGCGTAGTAGGACGATATCACTTCTGTCATCATGACCGGGGGAGCTACGCGCACACCGATGATCCAGGACGCGGTGAAGGCCGCCGTCGGCGCGAACAAGCTCGCGTACAACGTCAATGCCGACGAGGCCGCGGTCCTGGGTGCCGCTCTGCACGGCGCTAGCCTGAGTCGCCAGTTCAGGACGAAGGACATCCGAATCACGGACATTGGCCCTTATGACATCCACATCTCCTACCAGGCGGAGTCGAAGCAGCCCGGGGCGCGCCCACGAACAATTAATAGCCTCGTCTTCCCCTCTGGCTCGAAGACGGGCACGAAGAAGACGCTGACATTCAAGCGCCAGGACGACTTCAAGGTTAAGCTCGGTTACAAGGTTCCCCTCCTTCGGTGAGCCTCTTCGATCTAATCTTGTATCGCCGTCTGATCTCGTTTGCAGCGGATGGCCCACGGACATCCTCGAAGCGGAGATCCAGGGCGTGGCCGAGGCGATCAAGAACATCACTGAGGCTGGCGCCACGGATCCCGTGGTGAAGGCCACTGTCATGCTCTCCGAGTCCGGCTTCGCGTCGATTCGTGACGCTATGGTTACCGGCGAGTTCAAGGACGAGTCCATAGCTGGTGAGTGCAGTTCACCTGTAGGACTCGACAGTTGCGTCATGCGCGAGCGCAGGCAAACTGAAGGATTTCTTCGGTAAAGGTTCTCCGTCATCTGCGCCCGTCGATGAGACGACGGCGGACGTCGGCTCCGCAGAGGACGACACGGCCTCGACTTCCACGTCATCCTCGTTGGCCACGGAGGCAACCACGACGGTGTTCACGAAGAAGGAGCCGATCAACCTGGAGATCGAGGTCAAGTTCTCGTCCCTGCCGCCGCTGTCTGTCACGGAAAAGCGTGCGGGCCGTGAGAAGCTGAAGGCGATTGACGCGGAGGAGGGCGCGAAGAGGCGGCGCGAGGAGGCGCGCAACACGCTCGAGGGCTACATATACAAGCTCCGGGACCTGCTCGCGGACGAGTCGTCTGATTCGCCGTTCATGAAGTGCTCGCAATCATCGGAGCGCAAGAGGCTCGCGGAGAAGGTGGACGAGGCGTACGCGTGGCTGCAGGAACACGGAGACGATGCGGACACGATACAGTACATTGACCAACGAAGCGCACTAGAGTACGTACCCGTTCTTCTGGAGCGACGCACGATGACTGACGTCCGCGCAGGAGCCTAGAACGACCGATTGTCCACCGGTACAAGGAGATCGAGGAGTTCCCGCAGGCGCTGAACAACAGCCAGATGTGGAACTGGAGCTCGCGCATGTTCCTGACGGAGGCGCGGCTGAACACGACGAAGGAGCTCGAGGCCGGCTTGCCCACGAAGTACACGAAGGAAGAGCTGGACGAGTTTGAGAAAGTGCTGAAGGACCACGAGTCGTGGTTGAACGAGTGGGTGGAGAAGCAGAAGAAGGTGAAGATGAACGAGGACCCGGTGATCCTCTCGAGCGAGATGCGGGCGCGGGCGAAGGTGCTCGAGAACCACCTCCAGAAGCTCTACAAGAAGCGGCCGCCAAAGGCGCCGAAGAAGTCGTCCTCTTCGTCGGCGTCGACCAGTAGTAGCAGTAGTAGTGAGAGCACGACGGGGAGCGCGGAGGGGACGGCGTCGGCGTCGGCGTCGGCGTCGAGCGCGTCCGATACGGCTAGCTCGAGCCAGGACCCGCATCGTCATGAAGAACTGTAGATTAGACTATATACATCACCTCACGTACACTTAATGTTATTACTGGATCGTCTACATAGATGACTTGCGATGGTGTCCCTCAAGCGCTCGTGTCAGTGGCCACTAGCAGCGATACTTGGTAGGTCCTTCCTCGTCCGACACATAATCAGCCGCTGATGACTGTGGCGTACAGACTGCTGCTTCGTTCCCCCAAGACGAGTCTCACCCCTGAGGAAACGAGCTTTTTCCTGACTACGGCTGATCCTCAACTACGTATGTTCCCTGTATGTTCTCCCTTGTCCGATCCCTGCTCACTGCGCCACGGTCATAGAACGCTATGTGCGCAAGAAGGTCAGCCGCGTCGTCGATAGTAAGCCCACCTAGTGGCAATCGACGCTCGCGGCGCGTCCCACCCGGGCTTTTCCTTACCCTGCCGCGAAATACCGTAGCTGTGGATAGAGGGAAGCCAACACCGCCTGTCGGGGATGGGCAATCCTCCAGATAAGGACAGACTAGGTCTTATGCCAAGAAGCTGACAGACACTAGCTAGACAGTGCTTGCCGGTGTCTTCAAACGCGATAGACAGTAGAACAGGTGCGTGTCCCCGTACATCTTACTCACCGACGTCTATACGTTGCTCGTAGGTACGTCCAGTTCTCAAGATATAGCAGGTACGCGAACGGTCGGAAACGTCGTTTCTATGATCTTGTAGTCTCGTAGCGTTTCTATCATTGATACTATATATCTGAACCTTGGGATGTGCGGCTGTCTTGCGCATCACGAGCAAGTTGGTCATCGGACTCAACAACAGGCTCTCTCTGAGCGAAGACGATCATGAATCTAGCAAGGTTTTTGATCCGGGAGACGGGGCCCAACGAACTCCTCGCGGGGTGGCCTCTGCGCAGATGATTGCCCCCTTTCACGAAGGCTCTCCGTACAAAGAAGCAACAAAGCGGTCGTGCATGGAAGATCGAGCACTCTAGTCCCAACTATGGCTTCACTCTCACATCACATTCACCCGAGCCCTCTTTGGCGTCGGTGAACGAGAGGCGATCCCACGGCGATCCGGAAGCGAACACGGTGGCCTTTCAAGCCGACCCGAAAATTAGCGCGCCGATGGTTCCCATCGATCATCGCCAGCCTCCATCCCTTGGCCTATATAAACCCCCCTTCCTCGCCGTTCCACTCTTTCATCAGAACCCCCATGTTCACTTTTCCTCTGTCCACTCTAGGTGCGCTAGTGACCCACATCGGTGCAGTTCGATGTCGGGTCGCTGGTCGTACGCTTGGACGTGAGGGGATGCTTGTTTTGTTCCCTCTCCTTTCTAGGTGCGCCGGCGACCCACATCGGCGCAATCTGATGTAGGGTCGCTGGTCGTACGCTTGGACGTGAGCGAATGATTGTTCTGGGATAATCATCCCACATGTGTCCGCGCTGTTTCTCCTGAAGAGCGCGGGCACTACGGGCAACCTCCTTACGATGCTGTACGTCATCACCTTCCCATTTCATCTCATCCCTTGTGCTCAGTTATTTCCCCTCAGTCATCATCGGAGGTACTTCCCTGTACGGCACTCCTCCTAAACATGTACGTGACTTTACTTGCCTTGGCTCTGGCCATCTGTTAACGCCACAAACCATAGCACGCCTAGTGCATCGAGGTGTCAGCCGCTCCGTCGATAGTAAGCCCACCTGGTGGCGGTCGACGTTCGCGCCATGTCCCACTCAGGTTCGTTCCTCGCCCATACCGCATAACACCATGTCGGAGGGAAGAGGTGGACGAGCCGACGCCTGTCCGGTCAAGTCACCTGTCAGGGACGGGTGGCTCGGATTGTGCGGAGCGGGGCGTGGCGCATTGCAAGGCTGAGCCTTCAACTGGTTAGTCCCTACGCATTGCAGCATGCGACTTGGTTGGGACGCTGACTGAAGGTTCTTGGACAGCGCGCGCCGGGATCCGCGAACAAGTCTGATTGAACCATCCGGTGCGTCTTCAAATTGTCCCATGCTCGCTGACGTCTGCGGTTCATCTCGAGAGGGAACAGTCAGCTTGCAAAATATCAGGTAGGTACAGAGAAGGATAGACCTATCGTTCGATTAGTACACAGTACACTCATGGTTACTCTTGCTCGTGCCATGTAGTAGACTAGTGTTTCGGGAAAGCAATGTCTTCAGGAATAGTGTTGAAGTGCAAATACATATCTACTTACAAACAAAAAAGTGGGATTGTTATCCGTTTTCGGTAACTACGGCGCTTGTGACCTCTGCAGCAACTGGCAGGCTGTAGTATGACCATGATCATCTCGACGATCCCCGGCAATCCTAGTCACGATCCATGGAACCCCGAGTCCGTAAGTGCGATAGCCACAATATTGGGAGGAAGTACTGTTGCACATTCCAGACCATCCGATGAGACTGCTATATGGGACCCAGGAGGGGCGCTCCGAATGAGCAAATTGTTAACGCCATGTTCCAAGTGATCAGGCTACACAGCTTCCAAGTCGCTTTTCCTTCCGTACGTCGTGTGTACATGTCTGGGGATGCCAAGCAGTTCGAGAGGCTGCACGTCTTCGACAACTTTCCTCTCCACCTCGCACCGGGACGCCTGAGCTTGATTCCTCCCGGCCCATTACTAGCTCTGACGCGGACGCCCTGCAGCTTCTTTTCCAGCGGCCCATCCGAGCGCAGTGATGTAACAGCTAGGGACTCCTCCCATTAATCCTAGTGCTACGGTCGGCTCTAGACGACTGCTGGACTACTCGAATTCCCTCTTGCCTTCAGTTGACTCAATGAAGTCTAGCATGCTAGAGGAGGCTGATTTCGTACTACCTGGAGCGGGCGACTACCCGCAGTTGCGTTGTGCCTTTGTTCGCTGGAGACCGCGGTCAACTTGCGTCGGTCGTAGCACGTCTGGAGCTCACCGGTACCCTGAAGGAACATTTCGACTGTCTCTCATACTTCTCCACTGCGTCGGCACACGTCAGTAGTCTCTCTGACTGGTAGTATCTGCTGTATGAGTCCTCACGCTGATCCCTTGCGTCACCCCTTCAGACAAAGAGACGTGGCAGCCGACGATAGAGCATCTGTTCGAAGCCCTTCGCTCCGAGCCAGATCCTAGGTTCGCTGTCGTCGAGGCGTGGGCGATGGATGCCCCACAGCACGGGCACGCGGCATCGCTCAACGCACATGTGTTGCTCGACCTGCCGGACGGGCTCAGTACGCCCTTCTATGTTGCGTCCTTTTGCAAACATGCTCATTCTTAGGAGATATGGAGCAGTGGAACGCCCCTCTCAAGACCCTACTGGCCTCCGGCTTGATTGAAGGCGACCGGGTCGTCGGTGTCGGCCACTCTGCGGGTGCGTTGTCCCTGTGAGTACCGTTCAAGGCTCGGGGGCAGACCCCATCGAGGCAACAATCCTGATGTTCTATACTAGGATCACGACTACAATCGGCTACCAGTTGAATTGCCTGCCGTTCTCCTCTGTAATTATGGTCGAGCCGCCGATGATGACTCCAGATATCGTGAAACACGGACTGGAGATAGGCTGTCTTCCCATGATACGCGCGATCAACTTCGCGAAGACCCGCAAAGACATATGGTCTTCTCGGGACGAGGCGCGGGCGTGGTTTGGCACGCGGTCCCCGTGGCGGCGGTGGGATCAGCGCGTCTTCGACCTCTTCGTGGTGCGCTCGTCGGATTCTAGAACAGCGTCGTGATCTGACTGACGCAAACGTCCCTGTGCAGCGACATGGCCTGCATGACCTGCCCACCGCCGCGTACCCAGAGCGCCACGAAGGAGTCACCCTTGCTTGCACGCGCGCGCAAGATTCAGCAGCGTACACCCGGTTCGAGGAGTGCTACCGCGCGCTCGACAGGCTGACGGAGCTCTGTGCGTCGCTGCCTGTTCATGCTGTCTTGGGCGACACGCTCGACATGGTGTATGTGGTGGAGTGACTTCGCTAGCGCGGGATGCTCACAGCTTAATGACAGACCTGCCGCCGTGCACGAGGTATGCGTTAGTGAGAAGGACGGTCGTCGCATGAAGTCGATCCGGACGGTGTCAGGTGCCGGTCACCTCGCTGTACAAGACAATCCGCGCGGCGTTGCCCTAGAGATATGGCGCATCTTGAGAGATGATTACGGAGGCCAGGGTGGAACCGCGAGTAAGCTATGACACCCGTTTGGCACTACGTGGGCATGGAATTGGAGCCTTGTCCAGAATGATGTGGGAGGTCGGTGAGTCATGCCGGAGTCGCGCAGCTGTAGCTTGGCACAGGAGACAGCCCCACAGTACCTAGCTGGGCCATGATTATCCGACCGTCTTGGTGTGATGTGTGAATAGAAATGGCTCGTTCGGCCTGTCCAAGTCAACGCGACCAGTAAGAAGAGCGGCTGTATCACATTGTTCTGTCACCCTGCTGTCTGGGGCGGACTACAATCGGACAGAACAGTAACGATCATCATTGCTCAGACGTGCTCTTAAGAGCGTCTGCCATCGCCTCGAAACTCTTGGTGAGGTTCTTGGAAATGAACCACTTGATCAAGTATGCGCCAATCCCAGCAAACACCTCCCTCGACTCGTACAGCGTTTTCCCATCCTCCGTAATACTCAGCGCTTGCCACCGTTCGGCCCTGATGAACCAAGAGGGCAGCAGGTTCTTCCACGCCAAGCGATGACTGGCATCATCGTAGTGTATTATGAGCTCGAAAGCCGTCTGGGCCTGAACCGAGTCGTCCATGGTCGGAGGGATGTGCACCTTCATGTTCAGGTACTTCCCCTTAGCTGGCGTCTGGTCCTCGAGCACGGTCTTGCCAGACTTATCAGTGATCTCCTGGCTCCGTCTGTAGAGGACACGTCAGCATAAGCAACATAACATACTGAGTGAAGCGCATTGAGCTGACACGAAAGGATTCCTGTAAACGCGTGACGTATGAGATACCAGACCAGCCAAGCGGACTCGGAAGGGCTCACTCACCATTCCGGATATTTCGGGAAGTCCGAGAGCACTCCCCATACCCTCTCTGTAGAAGCGCTGATCTCTCTGGACACATAACATGTCAAAGGACCAGAGTAGGCCGGGGGCGGAAGGTTCGTGGACGCTTCTAGCATCGCGGACGACAGTGCAGCCTGGTCGCTACGAGGATGAATGATGAGCAACTCTTCTGATCCTTCGCATTATTTGCTGGAGGTTGTGTACGCACCTGAGTCGAAGAGGGCGGTACGGGGGTCGCGAGTCGCGTTGCCCTTGAGCAACCAGTGGTCTTGTTATACAACTCGCATATTTAGCGCCTGTAACTTTCCTAAAACAACCGGAAAAGGTAATTCCGTTGCTGAGTCTCAGTGGTCACGTATTCGTCGCCGGCGTTTTCGGTTCTTTCGGGTCAAACAGTGGTATTAGGACAAATTCGGGTAGACCATAGTAATAAGTCGCATGAATGCTTCATATAGGATGGACGGGAGAATTGCCGTCCCCAGAGACGAATAACAGAGACATTAGTAGCGTAGTATGTAACGCGAAGCCTGAGGTAAGGTGCATAGTCGCAGCATGGAATATAGCACTTCGGAGTCCTCGTCCTCATCTGGAGCCTGAGAAATGCTAGACCAATAGAATGGAGATTGCGGTTAGCACGCTATAATTCAAGTCAGCGAGCATTTCAATTGTAGAGTTTTTTGTATTCCTCTTACGCAGACGCAATGAACATGAAGACGTCTATGAAGCGGAGAGCATTATCTCACTGGGCAGAGCGTTCTGTAGCTTGCAAAACTCACATTGGACGAGGAGGAATGCTGCCAACGTATCCACATTCCCATCCGGTGCATAGAGCGAGGAGACGATCATCTGACTATGAAGGGCGTCCATTCCCATGTCAGTAACCGGAGAAAAGCACGTGCCATGGACTCGCATGATGCCCGCCCAGGTGCAAGGGTGAAAAGAAACTTACTTGACAGCGGACGGCGTACCGCTCAAGAGCATGGCCACAAACCTCTCCGCCTTTGCATCCGCGGGGATGAACCCGCCACGCACCATGGCCTGCACGACGACCACGCCGATCACAGGCAGCACCACCATCTTTGCAAGTGTCACGAGGAGCATGGCCATGATCGGTAGGCGCGACAGCGGCCGCGGCACCTTGATCCTCGCGAACGAGGCACCCAGAAGAATGAGCGCGAGCGGCACCGCGATCGTGTCGACGAATTGGGCTGCGGAACGCGTGCGATGTCAGCTGCGCTGCTCTTGGCAATCGGGGGCAGGGACCTGAGGGGACGGGCGGTCCGCGGCGCACTTACCTGTGTCCATCACGAACGCGAGCGGGGGCCTATTGTCTGGTCCGTGCCAGTTCGGACAGCCTTGGGATGCGCAGCTGACGAAAAGGGCCTTGAGCGGGAGGACAAGGGCAGTGGGCAACGAGATGGCAAGCGAGATGGTGACGGGTTTGAGAAGTGCAAAGAGGGAATCGCGAAGCCTGCTGCGTTTCTTCTGTGGCCCAGCCGCGGATTGCGCGAGGGCGGAGATCACAACTGGATCTTCCAAGGAGTGAATAGAGTGTACCGAGCGAATCGGAGTAGTCGGGGGAATAGACCGAGTGGGGGTCGCGGGGATGATCGATATCATAGACGGAGTTAGAGCGGCAACACGTGTGGGAGAGGAAGGAGCAGTTGCCCAGCCCGGAGTCGATGGCACTGAGGGACGGAGAGGAGAGGGCGTCGCTGACACACGGACGGGCGTAGGAGGGATGACGATAGTAAGACGCCGCGATCTTATCGTGGACCCTGCGGATAGAGGAGATAGCCGGGAAACGAGCTGCATTTCGGAGTCGACCTTTGGTTCCTCCGTAATCACAATGGTGGGCACGTTGGTGATTGGAGTGTCGACAGTACTACTGTCGGTGGATGATGGCGAGGGCGAGGACCTATCTTCTTTCGTAGGAAATGCCTCTTCGTCCTTCTTGTTAGATTGCGGCACAAAGGGCGGCGTAGGCACAATCGGAAGACGCAAGGCACGAGCAACGAGACGCCCAATAGGCTTTTCCTTCCAGGACACACGACGCTCAGCGTCCTCTCCCTGCGGAACCCCAGGAAGGTAATCCCAAGCAAGCGAGTTGGCTGCGCCGCATACCCAGAACACGGTATGGTAAGTGACGGAGAAGATGGACACATACGAGACGCCAACTAATGGGCACGATTCAGCCCGGATAGGATGAAGCGGAGTAGTGGCAATACGCACGAGCAGGGTCGAGAGCGGGATTGAATGGGGGCTGTTGAGTGACAGACATGACGATCGCGCTCGCTGTGATATGACGTAAGAAGATTTTTGGCGGTCATAAACTGCGAAACCTGTATACTGACGGAGGTTGCCCCAATTGCTCATCCCCGTCAGGACGATGATCCCTTGCCAAAAGTTTTGAGGGACGTAGCACAGCTCTCGTATCAGGACTCCCATAACGAAGCCCATGCCTTGGTAGACGAAGCCCATCATGAGCAGGGGACCGAGGGCTGACGCGTTGGAAGGCGTGAAAGAGGGGACGATGTTAGCGAAGATGAGTGCCGGAAGAGCGATGTTCATGCTGATGATGGACACTCCCCGAGAGGCGGCCGGTGGGAACATGTCCAGCTTGACGAGCACGTAGCCGCATATCAGTGTGGCGAACCTGCAAAGGGTGAGCCCAAGCCACGAGAAAGCATGATGGAGCGACGGGCTACGTACGTTTTGATAAGGGGCATCACGCCCGAGTAGACCAAGAACGCAGCGGACAACGCCATGACTGAGAGGTCGACTGATGAGAGTGGCGAGCGAGGTTGTTGGGGAACTCGACCCCGTTCAAAAAACAAGCATATATACTATGGGCATGATTGCGGCCCAAAAGTCTAGCCGCTCAGTAGACAGACAGGCCCCATCCACGAGAAGGCCTGCAAGAACAAGAGACACAGAGTTCTTCGCATGATGATCACCCACATTGAGGACATAGTGCCTTCTTCAAAGGGTGAGCTCTATCCACTGAATGGCGTGCTGATGTCGAAGGGGTGGAACTGCACCTTGCACACAGGCGGAGATCCCGTGTTGTTGCGCTCCGCGTTCCGCATCTCGCCGTCGAGGACTCCTCCAACGAAGGGACCGCTTCGTCGTTTTTGAGCAAAATCTGCCGTAACTGACCTGCGCGGTGAGGTATTTCCGCCGGTCTCTGGCTGTTGAAAAGCGACAGAATGTCTGACGGTGCCTTCCGGTCCCCGAAAAAAATCGTTGAGCAGTCTATCGGAATTCATTTTACGACAAGATTGCCACTTACTGAGCTATCCCAGCATAGGACCCGAAACGTGACAGGTATGAAGTGAACTTTGTCGATGTTCAAGGCAATCGAACGGTCACGCGTGGTTCTGCGCGCGCAGTCAGTAGACGTTCATTTCGTGAGGAGAAGGTGGCTCATTTAGATGAGCCATAGATTCGGCCCGGAGTTTACGAGCGCTCAGCTGTGCAAAAGGAGATGCGGGGGAGTCAGGGAACACAACCGACCTGTCCTAGAAACGCCACAAAGCGAGCCGCTGTACAGCCAAACGACCCCTGTAGGATCCGAAACATCACACAGCGCAAATCTCGGGAGAATTAGAGGTACGATGACTCCGCTAAATACGTTACAGACCCCGACTGTCATGTGTCGTGGTGAGTATAGCATGTCACGGCACGAACACACCTAAGAATACGCACCACACCCCAGCTATAATTAAGCTCGGCCCTCAGCTCTCGTCTTCAGCGCATCCGCGGTTGCTTGCAAACCCTGTGGCATCGTGCCACCTACGACCCGCCTCATGAGGTATCCGGAGAGCCCGCCGAACGCATGTCTAACTTCATACAGCGTTTTGCCGTCCGAAGTCGCAGTGAGTGTTTGAGCATGCTCTGCGCCGAAGATGCTTGGGAGCCGGCCGCCACCCCAAATGATTCTGTGATTCGCGTGGTCGACCAGAGTGACGTGTTCGTAAAGGACAAGGGGCTGCTTTGCATTGTCGAGAGTCGCCGGGGTCTGCACTGCCAGCGCAAGAACAGCTGGAGCACGGAGACTGGAATCTTCCGTCGGCTTGTGCGAGTGTTCGTCAACGATGATGGCCGAACGACTGGTGGGACACCAATCAGGATTCGGAGGTGTCGCAAGAAATTTAAGGGCAGGAGACGTACTGATAAGGGTTCCTGTCAGGTCGGCATCAGCGTAATGGACGCTAGATGCAAAGAATCACGAACCAAAGTGAGTATGACTGGAGATCAATCAGGATTTTCCACACATCCTCTAAGGGGGCACCGATCTCGACGCTCACAACAAACTCGGTGAGTGCTTGGAATGCCAGAGGCGGAAGGTTGCTTATCACGTTTGCTTGATGTGTATATGGTTGCTGTGATGGAGAATATGGCTTGCGAGCTAGTGATTTATACCTTGCCAATGTGCCGATCATGCTCTGAAGGGCATACACAACTGACGCGGCACGCCGTGGCCGACAGATTCCTGGGATTCCGGCAGATGAGCGTGTATCATTGACCCACTATGTTCCGTGAGAGCAAGTCAACTGCTATTACGAGGCACACGTCAGTCGAGACCATTGGGATCTGAGATGCCTGCCGTATAGCGTATCCTTATCTAGTGAGCTACAAATTCCAAGACTGACAATTCCAATGACACCGTGGTCAGCAGTAACAAAATGCGAGCTCAATGTCGTGCAGCCTCTATGTTGGAGCCGGAAAGACACGAGCTGTCGACCGGTTAGAAGACTTGGAATGTTGAGTACATGCAAAGCGCACCGTGATGCATGCTATTCGTCAAGGGTTTGCTATGAGAAAAAGTGGGCGAGATTTAGATATGATATCGGTCAGTGCAAGGATCTACCTTTCGATCGCAAGTCGACTACAGAGAACCAGTCATAAGATGTAGTATGAGAGGTTTGCAGCCAGACGCCGGCAGGGTCCAATGGACGAGCGCCAAGTCCACGTCTAGTTGTTTGGCACTGTTTGGAACCAGTGGCTGCGGAGGGCTGTACCGGTTCATCTGGGCGCTAACCGGCTTCATTGTTCTATTACAAGCAGGCCCTTTTGTTGTTCATCCACAATGAGGCGGCACGACGACCAGCACAAAGAATTATATGCCAGCGTCGTGCGAAGAGTATTCAGGTGAGGCGCATGCGCGTCTTTGATGCCACTCATAAGTGGCGTCCACGTTCCCGCCTCGTTCCCCATTTCACTTGCATCCCGCCTCCGACCCCAGCAGCGTCCAGACGCGTTCACGACTTCATTTGGGTGCAGGCACACCACTTACACGCTTTCCTCTCTCTTAGATTGTCATAGACCGTTCTTGATCCTCGTAGCTCCACACATCATCTATCCCTAACAACCTCGGTCTTTACGACAAGATGCCCACTATGAAAGGATGTGAGTCCTCAGGATGTTCGGTAACATAGCATCCGGCTGAACTGGATTAATCTTCGTCCCTTTTAGACATCTTTATTGGGCTCAACGTGGTCCGCGCGCTCAGCATCATTGCGCTATTACTTCTGTTCGCCAGCAGCATAGTGACAATGGTCCACGACGTCGAAGCTGTCAACGCCTTCATTGCTGCCGGCAAAGCGGATCCTAACATTCGTGTAGCCTCTGACAATGTGACAAACACGACCGGTGTGGACTGCATCAGCGGAGACACCGACTACGTTGAGTATGTCGTGTCACCGTCCTCACACTGCAGCCTTCCCACTGATCCTCGAAACAGGGGCAGCACTGTTCCGAATCAACCCGCCGGAGCATTCTGGGCCGTCTTAAACAGACTGCTCATCATCTTCCAAGTCATTGTCCTGATCATGTCCGAAGTCGGCTGGCCCGCAGCCTTCTTCAGTCGTTTCTTCCCTATCCTCGGTGACGACTTTGGACTGGGTGCGCTCGGCGTGATTCAATGCCTGTGAGTACCCATCTCCCCCGGTTGTCTACACCGCCCTTGTGGGCTCCTCCGGGCCCTGTCATCCCCTCCAGCGCCGTTACGGACACTGACCCTGCTTCTTTCACTCCATGCAGCCTCGGCGCGGCAGTGCTCTCCCACCACGTGGACGAGTTCTCGCTCGTCTCCGCGTTCTTCCTTTTCTCACTCGGCTGCGTCAATATCTTCTTGGGCCTCATCTTCCGGGAATCTGCGAAGTGGCGACGCTCTCTTACCTCGTGGCGCGAGCAGGACAAGAACACGAAGGGCGGCGTGCTCCCGACCACACACGGACCGCGCCCCCTCGTCATGTCCCCCGGAGGCAACACCTCTTGGGAGAAGGAGCGCGAGGCGTACGGCGGCTACGGCGCTGGCGGCGACACCTCGCGCTCGGGCAGCCTCTCTAGCCAGAAGAGTGGCATGGGCTTTGGCAGGCAGGGCGAGAAAGCCGCGCTGGCTCGAGGTGCGCTACTCTGTCCTCTCGCGAAGCGTGCTGGCGATTGACTTGTTTACACAGGCTATACCCTTACACGACCCGTTGAGGCGCTGCCGACATATGTTCCCAAGCCTGTCGCCTCCCGGCGGGAGAGTGATACTTCAAGCGTGACTGAGGGCTCCGAAACGGCTGTCTAGACTCTCAACATGGTACGAAGGTCAATGCACGGGCATCGGCTGACGTCCTCAACACGAACATCCCTACGCCCACTACCCTTCCGGGTCCCATACTAGCGCGCTCGCAAGGCTGGCGCGATATTCTGTTGTCCCATTTGGGCATTAATCGCACGATACGACAACGGTACGACCCCGCAAGACTTCTCGCTCTCGTGTGTTGCTGTGCATAAGTACATGTATTATCTGGATGGTTCCGCCTGGGGACGTTTGTAGTAGCGCCCTATTCTGTAGCTCGTAGTTCTCACCCTCTAGGGATTGTGTTAAGAATCCTATCGTGCTTCCCTTCTCTCCCCGGCCTCGGAGATGTTCCCAGGTTTGGTTGTGCAACCTTCCTTAGCAGTCCTGAGTACTGTAACAAATGAGGGTGGCCATGCGCTCGGTCCTGTCCGCGTCCCCGAGATGGTGAGTTACTTCAATCTGGCCAAGGTGAGTAGCAGACTACACCGCCGGTACGTTCACGCACTCATGAACAGAGGTGCTCACATACGGGTCGCGAGTATGCTGGCGTGACTCGCGTTGTTGTGGCACTCTGTGGGCATAACAGACTTTGTTCTCGGTGCTACTCGCAGGACTCAGAGATGCTGGCCGGCGGCAGTAACGATACCCGGACATAATGCGCTGTCAAGGCGGAGCGCTGTTACGCCGAAGCGAGCGGCTAGTATGTCGTACTCGCTGGCAGCACCTTGTGTACATGACAGCGAAGAGCCAGGAGGCACAAACACCATGACGGCTATGTCGGATCTTTGCGGGAGATGTTTCATTTTGAGGATAAGCGTTGAATTAGCCTGAGACCATTACTCTGGCGAGTACTCACCCACCATCCATTTACCAATTTCATCTACAGAGTACGCATCTCTTCCTATCGTTTATGCTCTCACCCGAGCCGTTTCGGTGTAGTCAGCCTAGTGGGCCGTCTGCAAGCGCAGCTGCAAAGAATCGTCCGGGACGCTCGGCCGGGAGGCATGAGTGCTGCGCTCCCAGATTGGAAGGAGTTGTATTCAACTGCTCAACACGATGCCGAGATCTTACATCCTCAGGGTCCAACCACGCGCTGTCCAATAGAAGAACAAAACGCCAGCCATACACACGCGACCCGATGTCGGAAGGAACAAGCTGACCAGACTTGCCACTTGTGGTCTTCCTGTCCTGAACTTTCTGCCGCACAATATATCCCTGTCCGAGTCGCCCTGGGGATTCTGACAGCGGGTCGCCAACAGGCTAGCCGCTAGTGTGGCTTCGATATCCCCACGGTGCGTTCGCGATCGACTGCTTCGTTTGGCTGTCACCGTATCGACGCAAGAGGTCCGAGCAGCAGCAGTGTAATACCCACAAGCGCCTGACACGAAAAACAAGACGTTTGCTCAGAGAACATGAATGCTGTCCGAGTTCCGTGTAAAATATACGTTAGTAATGCGATATGCTCTTCCCAGACAGACTCCAGTAGTAGAGAATATGAGGGGAAGTAGAGTGACCGATAGGCGTCTCATAGATAGATGAAGTTGAGGAAGCACGGAAATACGCCCAATCAACCCTTCGAAACAACTCCGAACCTTACACCTGCGGATATGACGGCTGCGTGGGATACGAAACTGTCGACGGCACGCTGACGGGCGAGGCCGCGGGTTGGGGCGGGTGCTGCTGCTGGAAGCTCACACCGTTCTGGTGTGGCTGCTGGTAGAGTAGCTGCTGCTGGGCGGTCTGGGGCGCGAAGGCGTCCGCCTTGTACTCCGGCTGGGAGATCACCGGCTGGGCGGTCGCCGCCGGGGCGGGCGCATACTGCTTCACGGAGGACGTCCAGATAGGCTTGCCGCGGCGCGCGGAGATGAGCGCGATGACGAGGAGGGTGACGGTGTAGCCCATTACTGGTCGAAGACACAGGGTTGATCAGTTGGGAGTGGGGAGGGATGGGAGAGAGAGGGTGTACTCACGCACGATCCACGCGAGGAATGAGAAGGCCTCGATCGCTTGCGTCTCGTGGCAGATCTGGTTAATCCAGACGAAGATGTAGTCGCATGACTGGAAGACGCCCACCGCGGCGGTGTCGTTCACGGTGAGCGCACCGGTGGCAAGCCACAGAACCCAGAGGACAGCTGGAATGAGAAGAGTCAATGAGACGAGATGTTGAGCTTGGCCGGGTTCAATTGAACTTACACAACCAGCTCAGCTCCACGATAATGTACGAAGTGAAGGCTCCCGTGCGGAGGAAATCGACGAGGAGTCTGGTGGATAAATTGGTTAGGGTGGACGTGATAGCGCGCACATGCCAGAGAATCCTTACAGAACGGGGACCGTGAAGAAGGTGAGGCCACCCGTGGCGATGCCCAGTGCAGCGTAGACATAATAGGTGGCGAAGTTCTCCTCTATGAACGCGGTGATGTGCGCACTGAGGGACGCGACAATGATACCGCTCAGGACGGCGAACGCTGTGGTTGGGGGCAGGTATGAAGATGTGTATGACAGAGGAGCTCAGAGAGTGAAGCGACTTACAGAGGGCGGCGAGACGGAGAATTTGTAACCAACCCATCGTCAATCAAACTCAACCTGTCCGACGTGTGGGATAACGTAAACGCAAGTCGCCTCGCTGGCAAGAAGTCCCGAGAGCGGAAGGGCGGGACAAGCTGGGACAAGCGGGTGGGCGGAGACAAGGAAGGAGCCCTAACGAGATGCCTGGCCACCCGCAATATAAGTCCTCGGACCCGTTAGCTGACGTCCTTCGACGTGACCATATACCGCATTGCATTGAGCAGGGCCGTACTCCGCCATAGACGGAGTCTGACTTTTTGACGTGTTGAATGCGCCATATTGACAGTTCCGAACGCGCTAACGATACTCGATCAGGTTATTGGAGCATAGCCACGAGCGTGTGTCCCATCTCGTCCAATAGAGAGCGATGCTCAGAGCTGATCAATTAATCGACAATCTAGGTGCATGGCCTTATTGTGAGCAAATGCATCGACGAGCTTGTGGAAAGATATGTAAGGCACACACGTATGCATTGCGTGCATGAAGTCGCTAAGCAGAGGCTCAAAGAAGTCGGGCCGACTCCGTGTAAACTGGACGTTCACAAGATCATGTACCTTGCACAGCCCGTACCGTGCTTCTTTGACCTATATGAGACTGGCAGACATAATTGAGTGTTGGCGGACTGTTTGGAAGGGTAGGGGAAGAACAATGCTTCTTGCGAGTCTTGGTAACTACCTGAGGCGCAACCGGGCCAACGACAACCAACACTTGACGCCTGTTTGTGGTGCCAAGTCTTGGCGATACTCGTAAATTCGGCGCTTGTGAGAATACATCTGGACGTATCTGTCGATCGGCCAGGAAATTGTCGCCACAACCGCCCATGGAATAATATGCGCGATAGTCGGAGACATTGTACGAGCACGCATGCATCTCCGAAAACAAGAAGTGTGAGCCTTCGCACCGACGCTCGAGGAGAGTCCTAGCCGATGATTTTGAAATGGCTCATCGAGGGCATTGCTGGTAAGGGCCATCACAAATTAAACTGAACGGCTTGTAGGATTGCACGCCGCGACCTGTGAGTAGCGTCGCTGATAAGATGATCCATCAGACGTCTGTGGTAAGTAAGTCAGGGGAAGCCCAAAGACATACCTGCTGACCGTCTGCCCGGAGCCGATGTCCTCGTAATGAACCTTGAAGCGTTGGTTGTGACTCCGGTTTGGAGATGACAGTGGACGTACCGATGACTCGCGGTGCAGACTGCTACTTAGCGTGGTGAGATCACACCCTGATTTTCGTGGAGAGATCTTTGAAGCGGTCATGTGATGCTCTATCAAGCTGAGTGAGCGAGTCGGGCTCTGGTGCTAAACCCGCGAGGGCACGGGCGTTTACATTACCCGTTCGGGGAGAGCTTGATGTCAGGTGATCATGCCGCCGGGAGGATCTCGATCGCGCGGTGTCGGACGAGAACGGATGCCTGCGAGTCAGTCACTGGCCCAACACCTTGTTCTCGACCACGTCTTCTGTCTCACGGTCTAGGACCACTCGGTCACCACCGTCGACTCAATGTCAGGTCTACTTGATGCTCAGGACTCAGTTGGAACCGCGAGAACATTTTATGATTGCTTGTATGCGCTCACCTTTGCCATCGTTGATGTACTAAGAGGTCGAGCCAAAGAAGCAAGCTTGATACAGTATAGCATGCCGTCGCGTGTGGGGGGCAGTGAGTGCTTTGTTCTCCACTCTTATCCTGAATATTGATCAGAGGCAATATGTTTGCCGCTCGGGACAGCAGCCCCGTTTATCAGCCGTCGCACAGCCCGCGTTCAGGATTAGCATCGCACGTCGGCGGCCGAATCGCACCGTATGCCCGAGGTGTCGCAAATAAGGAATACGACCTCTCTGCATTCGCCGGTTCCTGGATCCCCCGCAGTTGCTTCTGGATACGAGCCGCAAAGACCCGAAGAAATCGTGTAGCGCAGCTCTGGATCAGGAACATCTTCTCTTGGTTGCTGTCCCCGCAGCTGCGGCCGTGCGGGGAGATATGCGAGAAACGGGCGGTGACGTTGGCGTTCGATAGTCGGACGTACGACGGTAGGCATCGTACGGTTCCTACTGGACGCTTGCCGTGACTGGCTACGCCCTATGCCACCTCGGGCAACGTGTCACCATCGCGCGCGAGTGGTGGGAACAGCCCGGCCGCACCGGACACGTTGTTTCAGGGTGGCCTCCTCGCGAGAAGGGCCGCAACCACGGTGTATTGGGAACTGTCACTGCCCATGACAGGGTCTTGTTGGCTCGCGCATCCGGGCTTCGATTCCTGTCGGCGACAGCATTGACGGGGTGGACGAACAATATCCGGATGGACGCGATGCCGCGCGCGAGGCGCCTTGCGAGTCGCAGCGTGGATCGACCTCTCACGACATAGCGATGCGAGCGGTGGGTTCGCAGTCTTGGATGGTAAATGATTGATTTGCTATTGCATTGGCCAGAGTGGTCCGGGATCCATCGGAACATGGCCCTGGAATCCAGGCTGAGAGGGCATGCGACTCCGGCGAGAAGGTGCGAGGCGCCCAGCAGGAGTTCGAAATCGCGCTATCGATAGAGCCCAGTCCGCGGCGCGCGGCCAACGGTCTGCACAGCATCGCTGTCTTCCCATAACGCGTGACAGGCGTACTGTAACGCTGCCGGCCGCCTGAGCATCGAAATCCCGGCGCGATACACGGATTGGAAAAATTGCACTGACAAGCTATCATAGGAGGCGAACCGGAGCACGAGCAGGAACCAGGAGATGGGGCGCAGTGGAGGACGCGGCGGGGGGCTGATCTGGGCCCCGGCGACCGCTGCTGACGCGGGCTGTGACGGCATGCAGCAAAGGATGAGAACGTGCGAGCCCCGCCGGCGCTCTGACTCATCTCTATCCGTCTCCATTTCGATTTGGTAACCTTGCCTGCAACTATAAATCCTCGCAGCAACCAAGCCCACTCGTGTCCCCCCTTGCCCGCACTCTTTGCTCGCTTGTCTCGCTGCAGCTTTTGCACGCCCCCCACGTGCATTCGACTTGCTCGCCGATCCTCCTTGAACTGGTTGGCCCCCTTCCCTGAACGGTTCACATTCACCTCCTCCGCATCCTACACGAAACGCAATGGCGTCCACTGCAAGCTCTAGCTCAAACTTGATCCAGTTCCCCAAGCTTCCTGCCGTTTCATCGTCTCCGTGGGACAGCACCGCAGACAAGCTGTTCCCCCCTCAGCCGCAGCCCTCTCGCGCGGGGCGCACGCTCAAGCAGAGCAGGTCTACGGAGAGCCTCACCCAACGCAAAGATCGCGTGGAGTTTCTGCGGCGGAGAGAGTGGACACGCAGGATCGCAGCTAGCGGTGATCAGCCCGTTTTGCCAACCGTGAGTTCCCCGTTGCCCGCTTCTTCCCTTCTCCGTTCCCAAGCGACCCTTCCCTGCCCCTGGGCCGCGTTTCCTGTCCAACCCGCGCGATGCAGAGACGCTGACGCTCGTGCCGCTTCCACACAACAGAGACGCGAACGCACGTACTCCTGGGAGGACATCGTCGCCGCGGCCGACGCGGCCGCAAGCACGTTCGACTACAACTCGTCCGGATACACCGGCCGGCCGGATACCATCAACGAGACCGACGAGGACGAGGAGCCGTACGTGATCTACACCGCGAGCCCCCGCGCATCATACTCCTCGTCGTCCCCGACCCTGTTCTCCCTCTCGGCTCCCTCTGCTTACACGGCTTATACCCCACATACCCCGGGCGCAACCGTCATCTACTCGACGTCCTCCCCGTCGCACTCGCCGACACTCTCGCCCTTATCTTCGCCGGCCGCTGCCGTGCCTTCGATAGGCCTCGGCGGGCCGCACCATGTCCGGCGGGCGTCTTGGCGGGGGCCGCACTCGCGGCACTCGTCGCTCTCATCGATATCGGAGGAAGACGAGGGGTTGGTGCGCTTCTGACCTCTGATCGCCGGAACGTTCTTGCAACCATCATCGTCTGCCACCACGATGCCCGTGGCTGGCGCCGTTATCTTGGAAATCTACGCATGCGTGCGTATGATGCGCTGACTCGAGCTGAGCCAAGGCCGAAGTGGTGTCCACGCATGCACCGTATACCGCCCGCGTGGGGGATGGCCGTGTGTTTGCTCGCGCGAGGCAATGTACATACTTATACCATACCCATTGGCGAACACAGCTACGATATTTAGCCTAGTTGTACGATAGGAGAGCAAAAATCGCTTCTCGCGCCGGCGCTGCGAGCCACAACTCATGCTCCCACCTTAAACAATTGATGGACGATGCCTCGCTACTCCTTGCCTAATTTGTAGCTGTATCTCTATAATCTTGTTTTCTTGGCCTGCTGTACCATCGCAATATCACCCCCTCGCGTTCTCCCACTGTGAGTGTGCTGCAGGATGTTATCAGATCGATCACGCGACGAGCCGAAGTTGCGTGGGGCTGGGTTGATAGCCTCATGTAAGGAACGGAAGTGTTTTGCACGATCGCGGTCTCACAGACAACGAGAGGCGTGGCTTCTTGCAATTGTCCGGGTTGTCATGTGTCCCTTCTTCCCCAGGTTGCAAGGAGACGTTTAGGCACACACGAATGCGGCCGTCGCTTCTGGACGTGTTCTTGCGATAAGCCAACACGCAAGGAAGACATGAGTTGCATGGGAATGTGTTAGAAGGAAGCAGCTACCGCGGCAATAAGTAGGCGCCCACAGGCAAGAACAGCACAACAAACACGGAACGAGGAAAGAATCAAAGAGACCAATTGAGCTAGCTGTACAGCTACGCACGGGCGACAGGTATAGTATGCGAGGTATCCGTCCCTGAAAGTATCGAGAGGAAAGATCGTAAGATGGAACATGCGTGACAGCACCAGCAGCAAGGAGAAGTAAGGCAAACGGAAAGCGTCTATTTCGGAGGCAGTGGGGGCACGGGGGGGACTTCAGGGACCTCGGGGACAGGAGGGATCTGGGCCTGCTGGCGAGGGCGAGACAGCTTGCGCTTCTCAATTTCCTTCGAGTGCGCCTCGCGCTCGGCCTGCAGGCTGGTCATCGCCTGCAGCTGCTGGGCGATGAAGTCAGATGTGTTCGGCCTGGCGTGTAGAGAGAAACGAGGATCAGCTGTCAATTGAGATCGAGCGAGGAAACGGTGCGTGGGCCACGTACCGCATGCGGAGAATTCGGAGGATGGTCTCCCCGTTGCTGACGTCCTTCTCCTTCTCCTGCTGCTTCTCCTTCTTGCGGTTCTTGATCGTACCCAGGTTGCGTTGTTGATACACGCTCTTTGCACGCTTCTTGATGGAGGGGGCAGCTCGGAGACTGTGCTGCATCATACGTACGCATTCCTCCATGAGGGCGTCGCTGAAATTAAACAGGCGTAAGTAATGCTATCATGTGCGCGGGTGACTGGATCGAGGGAACTTACGTATGCCAGTCATAGTAGAGGCGGATCGACAGGATATCACGGTACTTCTGGTTCTGCAGTGCCTCGAGCGAGATTGGTCCTTCTCCGCCGGCGTAGAAGTAATCTCTCAGGAACTGCGGCAGGATGCAATCAGAAATGCTGAGGCGTTGTGTTCGAAACGCATGTTACCTTCAGCCACTTGAAGACGATGTCGACCTCCTTGTCGGTCAGCGGCTTCATCTCACTCTGGACATCGGACAGAGGAGGGATAAGCAAGCCCTCAATCACGTTCAGAATCTCCTTCCAGACGCGCGACATGACCATGTCTTTCGTTGACTCGCTCAGGTAGGTGTTCAGTGTCGAGAGGTTGGCGTCAAAGAAGTCGAACAATGGGACAATCGCTTGCTCGATTTCCACATCCGTAAGGCCTTCGGACTTGAAACGAGGTTTCTCTGACTGCGGGAGGGGTATCTGTACCTCATCCTTGCTCCCCAGGGCGGAGCCAAAGAGCGCAGTGACGTTGCCTAAGGCCTTGTTGTAATCAATGCTACCGACGGTGTTCTGCTTCATGAGCGACTTGAGGACAGGTCGAGATAGACTTTGACGAATGAAGGGCGACATCTAGGAAACGGATAGTCAATATTGGGCAACTATGATTCAGGGACCATACTATTTTTACTCGCCTTGTCAATGAAGATGCGGACCATGTCGTTCTCTGCCCGCTTGAGAGACCGGAATGCACGACCAAAATAGAACTGCAAGTCGTCCTTCTCGCCTTCCATACTAACGCGGAGCAGGATGCGTCCCTGAGTGTCCAGGTCGAACCACAGGTCATGCGTCATGAAGTCGCCGAACCGCTTGGGGTCGAGGCAGAGGTATGCGCGACCGATGGTGTCGTGCTTGCCGACCAATGCACGGTCGCGGACACTGATCATAATCCACAGCGGCTTCTCTACGGAGAGATCGAAGGACTCGTCCCCTGGAGCGTTTCCGTCAGTCCGAGATTCACGGAAGACGATGCCTATGTAATGAGGTGTGGCTAATTATAACCACCGGGGACTCACATCGGGGGCTGAGGGTCTCATATATAGTCCTTGTCTTGGCCAAACGGTTGCCCTGCTCGTCGCTGAGCGTGACGAAGGTGTCGAGCTTGGCAGCAGGGTTGGTGTCCAATGGCACAAGCCCCTCTGCAATCGCGACCTTGACCGTGAAGAGAAAACGGTCCCCACGCTCGACCTTCTCCGGGACCGGGGGCGCTGCGTGCTCGAGGACGTCCATCTTCTTGTCTGCCTCAATCTGCGCGTACATGCTGTCCAGAAGACGTCGCGCAGCCTCGATGTTGTTGAGCTTCACGCATGACTCCGGCTGGAAGGTAAACGCTTCGACCTTCTTCTCCCCGCGTTCCGTCAATTGCTTGGCCTTCTCCAGCCACGCTGACGACTTCTGGGGCTGCAGATACTCAGACGGTCTGGGGAACATCTCCGCCATAAACATCTCTTCGACGGTAGTACAGTACTGATTGATGGCTTTGCTGATGGTCTATGTCGAACGTGAGTACTGTGCTTGAATGGGTCAAGGTGCACTGACCTTGGAGAGACTCGTGAAGAACCGAGCTTCCTGATACTCGTCGATCCATTCAAGGTCTTGCAAAAATTGTATTGGGCTCCGCAGCGAATCAAACAGGTCGACGATTGATGAACTGTGGCCTTCCTCGCCCTCGGCTTGGAACTGGCATACTGCTTTCAGCCATACCCATAGCAGGAAACGCCACTCAAATCGAAACGAAACGAACCTTGTCGGCGGCGATAGCCTGGACGTGACACATCAGTATCCATTCGGCACCACATTGCAGGCGAGAGAGTAACGTACCGCTTGGACCCACTGAGTTGTCTTGTTGTCTGTGTTGACAAGCCATTGCCGCACGTACGGCTCGAAGAAGCCTCCAAGGTCAAACGAGATCTCGCCACTACTGAGCTTGTCAGCACAGACCAGACCGTAAGTAAGAGAGACGCACTTGGGACAGAACGCCTTGTACATCCCAAGCAGGGTCTTCGTCCGACGATACAGGGCAAAAATGTCCTGGATGGGTACGTCCGGTATTGGTCCGTTCATCGAATCCTCGAACAGCCGCTTCTTCGAGTCATCAAGGTCCATGAGGAAATGTGGTATCTGCACCTCGAGCATCAACGAGACGATGTCCAAGTGGCTGTGACATGAGTTAGTAGGCGCCTGTGGCGTCAAGACTTGCAATTGAGGCACGTACCCAAGGAGAGGTTCTGGGAACCGCTTGTCCAGCAACTTCGCGTTCTTCTCGATGTCGTCAGTCATCAGCAGTAATGGTAACGCCCTGTTCACGCCAGGCGCCGACTGCAGCTCCTGGAGCTTTAGGCCGTAGTACCGTGCGGAAACGTCCCGGACCTGCCCCTGAATGTCTTGAATGCGCTGGGCGACGTCCACGTCATAGCGCTCGAGCAGACCGCTTTCCCTTACAGTTTCTAGCACAGATAGGTAAGGTGCAAGATCAGAAGCCTTGATCTGAGGCAGGTCGTCAAGCGCGTGATACAGATGGGAGAGGAAGGTGCTGAAAAGGTTGCCATAGATGGTCGCGAGGTAGTCGATATCCTGCTTCGGCCACTTGTCAAGCTCGATCTCGTTCGTCACTCGCGCAATGTTCTGCAGCGCCTCGGGCACGCATTCTAGCGGCACCTCGTTACGGTCGTAGAATGCGCGGACGATGTCCAGGAAGCATGCAACACGGTATGGTTGCCCGATGCGCCACCGGAGCGCCACCTCGTTGATCAGCTCGATGTGTTGTGCCGAGAGGATACCAAGCGAGACTTCGTCGTCGTCCCCCACAGCCGGGCTCAACATAGCCTCGAGATCAGCTTGGATGCAGTACTCCAGCAGCCGCTTGTAGTATTTTCGTGGGTTCGGCGGAATGAACGTGAAGTGGAATCCGACCTGGATCTCGTCGTCGCCGTCAATCGCGCTGGGCACGCCGTCGGGGTCGCTCGGTCCGAAGTTGCCGAGAGACGAGTGCACAGAGTGGCGCGAGCTGATGGAAGACGTTCGTTGCGCCGCGGAGCTGCTCGCGTAGAACGAGTCTGGTCTGCTTGACGAGTACTGCGAGTAGATCGACCCCGGGCGCGCACCGTTCCCTTGCGTCGCGGGGAGCACCTCAGACGGTGTTGACTTGGCGAGCTCGGGGTTGAACTGGACCATGACGACCATGAGCTGGGAAAGATGAGACGTCTCGAGCGTTCGCCAGTATTGCCATGCCGCCTCGCTCTCGAAGTCTTCTCGGCGGAAAGGAAAGGGAGCACCAGCATTGATGTTCTTCAGGCATGTCTACAGAAAGGTGAGCGACCCAATTCGACTCACCGGTGCGCTATGCATACCTTCAAGTCGTTGAGCGCAGCCTAAAAATAGAGTCAGACCGCACGTGTTAGGGAGGAGATGGGGATCGAGCTCACCTTCTCTGTGCAATACTTGGCCATGTCGTCAATCTCCTGCTGCACGACGTTAATCGGAAGCTTGAATAACCGCGCAGCGGTCAGCACAAGAGGCATATCGTTGACTTGTGTGCTAAATCGTCGTGTAGAGCTGACCGAGTCCCGATTCGACGTCGACGCAGAGTCGTACCCGGAGTCCGACGGCGCCTGCTGGGTAGGCGCGAGTTTGGTGGCGTACATGTCCAGCCTGGCGGTGAGCTCGGGCGAGACATGGCTGACGTGACGCAGGCACTCGCGGAGCAGCCGCACGAACTGCGCGATGTGGTTGTTCAGCTCTACTTTCCAGCCGTCACCAGCGAGTGTGGGTTCCTTCCTGAGAACGTTGGTCGCGTTGGTGGCGAACATCAGGATGAGTTCCTCGATCTTGCGATTCTCCTTCATCTGTTTCCTGAACGTTTCGTCCTTGACCTGTCCGTAGAAGACTGCCATGGTTCGGCGCGTGAGTTGGTCAGAGTAGCTGTAGAAATGAGTCAGCGGACAATTGCTGAACCGTGACGGAAGGGGCATTGGGTGACTAGCGGATCCGGGGTACCAACAACATCGTCACGACCCAAACTGCAATGGACATGAAATTCATTCCCTCGCTACAACGGGAAGCTTGTGACTACGCGGTCACTTCAGAGGTACTCCGCTGTGGAACGCCGCCATCCGACTGCTCGCGCAGGACAGTCAGTATACCGTTAGCGGAAGTCAGATCTGAGTAACTTGCTGCACGTGGACAGAGGGCGTGAACCAGGGGACTGACGCTTGGTCCAGGATGTTCGGAGTTCCTAAGTTATACGCATTCGTTCTCATGGGGCCCACAATAACCACCTGTGTGAGGCTCGCGGAACGGTGCATGCACGCTCAATGCACGTCTGTAGGTGACGGATATGACCGCGTCGCGATGTCTGCGAGGATGCGACCGATGGCAAGTTCTGTTGCAGGGAAGCACAGTCGACCGCTCGCGATGTGAAGGGAATTGATGTCGCGCTGCCCCACCAATGCCCCAAGTAGAAGATAATGAACGTACGCAGCGTCCTTGCCCATAGCAATATCCTGCAACTTCTGTTCCAGCACCTTGATCAGATCCTTAGGGAACCGCACGCCCTTCTGGCTGTCCCGGAAGAGCTCGCCAATGGACAAGATCGAACTCGAGTAGCTGGATATGGCGCCATGTATCCGCGCTGAATAGTCTTTCTCGCGTTCCGGCTCTGGGTGAGCGGCCTCGGCCGCCTTGGGCTGCATCTGGTAGCTCAGTAGACTGAGCACAGGTCCTCGATCAGTCTTGTATGTTTGTCTGCGGCGATACTGCATGACACTCACGCTACTCTGAGCACAAAACTTGAGAAACGATAGTTGAGCGTGTTGTATCTCAATGGGATCAAAGGCCACAGACTTTATGAGCTCCTCCTCCGATACCCGGAAGCGGGATGTCCTTCGCTCGTGCATGGTGCTAGCATAGCTGCGCCTTGACATGGGATGTTTCAAATGGTGAAAGCCCTATTTCCAGCAAGCAAAAGATTCAAGAGCTCTCGAGTATAGTCGTCAAAGTCGTGAAGGAGGATGAGAAGAGCAACCAAAGCGCAGTGGACGAGGAGGGAACAGAAGGCGCCGAGAGGTGCCTGCCGGTGGCAGTCCCGTCCATTATCTAAGGCGGCGATACCAGACATGTACTCCGCCCGGCCTAGTTTCGGCTGTTTTATCACTCGAAGATGTCTGCATTTACTTCGCACACACATCCACGCTATGTCATTAGCAGGTTGCAAGCGCAGACGACGTATTATAAAGTCACAATTCCGTTCCGCAGATCTAGGCGCCCATATTCGTGTGGAGATGGGGCGCGATAGTTCACGTTTCTCTGCCGCCTTCAACCTTCGGTCATGGCTATTGGGACGAATATCACTGCATGCGCCGAATAATACCGCGATGCACTCAAAGCATTCCTTGAGGTAGTGCGGTTCAAGCGAGGGTCACTGCTGGTACATCAAAGGGTCTCCAAGAGACTCGGAACGACCGGTGCAGGTGAGTAAAAGATATGTTGCGTACGATTCTAGAGATGGTGCATCGATCAATGCTCCCAGTTTGGTATAGTATAAAGTGAGGTCTTCTTCTCGCAAGAAGACACAGCAATGGGTGATATTGCTCGGCTCAAACGGAGCGGTAAGTCTGGAAGCCTCCATGACACATCGTTAAACGATCACGCTAAAGTCCAGTAAAGTGGTCAATCGGTAATCTGTTTCTGTTCACTGAGATTATCTCGGTGAATTCAGCGACTCTAGGATGTGGGACGCACAGATAGTGGCCAATGGGACTAGCATCGTCGTCATACGATCAGATCCACTCTTCGCGCTTGTTTTTGTTATCCTAGGACTGCAGATCCTTTGATTACGACATTGGGCTGATTTTTTCGAGAGACTCCGGCCGTTCTAGCGTCGCTCTGCATCGTGTTGCCCTGCTATCGACGGATTCTAGGATCACACGGCAGCCACCATCTTGTCCTGCTACCACCACCCTCTGGTGGGCGCACTCCGACTTCCGCCTCTGCCCGTTGGGTCTGCAGCGCTGTCGAGGGTCGGGATCACATTGCAATCATGGGTGGCGACTCACTAGATTGAGGCTGTACCAGCTACGCACAGTGGCCTTACCAGATGATCTGGGGAGGAACATTGCCTTACCCTGGGAAGGGGGAAGTGCCACTACCTCGCTGTGTTGCTCTCATCGACTAGTCGCCCAGCGGATGTGCCAATCCGCTGTCGTTTGGCTTCGGTCGAACGAACCGTCGTGGAGGAACATAGCTTCACCTTGGCAAGGGGGAACAATGCGTTGGCGTCGAATTTGCACTGGTGACTGGGCCACACAATTAGCCACACTTCTCTAAAGCCCGCTACTGGGTCTCTCGATGAGATAGGGGTACTTATCTTCCGGCAGCTAAGGGGCAAAAACCAGCCGACGCCGTCCCGCGGCGACAGGCCACCCGGGACTTGTACGTACGCTTCACGCTGCGTTCTAGTCAGTTAGTCATGACTATGCCCCTTCCTTTGGCACAGGAGGGTCACTCGTGGCGAGACAGAGACCTATGCACGATTGGGCATTTGAGCCGTTCAGTCACCCGGGCTTCTGGGGGGCGAGGCACCATTCGAACCACAAGCATGGGAACGGGAAACTGGCAGCTCCTTCATTACCGTTCGGGTCAGTCCGATGGGAAGCCAGGTTACGACATGGGGGTCATCAGCGGGCCGCAGCAGGATGGGACAGTCTCCCTACCTTGGGTCGAGAGATCTAAATCCTCTGTCGGTCTGGACTGTCGTAAAACGCTTCTGTCCGGGCTTGAGTTGATACCATGTGACTTGATCTGCCAACGAGCAGCGACTGCCGGGCCTTTGGGGCGGGTGCCGAAGGAAGGAGGTGGACCTCACAAGAGCGCTCTTTACGCATGCTTACCATGCACTACCCTTGGGGAGTCGCGGCCCGAAAACCTGTAGGTATCACGGCTGCGACCACATGACTGACCTTTGTCCACAACTTAGCATCCAGGCGTGGAACGGACCCCGCCTCGCAGGCGAGGAGTTACGCTCTATATACCATTGGTGATCAACTTGGTCTCCGACTTTCCCGCAGTTCGATGGCACCTGCAGTCGATCTGACTGCATGTGTATGCCGCACATTGTCTGGTTTGTATCATTGCTCCTAGCCTTCGAGGCTATCATACATTGTCGACCACGCGACCCGGGTGCTCATAGCGTACACTTTAGAATCGTCGAGCAACACGAGTGCCTGCATTACTCAGCTGCTACAACGAGCACACACTTACCAAAGTTCTTGCCCGTCAGGACGTCGACGAGCCCTTGTCCGGCATTCTCGAGCCCGCGGACGATGTACTCCTTGTACTTGATCTCCCCGCTCGCAACACGTGCCGGGAACGTCCGGTCGAACTCTTCTTGATACTTGGCGAGGAGGGATACGATGAGGAAACCGTGGAAGGTGATCTCCCGCCACACCAGCTGCTGCAGGTTCTTGACGTGGTACGGGTCTGGCGTGTTGTAGCCGGAGATGTTGCCGCAGATCTATGCGGGCGATGATGAGATGAGGTGTACTAAGGAGAGGGCTGAGTAGAAGGAAGGCACGTACGATGAAGTGCGCCTTCTGCGCGGCAAACTCAAGGGCTGCCTCGAGAGATTCACCGCCGACATTGTCCCAGTAGCTGAGCGAGGTCAGTCACTGCGCAGAAAGTTGATCGACGTGCAGCTAACATGTTGATGAAACCCTCCTTCTCGAGCACCTCGCGGGTCTTCGTCGTCTTATAGTTGAAGGCGACATCAGCCCCGATAGACTTGACAAATTCCACCTTCTCGTCAGAGCCGGCGGAAGCGATGACCTTGAGGCCCTCCGCCTTGGCAATCTGGACGACAGTACTGAAGCGAGGTGAGTTTTCAGAGGGGTTGTATTGTGAACGTCCTCTAGCACTTACGCTCCAACAGGACCTTCAGCGCCGTGTCAGCAACATGACACAGCAGACACGGCAGAACATGAGATAGCCTACCAGACGCTGCGGTGACGAAGACGACGTCGCCCTTCTTGAAGTGAGAAAACTCCGACCAGCCATGGTGCGCAGTTCGACCTGATGAAGTTTAAAATCCTCCAAGATATGGCATGCGGTGGAACCTACCCGGCATGCCCAAAACTCCAAGGTGCACAGACCATGGAAGATTCTCCTTGTTTTCAAGCACGTGAGTCCCGACCTGCGACGGGTCGTGGAGGACTACATATTGCTGAAAAGCTGGCGCAGACGATCAAACAGAATGCTACCATGTAGAACTTTGTTTTGCGTACGGAAGTGGCCTCTGACATGGGACCCCACCTTGTAAGCAGGGTCCTCTGATCGCAGGACGACTCCCACGCCATTGTTGTCAAGCCTGGTCATGCAAACCGCGATGTCAGAATACTGCGAGGCGTAAGACGATCATCGCTCTGCTTACACTTGGCCGACACCCCAAGGTGGCTGCAATACGGGAGGACGTGTTTAGCAACTGCACCTAGGGTTCTTGCCAGGATCTGTACTCACGAAGAAGCTCGGGATCTTTGGATCTATCATCTTTCGACGCAGGTACGGATCGACTGCCAGCGCTAAAATCTTGACCAAGATCCCGCCATTGAGCGTAACGCTGTCCAGGTCAATCGTTTCGGACTCGTCGTAAACGGTGGTCTTTCCGGGAACAGGATACCCTATGTGAAGACAGACGTCGACGATGTCATTCCGTGCACAGCGACGGAGGACGGATAAGTACGACGCACCCGTCGGGATTTCGTTGAATATGACGCGTCCGTTCTTGATGGGAGCCATGGTGGTCGAATGCTAACACTTGTGTTGTACGTGGGTGGGGATTGAGCGAAGGTCTAGGAAGACTGGCGGATAACCCAACGGGTCGACCCTTTTATTGACGGGCCCTATGTGTGCTCAGCGCTCAGCTCCCAGTATGAATCGAACGGATACCAAAGCCCAACGTAGTGTCCCTGGACGCCATGTACGCGTGCGAGGTCCCTGACTCAGCGAAGAGTGGGAAGGCTTGATGTTGTCACCCTTGTGTAAGCGTCAGTGGGAGGCAGGGGTTTCTGAAGAGATTAGTAAGCGTTGAGTTGCCACAATCTGCGACCGGATCACATGGTAGAGGTCCAGCGGAAGAGGAACCCGCGATCGGAATCTGACAAGGGATGGGACTCAGCGCCAAACCGCTCAGGATCTTAAAGCCCGCACGGAATATAGGCTGACGAATGTGCGCTGGAATGATGGTGCGTACGGCATCAGCTTCGCCACTTCGACGAATCGAAAGAGCACCTTACAGAGTGCAACCTCGTGAGTCGGCAGTGAGAGAAGGTTATGTCCGGTGTACCGGATGATGGGTATTGCAGTGAATCGTGCAGGTCCTAGTTCCAGTCAGCAACACAGTCCAAAACATCCCAGCGTAGTCGTCAAAGTGGCAAAGATGAAGAGTGCAACGAACTTAGGCGCAGACTCGGACATGCCAGGGCGTCTATTACATTATCTTCGAAGGCGATGATACCAGACCTCTTGATTCCGCTCGCCTCAGTTTCTACTACCAGGTGCCTCCTTCGCACAAGAGCGCAATTTTACGCGCATTCGCCCCACAGGACGACGCACATGAAGTGGCTGCTTCACATCTCGGTCGGCAGTTCCGAGTGCTCATTTGCACACGGCGTCGCGCGATGTCCGGATGTGCAGTCACTGTACACCCCCCACTCAATAACCAATAACCCTAGAGTTGTATGACCGCATTAGTTCACTTTCATGTTGATACATTCAAGGGATTGGCCGATGCATCTCCAGTTAACGGAAACGCTGCCAGTACAGATCCTTCACTAGGATTCCTGGGGTAGATGATCATCGCTGGAGATGGTGCGTCGACCAACCGTGGCTTCCGATTGTCGAAATCTAGCACGAGTAATTAACCGTCCTAACAGGTAGAATCCTCACTGCGCTAGGGGCTGGCCCGAATCATATCGAGACTCTGCTAGCACTGAGGAAGCCCCTCCGTTCTGACAGTGCTGTCTTGCCTTGCTGACAGATACAGGTTTTGAGATGATTCAAAGACAGGATTGGCTTTGGAATAATAGGACAGTCGGATTCAATTTCGAAGAACGGCAGGATCCAGCTTCTAAATACTAGATGCTGAGCGGGAAGAGACGGCCACCGTGCCGCCTCCGGTCCCCCGGTCGCGATGGGGGTCAAGAAACAGCTGCCGGTTGTCTCGGAGGCTGTCCACCGCGTCGTCGTACTTTCATCGAGAGCGAAAGCGATCCTCCAAGGGCGATGCTGTCGCGATGGATACGACGCTCGCCGCTGGCGAGGATCGACCGCGTCGCGATGGTGCTATTCTTGGAGTGGATGCGGACGGCGTTGCTCGTGTGGGCGGCCTGGTGCGGTCTGTCGCTTGGTGAGTGATTTACTCTGAGGAGGGGCCGTGGGCGTACAATTTCGGAGCTAACGTGCATGTATGTAGCTTATATACCTACACGACGTCTAACATGTACCTGCTAAAGCTACTTGAGACACGGGATTGATCCTAACGGGGCACCGAAGTCGCTGAAGGGCTGCTTGTGGGATGTCGTGCTATATTCCTTGGGCGGATGCCAAACCCAAGCCAACTGGAGTGCAGTATAAAACCTAATATCTTACGACCCTGTAAACCTAGTTGCATAAGGCAACCGAACTTTGTCATGCACAGGACGCCGTCTTGGAAGCCAAGCTGTACTGCGGTTTTTAAGGCCTTCATCGATTGGTGCTACTTGACTCATTGAAAAATGAGGTCTGAAGCAATACGATCTCCCCGTTGGACTCTCCGAGTCTTGTGAGTGTTTATTCGGAAATGATGGTGATGCGCCGGCCTGGCGTGCCGCGCGGCGCTCATTGACGTTATCTGGCAGGGGAGGCGGGGGTGGTGAACATGAGTAGCGTGATATCTGACATGCATATCCATGCGTTCAGATTCGAAGCTTTCTCGGAGCTTCTGTGGATTCTCAAGCGCACTTCTAGATCAAACTCAAGGGACACCGTTGAAACCCGAGGAGTGACAGAACGGAGGATGGTCACCAGCGTTCCGGCAGTGGCAGATGCATCCCCGACAAATGGGCCCTGCAGAGCCTCTGGTTTCAACAAAGGCAGGAAGTCCACCTTCACGGATATCAGGCCCCCCCCCCGTGCAATTGCTTGAGTCATTCTGCTGAAGTGACTTGAGGCGACCCACCCCCATCTACGACGCTTACCCTGTACCCCGACTCCACCGACTTCGAAGAAGATCATGGACACCGTCATGGCGTTGCCTCCCTGCTGCACCAGGCTCATTCCCACTGATTGATGACTTCTGCAACCAATCCGACTGCATTTGTATCCTCTTTAGTCTTCATATTGCGTCATTCCTCCCGGCCTTCCTGGAGGCGGATATGGGTCAGCCACAAATTGACCTCGGTACTATTCCCGCAGGTACCCCGCCATTTCAGGTTGGGTCGCATCGTACAATTTTTCTCACTACTCGCGCAGCTAGAATTCGCACTAGCATCTTGTCAGCTGCCCTCCGATACCCTCGTCAATGCCACTGAATTCATGAAGGCAAGTACCGAAGAGATCGTTGAAGAAAAGGCTGCGTGCGCTGCTAAGAGCTCAAACGGTCTACCGACGCTAAGTCTACATATTACAGTGTGTCAAGAATGAATTCAAAATGAAAAAGTCTCACCAATTACCCAGACAATCGCGCAGAAGTTGTACCAGCCTCGTGCCCGGAGTGCCCTTCCTCTGTCACCTGCAATCATGTTTGAGGGAAACCTCATTGCGGATTATGCTATTCATGGTGGCATTCATCGTGTGGCCGGCTACGGTTCACCGGCTTTCTCGTCAGAAACTGAATTAAATCAGAAGATGTCTGTGAGGATCATAGTGAGTCGATGGCTCTCATCTTCGCCTGTCACGTAGTAACACCTGGCACGCTGCGCTGTAGATCGAGGGACACCGCCCCTACAATCGACAAGTCAACATTTTGCGGGCCAATGCGCGGCGACCGACTCGAGGCCAGCTCGCAGTCACGGTGGCCAGAGAAGTCGGCCACTTCCTGGTGAGCTGAGCTTTCGCGAGCAGTCATAGATATAGGACGGTGCTGACGTTCGGGTTGTGACTGACACAGGAGAGGGAAAGAAAAGGAGGTAGCCCGGTGCGCTATGAGGAGGTGGAGCTTGACCTGCGTGATGTTGTTTTGCTGGGCGTTCACCACGTCTCCCGGGGGAGCTTGCAACCCGCACTAGGGGGTCGTGTATCCTAAGACCTGAGTGGATCGTAAAGCGCTAAGAATTATTCTCCGTGCTACTCGCGTAGACCGTTTGTGTGGGGTCGAACAACAGAAGTGTATCATTAGTCGAAACGTTTCAATCACTACTTCAGGCTCCACAAGCGCCAACATCACTCATCTGCTACAACGAGCACGGTCTTACCAAAGTTCTTGCCCGTCAGGACGTCGACGAGCCCCTGCCCCGCGTTCTCGAGCCCGCGGACGATGTGCTCCTTGTACTTGATCTCCCCGCTCGCAACGCGTGCCGGGAACGTCCGGTCGAACTCTTCCTGGTACTTGGGCATGAGGGACCCGATGAGGAAGCCGTGGAAGGTGATCTCCCGCCACACCAGCTGCTGCAGGTTCTTGACGTGGTACGGGTCTTGTGTGTTGTAGCCGGAGATGTTGCCACAGATCTATGTGGGCGATGACTAGGATGAGATGGGGTGTAGGAGAGAGCCGAGTGGCAGGGGGCACGTACGATGAAGTGGGCCTTCTGAGCGGCAAACTCGAGGGCTGCCTCGAGAGATTCGCCGCCGACGTTGTCCCAATAGCTGAGCAAGGTCAGTCACTGCACAGAATGTTGACCGACGTGCAGCTCACATGTTGATGAGCCCCTCCTTCTCGAGCACCTCGCGGGTCTTCGTCGTCTTGTAGTTGAAAGCGACATCCGCCCCTATGGACTTGACGAACTCCACCTTCTCGTCCGAGCCGGCGGAAGCGATGACCTTAAGGCCCTCCGCCTTCGCAATCTGGACAACAGTACTACAGCACGGTGAGCTGTAGAACGATCGTATCGTGATGGTCTTCTAGTACTTACGCTCCAACAGGACCTTCGGCACCGTGTCAGCAATATGACCCAACAGACGCGGCAGAACGCACGGCAGCCTACCTGATGCTGCGGTGACGAAGACGATATCGCCCTTCTTGAAGTGGGAGAACTCATACCAGCCATGGTGTGCAGTCTGACCTGATGGATGATGAATATGGTACGACAGAAGTGACGTATGGCGGGACCTACCAGGCATGCCACAGACGCCAAGGTATACAGTCCATGGGAGGCTCTCCTTGTTTTCGAGTACGCGAGTCCTGGCTTTGGACGGGTCGGAGAGGACTACGTACTCCTGGAACGCTGGAGCGACGATGTTAGACAGGGTGATGCGATGTGAGATCTCATTTTGCTTACGGAAGTGGCCTTTGACATGGGACCCCACCTTGAACGCAGGGCTCTCCGACCGCAGAACGACTCCCACGCCGCTATTGTCAAGTCTAGTCGTGATAACCACGGAGTCAGTTCACTGCGACGCCTTACGTGATGATCGCTCCGTGGACTCACACTTGGCCGACTCTGAAAGGTGGCTACAATACGGGTTCAGCAACCGAGCCAAGGGGGTTTCGGACATTCCCAAGATCTATACTTACTAAGAAGCTCGGGATCTTTGGATCTATCATCTTTCGACGCAGATACGGATCAATCGAAAGAGCCAAGATCTTGACCAAGATCCCGCCATTGAGAGGAACGTTGTCCAAGTCAATCGTCTCGGACTCGTCGTAGACGATCGTTTGTCCGGGAACAGGGTAACCTGTGCACACACGTCGATGACGTCATTCCCGTCTCGCGTGAGCGATGTTGATTGCGCACAGAGAGGAAACATACGACGCACCCGTCGGGATTTCGTTGAATATAACGCGTCCATTCTTAACAGGGGCCATGGCAGTCAAACGCTGAGTAGTAACGCTGTGAGTGGGTGGGGGATGGTTAATGATTGTCTTGAGAAGCCGGTGGAAAACCGATCGACCCTTTTATCCACGGGCTCCAGACGACTCCGGCCTTCGGTAACAATCGAATGGAAAACACAGCCCAACACATCGCTCTTCCTTGTCCCGGATCGCGACGTACGCGTGAGAAGCGCGTGGAGGTCTGACTCAGCGACGTCGCTATCATGATGAGGGAAAGAAAGCATAACTTGCAATAGTATAATCTGAGTGAGCAGGACTTCTACAATTTTCGAAGCTTGCTTTAGAAGCGATCAGTAAGCCGGTGAGCTGGGTGCTTGATCATTGCACGTTGCGACCACGACCGGAATCTACATCGCAGCTGAGGGATTCGCGATCGGAATGTGATCTGGGGATGGGACTCAGGGGAAACGTTCAGAACCTTAGAGAGTCCGAACGGGCTTGTGAGTAGGCTGACGGAGGTGCACGTGCATTGGGCATGATTAGGCGCAAAGCCGCATCACCGAACTTGAAGTCGGTGCGGCCGAGACGCTTCCTTGGGGGTTCAAATTGCTGTCATTCTATGATTCTCATCCTCGATGACATCTTGATGAAACTTGTAGATCTCCACCAATCTTTAGGTGAAACGCCAGATTCTTAGACCCCCCTCTACAGAGGTGTCAGCTAAGAGCTCAAATCCAGACCCCTAAGTCCCGAGTCCACAATAAGAGTATACACTTGACAACGAGCACGAGCACGCTACAAGAACAGCTCGCTCAGGGCCAGCAAGTGTTGTAGAACAATGTTTGAAAGTTTCGTGCGAGCACTGTCAGATTGAGAGTATTGAGATTGGTGAGGAAGATTGTCGTGAGCTAGCAGTTTCTTCATCATGTAAATCCCATGTAGGATGCCATGAAAAGACGTGGTAGATCCAGAGTTTTCAACAATTCAGAGACGATCGTTGGATTCAAGTAGAGGGCCAGGCGTGGTCGTCGGGCGCTTGAGCTGCCTAAACGAGGGTTTCCGGATTGGGCCGCGGAGGTCGAATGTTCTCGGGTGCGCTGGAGCGTGGTGGATCGCCCTCGTCCCCTCCGTCTCTGCTCGTCGTCTTGCCCAGAAGGAAGTGGATCTGCATATTCTCGAACAAGCCACATACGCCTGAAGGCACTCGAACATGTCCCCCAGGTATGTTATATACCCATCCCATCCCCCCGCCCCAGTCCTCACTAACAACCATCTCGACTACCACTCGCGGTCTATCGTCGCACATCTCTACCATGTTCCCATACTACGGTTACTCGGCGCCCTCTTACTCCGTCCCCTCAGACTCCGAGTACCTCCGCGCTCTCGCCGAGGAGCGCGCGGCTCGTGAGCAGTATGCCGCAGCCCGTCGTGCCCAGGAGGAGGCTCGTGCCCGCGCCGCTCGCGCGAGGGCTGCGCGCCGTGCGTATGCTTCGCCCTACAACTCGTATCACGACGACGACTATCTCGACTCGTACAACGACCTCGACCTGGGCCTCGAACCCCTCGACGACGCTCTGGGCTCGTATTACCCTGGCCCAAGCTCTGCCAGGTCGCGCCCGCTCAGCTACATGGACGGTCAGCGGCCTTATGGCTTCGGGCTCGACCCGTACTCGCAGCGCGCCATGTTGGAGGAGCAGCGCAGGAGGCATTTGATGGAGGAGCAGAGGAGGAGGGAGCTGCTGGAGTTGGAGAGAGAGAAGGAGCGGAGGCGGCTCGAGGAGGAGCGCATCCGGAGGATTCTTCAGGAGGAGAGGATGCGGGAGGAGGCTGCCCGGCAGAAGCTCCTGGAGGAGGAGAGGATGCGGAAGGCGCTCGAGGAGGAGAGGATCAGGCGCGCCCTCCTCGAGGAGGAAGAGGCTAGGAGGGAGCGCGAGCGCGAGCGCGCCCGCATTCGCGAACAGCAGCAGCAGAAGCCCATCGACCCGCTCGACATCCTCCGCGCCCTCGGGCTCGCGCCGCCGGCGTCCGTCGGTGAGTCTGAGAAGGTGAGCATCCTACGCGTCCACTTGACAAGAACCAGTCGCTGATTTCGATACAGGAGAGACTTGGTCGCCAAGGCGCACGCACCACCCAACCCGGCCGTCGCACGGGCACCACACCCAGCCCCGTCCGCCCCTTCCCCTTCGGCCAGACCCCCAAGACCACTACTACCCAGCGTCAGCGCGCTCCATCTCCCAACCCGGTGAAGAAGACCCCTTCTTCCCAATCGACATCCATCCCCATTACGTCGCCCAAGTCCTCCGCGAAACGCGTCCCCACACCCTCGCCCGCGCAGCCTCCAACCCCCGAGCAGCTCGCGGCCGCCGAGAAGATCCGCGACGCCTACCGCGCCCGCGTCTCGCGCCGCGCAGCCCTCGCGTCCATCGCGGCCATCCGCAAGCGCTTCCTCGCCGCGCGCAACGGTTTCACGCTCCCGTCCACGCTCGACTACGACATCCCGACGAACGGCCGCGTCCCCACCACCGTCTCGCTGGGCGCGGACACGTCCGTCGAGAAGCTCGCGCGGCTCGCGGAGGACGACGAGGCGGACGTGCTCGAGGGCGCGCCAAGGCTCGCGTACTCGCCGACGAACGCGCCCCTGCACGGGTACGAGGAGGAGTTGAATAGGATATTGGGCCAGCTGGACGCGGTGGAGAGCAGGGGCGACCAGGGCGTGCGCGCGGCAAGGAGGGAGCTCGCGAGGGCGGTTGAGAGGGAGGCGGAGCGCGTCGAGAGGTGGAGGGGCGTCGTGTGGAGGTGGTGGACGGAGGACCAGCCGAAGGAGGCCGCTGCGCCCGCTGAGTCGCAGCAGATGGAGGTCGAGCCGGTCGAGTCTGTCCAGACGTCCGCGGAGGTGGCCCAGGTGCCTCAAGGCGAAACGTCCGAGTCTGCCGCGACCGAAACTCCGATGGAGGTCGAACCAACGACGGAACCCCCACAACCTGTCTCCGACTCGTCTGCAGCTACCGCTGTGCCCCCTTCGCCCTCGAACGGCACGAACTCGACATCATTCTCTGTCCCCATCTCTAGTCCCACCCCGCAGGCTGTCGAACCCGTCGAGTCCGCGCCCACGCCTGAGATCGAGATCACCGACGCGAACGATGCCGAGGCGCCCTCGCAGCCTGAGGCCGAATTGGCCGACATCGACGTGCCCGTCGCGGAGGCTACTTCATCGCCCGAATCCGCCCCGTCACAACATGCGCAATCCGACAACACGGCCTCGGAATTAGCTGCAACAGAGGAACGCGCACGGTCTCTAACGCCAGAGCTCAGCCACGAGCATAGCGAGGCTGAGGAGATGGAGGTCGAGCCGCAGGAGGTGCACACCCCCCCGCCCGCTGAGCACACGCCGCTCGTGTCTGTGGATGCGTCTCTGCCCGAGACGATGGACTTGGCGCATGAGCAGCAGAAGCAGCCTACCTCGGAAGCGAACCCGATCGAGGCGCAACAGCAACAGGTTGCGTGAGCAGCGCTGTTGACGACTTTGTTGGATACCCGGAAAATAGCAACTCGTGACAGTGTTGGACTATCTTAGGCTGTTAACTCCAATGTATGATAGGGATAATCTTGTATCATAGCACCATCATCACTACTCCTATGCAATTGTATGGTAAATACATGCATTCAAAAGAAGTCATCGCGTGCTGTATTCCTCGTTCAAGACCGCGCAAGCTGGCTGGCAAGAAAGTCCGACTTGACCAAGTCTGCAGCGCGCTCGGCGATCGCGATGACAGGCACGCAGGGGTGGCCGGAGACTTGGTCGGGAAACACCGACGCGTCGACGACGCGAAGGGAGCGCACGCCGTGCACCCGCAACCTGAGGTCGACTGCGCTCGTCGTCAGGTCGGTGCCCATCCGCGCGGACGATGTCTGGATAGATTGGACAGATTGGTGTGGGTTTTGTCGGTGCAACTAGTAAGTGGTGATGCGAGGGACGTACCGGATGCAGAGCAGACGTCGCGTGCGTCTTGACCCACGCCTCGAGTTCTTCGTCCGATACCTTGTCTGGGTCGGCGTCCCCGGGCCAGTAGAAGTCGGGGTCTTGCGGTGCAGTGGAGAGATTGCGTAGGTCGAGGGCCGAGGATAGAGGCGCAGTACGCGCGAGGTGGAGGATGAAGCGCGTGCCCCGGACGAGCGCCTTCAGGTCGCTTTCGTCTTCGAAGTACCTATCGCGAAAGGCATCTCTATGAGTGAGCCGGCGCGAAAACTTGCCACGCTGTCAAGGCATTGCTCACCTGGGGTCGATGTTCGGGTGATCGTATACGCTAGACGATCGTATGGAGACGGTGCCAGTGCTTGCAGGCTTCAGCAGAACCGCACCCTTCACCCATACGGTGAGCGCCGACTCTCGTTTGACTGAGGCCGTCCACATACCACAGAGATCCCGTAGTTCCCGAGACGAGGGAAGCCCAACCCATAATTGATCACAGCCACGGGGAAGACCATGAACTCCAAGTCGGGAGCGTTGGGTCCAGAGGTGAGGTCCTTGATAGGGAGGGGCGTAGGCCCGTACGGTAAGCTAAGGCCTGTCTATGAGCCCCTCAAAGTTGTGTACTGGACTTGAAAGACAGACCTCGGGTCGTGCAGCTTGGTGAAGATGCCGATCTGGGCGCTGAGGGACGCCATAGGACCGCGGCCGAAGAAGAGCCACTTCATCATCGCAAGGGCCGCGTAGAGGGGATTTTGGGTAAGGTGGTCCCATGTGCACCCGGGCTTGGCCCGAAGTACCAGAGTGCCTGCGGAAAAGTGCTGTGGTGATTTGAGTAGGCCCCATGTTGACGAGACCGCTCAGCTCGAGAATGACGTACATCAAGCAAGCCGCGTCCGACGGACGGCAGATCGCGGACAACAGGGATGCCCAGCTGCTCGAGCTGAGACGCGTCTCCGATGCCTGAGAGCTGCAGGAGCTGGGGGGATCCTACGACACCAGAGCACAGTATCACTTCCCGCTTGGCGCGGACGGCGAACCTGCGAGCAAGAGGACCTGTAGAGAGCTGTACCCCGATCGCCCTGGGCACGCCATCGAGGTCTTCGGTGAACAGGATTCGCTCGGTGAAGGTCGACACCACTACGGTTAGGTTAGGTCTGCTGCGGACCTCCTTGCTCAAATAGGCGACGGCCGCAGAGCTTCCTGGTACTGGAGTCAGAAGATAGTATGGCACGCGAAGAGGCCGGCAGGACTTACGCTCAGCGCGATGCACTGCCGCCGCGAATGGCCCGGCACCCAGAGTACCTTCGGTATCGAAGTCGCTAAGGTACACTTCTAGTAGACGCATCTAGCGGCGGGGCAACTGTCACGCACTTGACGATTGGCAGGCCCAGCGCTTCTGCCGCCTTCAGAACGGCGGCGCACACAGGCTATGATGTGTTGGTGAGGAGCCGTAGCAAGGACACGAAGAACCGAAGCGGAACGTACAGCGAGCAGTGGGACTTTGCTTTTCCGTGGACCATCCTGGAGTGCTTTCTCGAAATAGCTACAAAGTGCCCTTTGAAGAGACAGTCGTATTCGAATTCGTTGGGGATCGCACTGACTGTTTCAGATTTGCATATCCCCATCCCGTAGCACCTCGTCGCTCCCAGGCGTCGAAGTCTGCGAGAAGGTGAGGACACGGAAGCGGCGAGACATGTACTCATGCGCACCGTCTGGGGGACATTGGTGGTATATCATGGCATTGATCGAGCTGTGGGGTTCCAAGGTGTCGGCTGACGTACCCAGGTCGCATCGACGCCAACACATACCTTGTGCCCCCAAGTATCTTCCCCCTTGGCCAATATACCGTACGGCCATGTATGGTTTCTTGCGGGCTACTCTGTGCGTTAAACTCACGTGGACGTTGGAGGAAGGATCTATGTGACATACGCAGTATCATAGTTCCAATCCGCGTCGCTCTTGAGTAGCTTGTTCCACGCCAAAGGAATCCGCGAGAACAGGTTGCCTTCGTGACTGCGTGTGCCGATTAGCTCTATGCATATGCATGGCTGGACCGATAGGAGACGAACCTCTTCCCGGCCTCGACAAGGAGGACACTAACGGTCCGGTCTTCCGACAACCGAGACGCCAGGACACACCCCGCCGGGCCTCCAGATGGTTGAGCGTGAGTGGGCGACCGTGGTGAGAGAGGCGCTACTCACCTCCACCAACGATGATGTAGTCAAAGGACTTCCAGTGCTCCGTCTCTACTTTGGAAACCACGCTACTCACAGTGGGAGTCCAGGGAGTAGCAATCGATGAGGGGCCGCTGACCGGGGCAGCCTTCGACGTTAGCACACCCATCGCTGGACCAAAGGTGACTGCAGCAATGGAGGAGAACCGTGGGCAGGGCGGGACGCGTGGGTGCTTTGATACATGAAAGGAGAGCATTTCATTTATAGCGTTCTGGTTCCCCATTTGACAGGCGAACTGATGTTTCTGTGTCATCTTACCTCATCCGAACGGCGGTCCGCTCGAGAACGGAAATTGCTGCTGCTCATGGAAAACATACAACAAAGAGAGCTCTATGATATCCTGATTAAAAGACATTTTCAAGGAATCACTCCAAAAGGGCGCGGTTTGGACATGAAGCCAGGCGCACAACGGGCAGCGTGGAAGCCCCATACAGGAATAGCTATAATAGGCGCTCTACGTCCAAACGCCGTGGTAGATCTTCGCTGCAGGCTCATGGTACGCTGTAGGAACGGAGTACAAGAACTACAGATGGATGATATTCAGAATCAGGGAGACTCACCCATCCGAGTCATGCCTGGTGAAAGAATGGCTTGTGAAGTGCGAATGCATAGGCCAAGCGTACACGTTCTCCCCTCACCATGAACTAAGGAAGGTACAACGTTGTGGAAATTCTTTGATGCTAGTTCTTTAGAGCCTGGAAGCATGATGCAGTTTTCAGCATTAGCGAGCCGTTTTCGACCGAGTGACCTCCACAGGCTGTGTGAGTGCTGTGCTAGACAGATTCTCGTAGACTGACGGGAGATAACCCAGTCATTGAGAGAGCTAATGAGGATGGCTTATGCCAAACCCGGTATACACGACATTGAAACTGAGCCAGAGTGGAATGAAAGTGCTGCAGGAGTGCTGAATCCCCAGCGCTCATCAAGACTTGACCGCTGCTTGTATGTGTTTGGCAGATGCGCACCTAGTGCTTTTCCCACGTCTCGATCGGTATGTAGCTCGTCTATGTTACCTTATGACAACCACTACCTACTTCTTGGCGATACCGCGAATTCGAACGGTCTTCCCGAGGCCATCATGGGCGCCCTATTCACAAGTCGTCTACCGCTTCCTACACCTTCCTCACGGCGACGAATTTCCTCAGCGCAAACCGGGAATGGGCTACCATCACTCGCCATACATCATGTCCTGAGTTTGCGCCTTGCGAGCTAAACGTGTTCAGGTACTTTCGGAGAGCGGAAAGGTAGTATATGTCGCACTCTTCGCACTTGTTGTGGGTACCTCCCCAAAGACCGTCATGTCCATGGCTCATCTGCTCTTCACCGCTCTGCGTGCGATGTGGAGGACGTGCATCTTCCCCAAACGGAGCTCTAGCAAGTGGACGGAGCTCAGTATGCGGTATGCCCTTCTCTAGCATCTTGCTCACTGGTCGCCCTGAGGAGCGCAGCAGCGGGGTCTCCGTTCGTCCTTGGTAGGGAGGTAACGGGCGCCCATTATATTGTCCAAGACTCAAGACACCGGAATCTCGACGACCTGCAGGTTCCTGCTACGGCTCCCCCCTCCCTTCTTAATCGTATCCCAGATTGCCTGCTACGGCCTCTTGACCTCTTTGAATTCCTGCTTTCCACCTCCTTGCCGAGAGCAAGAGACCGCTCGAATCGAGCGACCTTGAGCTCCTAGGGGAACTGGTCCTGTGAAAGAGACGTACCCTGTCCATGACGTATTCATACGTAGCTCTTCATGATGTCCTCCCACTGCAGAGTGCCCTGATGAACCCCTCGAAGCTGTGCGTCTCTGTTCTCCCCACCAGGGTTAGTTTCTGTGGAAATAGTCTCCCCACCTTGGGTCACCTCATACGTATCAATAGATATAAGCATTCTACCCGGACGTTTTCAGTGACCTGTCCAATCGGAGCTGCAAAGACGTTGGGGATATCCGCTCATAATAAAGTGAGCCTTTGCTTGCAATTGCACCGAGATCATCGTTGCTGATCTCAACTCAGCGATTTCAACTCTTCGGAAGGAAAACCTTGCGCTGGCTACTCCTTCGCCGGTCTTGACAGACGTAAGTTGTTGGAACTTTATCGACCCCAAGTGAGTCAATGGTTACGGTCTGCCATCACGGTCGATGGCGCGTCCGACAGATGCTGTCTCAGCTATCTCGAGACAGCTATCTCAACATTGGAAGATTGTCAGCTCATGATTAGGGCGACACGCCTCCTCCTCCGTCTTGCAAGGACTCCACCATTGTCCGATGCGCTCCGCCTTCGGACGCTGAATGCACCTGGGAATCCGCTGCCATGCCCAAGCGATGCGGATCCGGAAGAGGTGCTTCCCCACCGGTGTTGGCTGTTCGTAACGCTTTCCGCTTGATAGATGCAGTCAATCTCATTCGACGCTACGGGACTTCCGCACGGCAACAGTGAGTGCTGTGCTTATATCTTCGCCGTGTCCCTAGCGCTCTCGGACGTCGAGGTCTGCCATGCTCTTCTATCGGCGCAAAGTCATGACAATCGACGAGGTACGCATCCATCTATCTCAATCATCCTCGTTACTACACTACCCTCGTTACGACGCTACGGAGGCTGGCCATTTGAGGCATCGCAAGCTCGGGTCGCTGTAGAGAAGTATTGGCGACGCTGTAGTGGTGTCAGGCGCCTCAGTTGCTGGATCTGCGGATGCTGCCACTCATTCGTACCTTCATACAGCTGCCTTTGAATATGGAACGACAGATATACTAAGTGAAGAATAACGTGCATTTTTATGCTAGCATTTGACCATCGCCAGAGGACGCTGATACATCATCGGAAGACGAACCTCGTTGGCAGGTCTCTGGCGCTAGCTACGAAAGGCGTCTCGAAGCGTGTACATAAGAACTAGCCATGGCGTGTTTCCCCCAAGCGACACACCTTCCCTACCAGCCTTTCACGATACCTCTGCCTCTGCAGTGCCACCGCCTCAACACCTCATTACGGCATACAACTCAGTGGTTCAGGCCGAGTTGGATATTTTGTGAGTGCTGTAGCCCCTGCACGTCATGTAGCTACTACACTTCCGTCTAGATTCACAAATCGCTGGGAATACGCCTCCGCTCGTTTGTTCCTCATGCAGGCAATCAACGCCACGCACGTGTTGACGAGCAGAATGCATCCTCATTGGCAGCACTATTGGCTTACGACTACATCATCACCTTCAACAGCGAGGTAACACTCTTCTGGATGGGAGGCCACTTGTCCGGCGCGACAATTTTGTTTCTGCTGAACCGATACGTCACCCTTGCCGAGCGAATCGTTAGTGTGTCCTCGTTTCCTTATTCTGTAGAGGTATGTCTTCCTACGTTTAGCATGCGCGGATCAATGCTTGACACTGTGTCAGAGGTATACATCGTTCTTGACAGCCTCTTGATTGTGCAACGGGCCTTACGCATGGACAGTGTGTCTTCGTCATTTGTTGCCACGGTCGTGTTAAGGGCCGTGCAGTATCTACCATGGGCTGGTACTAGACTGCTCTACTGGCACGCTCTGCATTGAGTCGACACCTCTGACAGCGACTTTGTTGTACAGCATTCTCAACGCTCAGGTCATATGCCTTGTGCCCAGACCCCTATCGATAGCCTGTTGTTGCACTTTCTTCAGTACCCATCGTTACGGAGATGTAGTGCGTACTCTGGATCTGCCATGTCCGAGCAGCACTCAATTGTATAATCCTCCCAAAGGGCAACCTGTACAGATTCAGTTTTGAATGATCCAGTGCTAGGAATCACACGCAGTGATCCGATACCGGCGAGCACAGTCCTGAAGTAAGTTTACGGTCACGTTGCTCTAATGTGATATCTGACGCTACAGGTGGAAGACGTACGTGCACTTATCACAGCATTATAATAAGTAGCGGCACGTTCTGAGACGAAACGTGACAGTGGAGGTGGCGCCGCGATCTTCTTTGATTGCTTGTTATTTGGTATTGTTCGGTGTTACCTGGTTCTGAACATATGAGACCGTCAAGCTATCTCTCCGGAGCCTTCGCAAGCAAACCTTCGCAAGCATCCTTCTCCTTGATGGTGTGTCTTACAGCTCATCACCTGAGCCTGATGAGTTTACCAGTATCTCATACTCATATCTCACAGGGACAATCTTCTTTCTGTGAGTGCATGAACTCATATTTAGAGTAGCCGAGGTAATCACTCTGGGATCCATAGGACGTTACTAGTCTTAACCGTTCTGCTTATGTCGTTTTATCTGACTGGGGTGAGCTGCACTTTAGCATGACGGTATCTTGTTGACGATTCCCAGGTCGCTACGAGCGATGCAACTGGATTGACAAGTTTGACCGCTGTTTTCGGGGAACCGAACGTCTACGTTGTATCCCACTACCAAACACTCGCCGTGATGCCGTGTCTAGCTTAACCGCTATCCTGACATCGAGGTTCCTTATCGACTTGCAAAATGCCCAGCGCAAGCTCGCCGGCTCTTCCAGATCGGTCTCGCTCGGGGAAATTGCATTCATACCTCAAACATCGAGGAATACGAGCCGCTTCATTGGGTCTTTGGGAGCCCAGCTCTCTCTTCATGAAGGTGATGACAGAGAGGACGAGGTCGAAGATGCAACGTAGGCATGGGCTTTGGATAGACCTGTCTTCAGTGGTGCATCCGCGTGTAGATGTGGGGATTGTGATAGATCTTGGACCGCCAAATCTCCGGCAGAGAGGAGCGCTCTTTCTTGCATACACCTAATCGCTTCGTACATAGAGCATGGGTGGCGAAAAGGGCTGTAACACATCATTTCACAAAATCCAACCCCGCTAAGCAAAAGACTAAGGAAATTGACATGTAGGCCAACTAGCCCGCATTGTCACGGGACGCTGAGGGATGTGATTCGACAGCTCGTCCATTCTGACTGCCTCGCGCTCGGAGTTCGGCGATCCGCATGTCCTGCTGATCGAGTTTGTCATTGCACTGCAGTTCCACAACAACGCCTCGCCCTCATAATAGCTCGACTAGATAGCACGATGCGGCAATGACATAAAGACCAGGACAGAATATCTCACTGCTTTCTCACGACTGCAAGCCTCGTAATACCCAGAACGCTGACACAGCCAGCCTAGGAATGTCGAGCACAATTAGGGCAGAGTCATGACGACTGGTGACAACGGCCCCGTCCAGGATGGTCAGCGCAAGGCCGGTCGTGATGAGGCACACTGTCGAGTGACCCCTCCAATAACATGATGCTCTCGAGCCTCAATTCCCGCAAGGCATCCGTGAACGGGAGCTCGCGGAAGCCCGGCACAAGTAGGTAAGCTGAGCGTGGGCGGCATCGGCAGCCTCAAGGCGTACCTATACTCCCCCGCGCGTTCGAGATCCGACGACGTGAGGACAAGCGAATCAATCCCAAGCCCGCGTCCATGAGTCGAGGAGGAATACAGCGACAACGTCTAACCTCCGGTCCGTCGTGCCGATACGGAGGTTCCCGGTGGCGAGCCACGTAGCTCCGGCTTGTTCCTTGCAATTCATGGTACTGCACCAAGGCTACGATGACGGCGGCACGTCTATCCATCCTAACCTGCGATGCAAAACGACTATGCTATGCTATGGTTGACATATTCTTGCAAGCTGTTGCGCAACTAGATGATCTGCTTCTCTGCAATACCGCAAAACCCGACAACATCCCCTCAAGGCCTCATCATTCGCCGCTTGACCTCCGGACATCCTACTTTGATATACTTCCAATCCCTTTTACAAACTCTCCCCGTCTGCTGCCTCACAACTGTTTGCATCTTTTGCCTAGAAGCTCCAGGATCCTTGCTAGGCTTTGTGTGTCCCCAATCAGTATCGCTGCATCATCCACCATCAGCGCCGACTGACCATAGCGTCTTCTCCCGTCCATCCTTCCGGAAGGTCCTGCAGTGGGCCTGAGATAATTACGTAGGCCGTGTTCCTTGCCACCGTTTTGCACGGCCGTGGGAGCGGATGCCCTTTATGGGCGCCCTCATTACAAGACGTCTTCAGCATACTGCGTTGTTGAAAGCGACCCACCGCGTCAAACCAAGCCAGCCATGGGCTATGGTCACTCGAGACTTCTTGCAACTGATCCATCGCAATACGCTACGCCGTGGTCTCCTGCTGATGGTGCTGCGGTGATACCTCCTGGAGAATGGAATTCGTTCGACTATGTCATAGTTGGTGGCGGTAAGTGAAACGACAGTGGCGTATATGGCCTCGTCTCACGAGTGTATAGGGACTGCGGGCTGTGTGCTGGCCTCTCGGTTGTCTGAAGATCCCAGCGTGACGGTACTTCTCATAGAGGCTGGAACGAGGTGCGTCGGAGACACTGCGCCACAGTTGCACTGGCATGAACCGTTCGCTCATGCTCCTGCAGTCACCGAAGCAGTTTCTTTAGCCGCATACCCATGGGTTTCCCCCGCCTATTCAATACCATCTATGACTGGAAGTACCGCACTCAGTATGTACTCTCTTTGATCTCTCCTGGGGCCCTGTGCGTCGTCTCATCGACGCCGAAAAGACCTCAGCGGGAGCTTGGTGACAGACCAGTCGACTGGCAGCGGGGAAAGATACTTGGCGGTTCCAGCTCCATCAATGCCCAGCTGTACCATGAGTGCGACCCAGCAGGTAAGTAGGCTGCTATACATGCAAATGATGTCATGTTTCGAATTCCTGCAGACTTCGACTCGTGGGAGAGCCAAGGTGCCACAGGATGGGGCTATGAATCGATGAGAAAGTCAGTGCATATAGGCATGTAGAGCGTTTGCACTTGGATAGCTGAACGCGCTCAGGTACTTTCGGAAGGCGGAAAGGTATATGTCGCACCCTTCGCACCTTGTCGATCCATCGGGTCATGGACGTGATGGTCCTTGGATCACCTCACACGTGCCAATAGCTGTAAGCATTCTACCCAGCCGGACTCATTCTCCTGTCTGATTAGAGTGCAGCCTATCTCTGCCAAGGTCATTGAGGCTGCTAAGACGTTGCGAATACCGGCTTCAAAGTGAGTCTTTACATATCATTATGCCGAGCCATATGATTGCTGATCTCAACCTAGCGATTTCAACACTTCGGAGGGAACGCTCGGTGCTGGTTACTTCGTCGCCAGCATTGACGAGAAACATGAACGTAAGTTTCTCGTATCGGGGTTTCATCTGACATTTGCAACCAACGCTGACTCTCTACAACAGGGACTTCCGCAGCAACCGCGTACTTGAGGGAAGAAGTCTTGAAAAGACCGAATCTGCTTGTCGCAATATCTACAACTACCGAGAAAATCTTGTTCTCGTCCGACGAGACGGGCGATCCCACCGCCGTCGGCGTGCAGATCAGTAGAGGCGAACGAGCCGCGAAGTACGTTGTCGGCGCTCGCAAGGAGGTCATATTGTCGGCTGGGGCGATCGGGTCGCCTCAGCTGCTCTTGCTTTCTGGTATCGGACCTCGTGCACATCTGGAGAAGCTCAACGTTCCTGTCGTTCGCGATCTCCCCAAAGTAGGCCAGAACTTGCTGGATGTAAGCGGCTGTCCTTACTGTCATGTATCCGGTCGCCGGGTTGACTCTGCTGTGCTGTGAAGCATTTCTCTGCAGGGGCGCTGCTGTTCCGCGCGAAACCGGGCTTCACTTGGGATTGGGTCGTTTATAATATCTACTGGTCGGCTGTCGCTTTGGTCCAATGGCTCATTCTTGGAACCGGGCCACTCTCCTCCCTGGCAACGCAGGTCGGCATATTTGTGCGCTCGGATGACCCAAAGTGAGTTCAGCGCGCTTATGGCTTCTTGCCAGTATAGCTGACATCATCACAGCCTCCCCTACGGGGAGTCGCTTCCTGTCACGGATATGAGCTCTGGCCCTCGTGCACCGGACATAGAGTTTGCGATTGCTCCGTTTGTTGTCATTGAAAGTGGCGCTCATACACCTCCTCGCGGGACTCATGGCATCACTGCGGCAAGCTCCCTAAGTCTCTTTTGAGTGTTATCAAGGATGCTGATTCTTGCGAAGGGCTCTGTTCTGCTGAAACCGTGCAGCAAAGGGTCAATTGAACTACGTTCCGCAAGTGTGTACGATCACCCTATCATTGATCCCAAGTGAGTAGATGGTTGCGGTGTGCCGTCGAAAATTTTTGACAGATGCTATTTCAGCTACCTCTCGAATGAGAGCGATTGGAACGTCATGATCAGGGCGACACGGCTCTTGCTTCGGCTTGCAAGGGCTCCGCCATTGTCCGACGCGCTGGACCTTCGGACGCTGTCCGCACCCGGAGACCCGCTATTCTGGCCAGGCGATGCGGACCCGGAGAAGGTGTTTCCCCACTGGTACTGTTTGCAGCCGCGCTGCTGTTCCTAATCTTTTCCGTTCGACAGATCATGGACGAAGAGATCAAAGCAGTCATTCGGCGCTACGGGCAATCCGCATGGCACCCGGTGAGTGCTGTGCTTGTACCTTCTCGTGGGGTGTTTTGAGCTAATCTACTTAGAGACAGACGTCTTCTGCGCGAATGGGCTCTTCTCCGCATGACAGCGTGGTTGATATCGAGCTGCGGGTGCATTGCGTGCGGGGCCTGAGAGTCGTGGACGCATCGAGTTTCCCCGACCAAGTCTCCGGGCATCCCTGCGCTGTTGTGGTGGCTATGGCGGAGAAGGCGGCAGAACTGATTGCGACGTCACGTTCGCAAGGATGAAAGATGGCAGAAGCCTTGGAGCTGCATCTCTTTGACGTTCTTCGGCTCATCTTTCTACCTTCGTCCCTATAAACCGCACGATGATGCACGAACGGTCCGGCGGAACGGCTGTGGCCGCAATATCTTATTCGGACGTAAGACTTTTAGCGATAACGAGAGCTGGTACATCGCGTAGGAAATTCTGCGCTACATTGCGTCCCTGTATGTAGACTCAGTTTCGAACGTTATGCAACTCTTCGTCAGCTAAAGCGTAGCTTCGGATTTAGGAAAGGATTGTCGACGAAACTTGTCATCGGACGCCGCGTTGCAAGCTTGGAGGGATCTTCGAGTAGCATCTCGCGACTCTCTCATGTGCACTGCCTGAGCTCGACCTGTGCAGGGAGCCTCGTTGCGGCCAGGTCCACAGAGCTCACGCCCACTGCGCTCACGAGCAATGCTCTTCCAATGACGCATCGTCGACCCGGCTGAGATGCGCAGAGCGCAGCTTTCCTCCTCTCTACTTCTGTCCGAGTTGCCTTCTCGCAGCAAGTATCAATCTTTCGAAGATACGATGCCAAAGTCATCTCAGCGAACTGGCCGCTCTCAGGCGGCCGAGATCTTGAATCGCTGAATTCCCGTCAACTTGCGACACGGTAGAGCACTAGACCAGTACAACGCTCCTCACTTGATGGTTCTCTGGTATTGCACCCTTCCTTCGCACAACGGAGCGGTCACATCAGTCGATACAGGTACCTATCTGAGAACCAAGAGCTACCGTGAGGCAAATCGATGTGCATCGGACGGTTCTACCATATTCTTCGACCTCGGGTTATGGCGCCCGGGCCGGCCTGCCTGTCGACTCCCTGGTGGACGCGTTTCCATTCCGGAGCTAAACCCACACTGCTCCCGCCATGAACGCGCGCGTAAGGGAAGCCATGATGGCATCCCGGCCTGCGGTGTGACTACATCGTCTTTGTCTAGTAAGTCCGGATCCTCCAGCAGTAGCACATCTCACAGAACAATCGTTGACAGAAGCATATCAGCACCGGACGAAGTTCGGGGTCCATGTCAGTGGATACTATCTAAATTTGCCTCCCGGCCCATCTCGAGCGTCCAGGAACACTTTGGGAGTTTCACGAGTTGTCAATCGGGTCTTCACACGCACCACTGTGAATTTTATCAGGTTCGCGGATACTCCCTGGCAGGACCCCATGCAGCCCTGTCAATTTGTTACCGCACGAAGTCCCCATTGCTGCTATATAATTGCTCAACGGGGAATATGAGCGCCATCCATCGCCACTCAGCGTTCGACCATGACAACACTCACCCATAGCACTAGCGTAGAGGCGAGTATAGGCCTGATCCCTATCCCATCTGCATTCTTCACCGGAATAGGCGCATGGCTTGTTGGAACATGGATGAGTGCCGTGTAAGTTGTCATGGTCGCATCATTTTGTTCGAGCTAACTGCACAATCTTAGTCTTGAGGGAGTGCTACTGCAACAGACGTTTCGATACTTTCAAATATACCGCTCTGATCCTTGGTACCTCAAAGTCTGGGTAAGACGTTATCCTAGTTGTCACAAGGGAGTTCAGACAGAAAGACTTACTTCTTTCCCGAAGGTCATAATCGTGGTGTAAGCTTACTGGCTATTAAATGAATCTATCCGGAAATGACACAAATGGCACAACGCAGGGGGTCTCAATCGGCTGGCACGGCACTCACTATGCATACGGCGTAAGCCGATATGACGCACGTTTTGATACTTGATTGACGGAAGCCTCTCAGTTATTTCTACCTGGTCACCAATTACTTCAACCCTGGTGTCATCATTGCGGGTGCTGCAATGTAAGTCTCCAGCGTCATACCATATCGCCGTGTGCTAACTCCCCATGATAGCTCCGCTAAGGTATGTATCGTCCTCCGAGAGGTTCAATTCATTGATCCGGTGTTGATCGAAGACGAACACAGGTGTTACCCTTCATTGGAGTGAGTGTATAGTGTTGTCAGGCGACGCGTTCATCCGTTGAGATATGTTGTTAAGGCCGTAACAAACCTTGCCGTGGAACTGTTCGTACACCTTCGTCCCATATCCGAGGTTTTCAGCGCTGACATGTTTTCGGGTAACAGCTTCTACGTCAGGCGGGTGTACTTGCGTGAGTACACTTACATTTTCCTCGCAGACTTCCGATTGAATCATGCACCATGTAGTCGGACGTCGTCACAAATTCTTCGCTATATTCTCGGTATGGATTTCCGGCTATACTCTTGGAGGTGTCTTGCATGATTGATCAAAAGCCGCCAATAGCTACTCCTGATTCTCACTGGAATCGGTACGTCGAATTTCCTTCCAAGACGAAGGTGAATCTGACAACTCCCAAACCCCAGCGTTCCTCATTGGTAAGTACGTTCTGTCTATGCCGTCAATGCCACAATACTGATCAGTCTGATAGTCCTGGGTGCGGAAACGTCTGTATTTCTCCAATCAAGATGCTCGAACTCTACAGTAGCTCAAGAGACTTCGCTACAGGTTCAAATTCAATAGTCTCCAGCAGGATACATCCAATGGCGGGGTGAGTCGTTCACACTGGTATACAGTACAGTCACACTGATCGTTACGCATAGCTTGGTGGCAGTTCAATTGCAAGCCCGACATTCATGCTGGCTGCAGATGTCCAGTTGACAGGTGTTCTCATATTTGCCCTACACACAAGTCGCAGTGGTATTTCTCGGTAAATTGACGGCGCTTTGGGCGTATACCATCGGGCTTCTGACCATCCGCTCAGTACCAACAAGATGATCAACATGATTATCGTATATTCCGTCAGCTCTGGTGAGGTTGTTCTTTTTGCCACGACAATGTTATGGCTTATTCTGAGCAATACCAGGGTTCCTCATCTGGTACTCGGAATCACTTCATGTTGCACGATTTAAGCGCTGATATGGATTTGGAAAAAGTGTAGCGAACCTCGTCTCCATCATACTTGTACGTCTACAGATTCTTTCCGCTAGGCAGCGTTGAGCTTATATGATCTCAGGCTGCTGTACAGCCTCACAGTGTCCTTTTCACTGTCGCCACGATGGTCGGAGGACAAAGTGAGCTGCGAACTGTTTCAGTACGATTGTGACTTCTCATAAGGTCCTATGTCAGTATACAGCAACTCTTTCATTGTTGCGTAAGTCATACGTGGCATCCGAGCTTGTATGGTCCTTGAACTGAAGTACGATTCCAGATTGAACACACGCCGCCTCGTCCAGAGGCGCGGTGACAAGCCAACGACGGTCATGGACCCCTCGAAAACTGACATTCTGCAAGGTGGTCCTGGGTCCGGAACTGCGATCGGTGATATGGAGCTGGAGTCGGTGGGTGTTTGACCTGAATCATACCTCCGTACTGGGAGTGGAGACTCATCTTCTTCGTCCAATCGCAGATGGCGTTCGCTGGAGGGGCCATTTCGACTCAACTGAAGGACTCCATGGCCCACGGAGACTCTACTGCAGTGTTGGACTTCAAGATAGGAACGCTCTCCACAAATGGTACCATGCCAGTGATGGACGAGAAAGCAGGTCCGGTAGAGGAATGCCCTGTGTAATCACGTGTGATTACCCAGATCACCGCCGAGAGTGGGGTGGCGGGGCAGGTGCCGTACCTGCATTGTTGTATGCTATTGACGTCATTTTGTCGTAATGTGATATTGTAAGAGACGAAATCTCGTATAGTGTCTGGATGCAAACCCGATGTCGCCTTTTCATTCTGTCAGTATACGCTAGGCCTTCGGTCTTCTGACGAGCCCTCGTATACTACAGTACATCTGACAGTGCATGACCATATGGTCATCTCTCCAGGGCCAATGTCACTAATTGAGATGCATCCATATTCGTCGTCATTGAGTTGTACGTCTAAAGGAGAGTCAAGTTAGCTTGCATCTGCGATATTTTGTGAGTAGTTCAGTAGCACGGCATTAAAGCAGCACAACAAAGCAGCACAAGGGAATGATGTTGTTGCGATCGTTATCTAGCCAACTATGAAAAATGACAAACACCAGAGCGTTTGACATATCGTGGGTAACCCACAGCTCAGCATCGGTGGGATTGAAGGCCATCGTAGCTATAGTACAAGCGAAGTCATCTCAGCCTAGTATTCCAACTTGATCTTCGTCTACAGCTATTCCACATATCTCAGACCCCCAACTCAATTCCTTCGCGTACACGTACGTCGACTATCAGTGGCACAGTCAAAGATGCTGTGAACGCCTCTGCTAGCTCCGGCTTCTCGTAAGTCAATCCAGACGTCGTGGGACGCTCGGAGGGAGCAAAGTCGAAATACGGGAGGATTCCGGCCAGAGCTGCGACGAACTCGTACATGACGAGCTGCTGTCCTGGGCTGTCGAGAATGGGCAGTCAGTGTACTTACTCTTGAGAGTGGAAAGCGTTTGACTGACCAGAATCTTGGTCCTGCGCCGAAACAGTTGAACTTGGGTGCTGCGGGCTTGGTGAAATGACCTTCGGAGTCTAGATGACGTCCGGGGTCGAACATGTTGGCCGTCGGTCCCCATACCTTACGAAGAAATCGAATCAATCAGCGGGCATGCCAAGAAAACTGAAGAGTCGACACATACACCCGAGCTACGCATCATGTGATAGTCAGACCAAAACACATAATCACCCTTCTCGATCTTCACCGCAGGCAGATCATACTCTGGCAAAGCCGGAAGAACGTCATCCTGTAGAGCCAACCGTGCGTTCTTGGGCAAGCCTGGCCACAAGCGCACAGTTTCAAAAAATACAGCGAGGTGGACGTGGTAGCGCTGAGTGATATGGGGTCTTAATGCCTGTACGCAAAGAGAGGACGATCGAAACTCACTGATACTTCAGAGTAGTCTACTTCATGCGTCGGGTGCCTATTCGCGGTCGCTTCTTCACGTAAGCGGTCGATCCACTCGGGCGCCGCCATGATGGAATAGAGCGCCCATGCGAGGACGTTCTGAGTGTTGTCCCGGCCGGCGAAGAGCATGGTCACCATGATGTCACGGATGAGAATAGGATCGTTGAAAGCAGGGTCTTCCAGGAGCACAGAGAGGAAGTCGGCATGACCCGGCGCGGTCTCCTTGGACTTCTCGGTGGCATGGGCTTGTCGTGCGCGCACGATTTGGTCGACAAGTCCGCGGATGTACGACCGAGCACGGGAGAAACGGAAACGATCGCCATTGAGCTGTGATGGTTGTCACTGACGGGGAGCTCAGTCGTCTGTGTGATTGAACTCACGAGCTCAGTGAAGCGCCACGCAGGGTTGAATAGTCGTCTGAAAGAGCATAGGCTATGAGTGTTCGCGCAAATGACGTAAATATTCACACTGACTTCGCGGAAACCCTGTTGAGCACAGCCAGTGCATCGCGGAGTGGATCATCGCGGTCTAAGCAAGTGACGTCGCCCTGGAGTACGTTGGCATGGTGGTTCATGTGCGAAAGTGTAAAGATGGTAATGGCGATACGACCGGCGAAGTCTATCAAACGAATCAGTTTGGGCTGTGTTCGCGTTGCTCACGTGCCGTACGCACCACTCCAATCTATCGGCACGTCCCTCTTGCTCGCGCTAAGTAGCAGTGCTCGAGCCATTGGCACAATCTAGTCATGATGTTTTTGAGGAGAGTAGACAGGATGAGTGAACTAACACAGTTAAGAACGACGTATCCCTACCTCGTTCATGGCATGCGAGACGTGCTCAGTGAAAGATTTGACAGTGAAGATGGGGCTGTGCCAGAAGCATCCATCAGTCCTGGATACGTTGCCGAAGGTCAGACACTGACTAAATCGACTTCCTTGCAAGTCGCCATTGAGCCCCTTCTGAGGCAACAGGAGTCCTCCCTCCTGGAAACTCGGTGAAGATCTCGATCGCGTATGGTCCACGCGAGTACGCCTTCATATCGGCTACGTGCATTGACCACAGTCACCATCGACGAGCAGCTACAGAAACATGTTCTCCCTTACCTTGTTTGATGTGGGCGAGCCACTCGGGACGATTGATGAGTATGCCTCTCCCCCACGGCAGTAGTGTGAAGGTGCAGAAAGGGCCATAGCTCGACAGGAGGTGGTCGAACCAATCGAGGATGCGGCCTTGCCAAGGAATGGCTTGGAGTAGATTGCCAAATAGAGGGTGTCCTGTAGGACCTGGGAGGTCAGGGCGAGCATTTGTGGTGACGAGGCGATCTGGATATGCTATGCAAAGGAGCGCGCCGGAGAATGACAGCACGACCAGCGCAAGCATCCAGGTGTCGAGGGAACTGAGCAAAGACATCGCAGACTGCGCGTAGTGCCTAAGCTAACCCAGAAAATCTATTCGAGGGGTTTTATGGAGCTAACTTGCTGTTCCAATGCAGAAGGGCATACGTGACATTCTCCGACACGAGAACAAGAAGTATCTCAGTCACCCTCTGTATCAAGGATGGGAAGTTCCGGTAACGATTGGTCCCTTCTGCCCATGTGTTCTCTGAGAAGGATATGCATCTGGTGCTGCAGACCGACATAAGGGACTTGAGGACGATTCATCGAGCGGGGGAGAGCCAAAGGAAGGAGCTCCGGGAGAACGCTGCGAAGTAAAGGTGATCTGGGTCCTGTACGACATGCACAGCCCAATGTGAGAAATACTGACCAGAGTGGGATGACAGCCAAACAGGCGTCAACAGTAGCGCTCCGACCAGCGTGGCCCGCTGAGCCGCTAGCAGTGGCTGATTTGTCTCGAGAAATTAGAATCTCCTCACACAGATACGCAGCGTTACTCAAAATAGCCTCAAGCCATGCAGCTACCCAGGTAGTCTGTTTGGCATCACATGACATCGGCACTCACGATGCATGAGCTTGCGTGTGTGAGGACGGCGGTTTCTGTCTCGGATCGCTACCAACGGCGACCGTTGTGGTGCTGCTATCCGTAGCGCTATCGAACGTGGTGCGCTGCAGACTTTCCTTTCGGATTGTCGCCGTAGCTAACTCCCTTATCGTGAAGTTTTTTTGGCCATACTATCTCGAAAGAACCGAGGAAATTTGTTGGGTGTCCGCGTCCTGCACCATTCTCAAGTTCAGCTCTTCACATTGTAAGGCCGCCGGACCAACTGCGTCTGACGCTGTTGTGGATATGAAGTTGATATATGATCCATCCTGTGCCCCATCCTGTGCGCCATCTTCGTCTTCTGGTCTTCGAGCGGCAAATCACATGAGAAGCGCTATCGGACCATGCGCAGGGCGGTCGCAGTCCATGGAATCGACGTGAACGCTTCCGGAAGAAACACGAACACGCCGTTGGATGGCACCTGTCTCCGAGAGCGGATGACGTGTACATGTCAGGTGCGCAGCGTCTGGACGATCAGAGACAGGGTAGCCATTCTCAGGGCTGTAAGACATTAGCCCGGCGTGACGAGCCCTTCCTGATATCTTCCTGACACTTGCATTTGCTGCTTTCTTCGTCTCAGAGTCCCTCTTTCGTCCGCCACTATGGATATAGCGCCAATCTTGGTACCACTTCGACAGGCTTTATATCATGCGAATACGCTGTATCTCTTCACGAAGTCGGATATGAAAACTATCTTCTTCCCTATAGTGAGTCATATAGTTCACATGGGTTCTTTCTCCAAAAACAATGTGAGCTGAATAATTCATTCTAGACGCTTTTCGCATGGTGCACAGTTCCGAACACCAACTCATTGGCCTTTACGCGCTCCGCCCTCTGGACATGGCTTCATCTCCTCCAGTTCTGTGTCTCCAACCAGAGTCTATCCCCAGACGAGGACGCGCAGAACAAGCCATGGAGACCGATTCCCGCCGGTCGCCTCCCTGTACGTCAGGCGACTAGGCTTCGATGGGCCCTCCTGCCACTCTGCCTGTTCCTGTCGTTTTCCTTCGGCATCCCGGCGGTTGGTGCCGTGTTGATGGTTGGCATTCTCCTCCATAATGAGCTGAAACTCGACTCCCATTGGTTCACGCGAAACGTTCTGAACGCCATTGGCTATGCAACATTCGACGCCGGTGCGATGACAGTCGCTCAAGCTGGTAGGTTGCTTGTCCAGTACGGATTCATTAACCTTGTCTGACGAGTAGCTTCTCTACAGGCGCGCACCTCTCATTCTCGTATCCGGCCCTGGCTGCGCACTACACGAGTATCGCGATCGTCCTAACGACGATCCATGCTCAAGACTTTCAGGACGAGGAAGGCGACAGAGTCCAGAAGCGGCGAACGATTCCGATCGTGATGCCCGCCGCCGGACGCCTCTCAATGCCGGTCGGGCTTACGCTGTGGTCCCTGGGGTTGAGCGAAGGATGGCACCTCCCGAATGCGCACCGTTTGGCTCTTATCACAATAGGCCTGTATGTCGGGTCGCGGTTCTACTTCCTCCGGTCCCCTGGCGCGGACAAGACGTCGTACAGGCTCTATAACGTAAGTGGGGCGAGGCACGTCGCAACGTTACTTACTGACGACCTCCGCTAGGTTTGGTTGGCGATTGCGCGTATCTCGCCTATGTATGGACGGATTCCCGTGATGTAGATGCTCTGAAGACGGTTTGCTAGTCTCCTTCGGCTGCCATCCTGCTGTCGCTTTGTCCGAGCGCTCTACACACTCGAGCGCGCTACCGCAGATTGCAGAGGGAAGGATTATTCATCTATCATATCATGTTGTGTTCACAAACACAAGTGGAAGTGAATCATGAAGGCGCTAGAATCGAGCATTGTGATTGGTTTGGATGTTGTTCGCCCGTAGGTTCGGTTTCGACTCGTTGCGAAAACAGCCTGACATGGATTACTGCTCTACTCACTCGTACAACGTAGACACAGCGGGTGTCAGAGACAGATAAACAGACTGCTACGGGCGACTACACCATGATATCAACCTTGTCTACCTTCAAGCCTGCCGGGCAAGTATAGCAAACGTGACCTTCAAGAGGGCCTCTTTCGCAGCGCTGTCGGGGACTATATTCAGTGCCTCGCGCGCCTTCATTGCGTAAGATTCAGCTAGCTTCCGGGTACGGCTCAGCGCCTGAGTGTTCCGCACACAGTCGGCTGTCTGTACACAGGACCAGATGAGGTACAAATGAGTACACGTTGTTAACGCATCAAATTAGCTCATGGTGCCTACCACCTCGACATCCCCTGGTCCCTCAAAGCAACGAAGCACCCGCGGACGGATGCTCTCGTCTTCCTGCAGGGCGAAGAAGACCGGTGCCGTCACCAGCCCGAGCCGCATATCCGCGTTCGCAGGCTTTCCGAGCTTCTTCGGATCGCCCTCGAAGTCGAGCAAGTCGTCGACGATCTGACAAGGGAAACGTCGGTCAGCATGTAATTGGCGGAGGCGTGCCAGCGTACATACCTGGAAGGCCATTCCCAGGCATGCGCCGAAGGAAGATGCTGCTTCTCTCAACGGGTCCTCGGCCGTCGCGCCCCCGAGTATGACAGCGCACTCCATCGCTTTCGCGAAGAGGCTTGCCGTCTTCATGTATGTCTTTTGTAGGTACTCTTGCCAGAGGGACGTGATGATTTCGTCTTCGGCCGGATCCTGGGCGACTCTCGGGAGTTGGACCGGATCGACGACAGCACTGCCGAGGGACAGGTCGGTGTAGCCTGCCTGGAGCAGTTCGCCCTCGACGAGTGTGCAGAAGACCTCTGCGACAAGGGACATGACCTCTGGCGAGCCGAGCGTCCCGACGAGGCGCATGGCGCGACCGAGGAGGAAGTCTCCTGCGAGAATCGCGCGACGGTTCCCAAAGAGGGCGGGAACGGATGGGGACCCGCGGCGGGTCTCCGCGTTGTCGATGACATCGTCGTGCAGAAGCTGCAGATGGTGAGATGAGCAGTTGTGTGGACTACAGACATGTGGAGACTGACAGACGCGACGTGCAGAATCTCAAACACCTGGGCGAGCGACAGCTGCTCAGGAAGTATGTTCTCGAGAGCGTCAGTTTCGGCTATCGAAGAGAAAGATCAGTTCTGATACTTTGGACAACGGCGATGGGTCATCACTACCTGAGCAGCCGACCCACAAGCTCGTGCTCTTGGTCTCCCAGTCTGAGCCAAGCCCGTTCGTGGCCTGACACATCAGGAGGATGAGGCAAGGCCTGAGTCGTTTGGAAGGCTGGAGCATGTAGTATTGCGACATGGTCGTCAGCAATGGCACAGACGATGTACCCTGCCGCAGGAGGCCATTCTGGAACTGCTTGCTGAATGGCGCCAGCAACGCATTCAACGACTGCGAGGTCTGGTGGTGGGTCTGCATGCTTGTCCGACAAAGATGGATAGAATAAGCGCCTGAAGTCGGAAGGGTTAAAGGAATGTATGTCTGTAACACAAGACTGTGCGGTCCACTTATCTGCTGCCGGCATATGCTGGCGTTGGAGGACCGGCCGAGTTGGGCAAACTAGTTCTGCCCGAAGAGGATGAGTCCCAGCGTACCACATGATCCAATGCAAGAACGGCTACGGAAGCTGGTAGGATCAGTGCCTCTGGAGTTGCAAACCTGTACTGGCGTCGAAGATGTCTTCGAATATCAGCGCCATCCGTGATGATGGGTTCGTAGCTGGGGGAAACACGTTTCCAAAAAAAAAAAGGAGAGCATAGGCTGCGAGGACTCCAGAGACCTTGTGTTGCAAAGGAGAAACTACCGAGTGGAAGCTTGTCTGTCTGGTAAACATAGTACCGGTAATCCATAGATCGCACTGCAGCCGTTGGATGTCATAACCAAATCCCGAAAATCAATCAACAGTGCTTCGACGTCAGCAGTGAGTGACGTGTCAAATGCAGAGAGCTGCAGGAGGCGGGAAGAGCAATCTCCTTTCCGGTCGGTGCCAATCTGGAGATCTGACCCTTGCTGTACAATGGATGGACTGTTCCAGCAACATCGTGGCAACATCTCGACGGGATTACGTTGCGACGTTCTTCTGAGAATCTCCAATGCATGCGGCCAGCTGTGGGAGGTCATAGTACAGAACATGGTCGGGTCTCCAAACCGATGCCTAATTTGTATCGCTTTTCTCGTCAACTGCGCATGAATAGATCGCCACGAGCTCCGCGACCACCTGCAAAGGCACTAACGACAATCGCACCCATCTATGCAGCAGAAGTTAGTTCGTGAGAGATACTACACAGCCTCGCGACAAGCCCGGAATGATGCTGGGTCCGTGATTATTTTGCTATCTGGCTTCAGCTGACGCCGTTGCTTCGAAAGAGGCAAAGCACACACCAAGAACCGCATCCTATTCCTCCGAGTCGGAGATTACTGCATCGGGATCCCTACTCAGTGATACCTTCAATGACCCGAGGACGAGGTCCTGCATGATCTTTGTAGACATGCCTTCCGGATCGAACAACAGGGTCGATGTTGAACTCAGAGCTGGACCAGGAAACTCTGATCACCAGTGAGAGGTCATAGCTCGGAAGTTAAACGACAACATAGCCTCGCGCAGGAGATGGTCTTGGAGACAGCATACTCCGACTTCCCAGCGCTGAGAGGCGGACCGTAGCGATTGCCATCCACCGGTCTTAGCGGGAAAGTATCGTGAATCGGTGAAGCGCCTAGTTCATGACCGTCCGCCACAATTTCTGTTTGACTATACCTCCCCTTTTATTTGACTATGAACCCTCTTCTATACAGGTTCAATGGCCTATACCACCTAGAACCCACGTACCTTCTGTCATTGATACTGACTCGGAGGTAGCTGCGCCACGCCCCGGTCCCATCATGAGGACCCGATCGCAGCCCAGTCGCGCCACGCGGCGTACATCTCGAGCACGAACACCTCGCCTTCGAGGTTGCGCTGGCCTTGCGCGTCGATGTTGTGCGAGTTCACGACGGGCGTGAGCTGGTCGTCGGACGTGAAGTGCACGAGGCTTGGGGAGGGCGCGCAGGACGACGGGCCATGCCATAGGTGCTGTCGTCGGCGTAGTTCTTGAGCCCATGGCGTGTGCCGAGTGCGTGTGCATGAGCAGATGCAAGTGGCTCGCAATCGGCTGCGGACGTACCAGATGGTCTAGATGCCGTTGTTGATCTGGGAGACCGAACCGACGAGGTCCTTTGCTTGCGTCTTCTTGCTTTTGTGCGAGTGCTGCATCGTGCAGAGAACGCGGAGCATCCCCGCCGCAGCCCATCTGTTGCCCTTCAGAGCATTACGTGAGGTCCCGGACGAGAAATATGTCCGAAGGTTGGCAGAGGGTTTCGTGAGAGCGATAGGAGAGCTGATGGTGCAGTGTGTTCGGTAGCCTGTACAGGGCAGAGAGGCGAGGCTGTGCGAGAGATCTAGGTGTAGAACCAAGCGCCACGATTATCCACGTCAAAGGGGGGTTGTGGCAGGGCATTCGACTCGTATCGTATGGATGCGAAGGGAGGAAGAAAAGGGTAGTAAACAGAGACGACCAGGACAGGCGAGAACACTCTGACAGAGGCACTTGAACCAGGAAGGAAACCTCGAGCTGGGAGCTAGATAGTGAAGACGTTGGGTGGTTGAAGACAGTTGTACAGGATGTGCGGGAGAGCAGCGGGAGGAGTGGGCACGCGAGAGTAGCCGACAACGAAATCATGTGACCGCACGCTCGCTACGCAACGCCAGCCACCCATCCTCCGACGTCTCTCGCCTCATACTCACTGTTATCGACAACTCCGACTCTCACACGAGCCCGACTCTAAGCGTATCATCCTATCTGTTTCCGATGCGTTCGAAGGTCACGCGAAAAGGTCGCCGCCAGGGTTAAGACGGACAAGGACGAGCGGGCTGTTGTTGCCACTGGCACCTCTACTGGCTGCCTTTGCCAACGCTTGTACGCCACCCCAACTTGTACATGCTCACCACCGCTTGCTATGCTCGTCCCCCCTTTGACCGCCACGTCTTTCCTGGTCGCGAAGCCGTCGCTTCGCAGAAGAGTTTTCCACTTCCCAAGCACCGTCAACGAGCTCGCCTCGAAGCCCCAGATGTCCGGGATTACGAGAGTGCCAGTGTGGAACCTCGGAAGTCTTCTTGGCCCGGCAGTCGGACGCCCACAGAGCTGGGTCCAAGAGCCGACGATCTAGGTAAACGGAAGGATTTCGAGGCGTACCTCATCGGCAGCTGCAACAACGGCGTCCGGAACGCAAGCGCAGCATCTCCAGCACAGGCTCCTCTTCCATGTGTTCTGAATCCACGCTGTCGAGATATCGTGGATCTTGGAGGCTGCGCGGAGGAAACACGCGAATGACAGTGTCAGCGTGAGTCTGTCTCGACATAACCCTCTGCCCCCAGGGCCGACCTAGATTCAGCCGTCTGCCCAGTGAAGTTTGTTCTGTTCAAATCCTGATCTCTGAGTCTCGGAAAACCATTGTAGCTCTGCCAGGCACGCTAAACCTCCTACTGTGGCGCTGTGGTACACAACGTCTCCCATGGTACCCCTTTTGTTCGTCTCCTGGTGTCGTAGGAGTCCCCGGGTCCGGTTTGACATTCTCAAGCTGGTGGATGTGGCGCTTCGCTGAGAATCGCGTAAGTGGACTGATCCGGCGAAGAGCGGCAGAACACTCGAAGTGTGAAGGAATCGATGTGTGGTGGAGGTGTGGTCGCATCCTAGAAGCGCAGACCATCCTCCCCGAGCCTCATTTGCTACCGCAGTCCGGGACCCTACATGATGGACCTCGTTTCTAGCTCCTGCCCTCTATTCTGTGACGTGCGTCGCGGGTACAATGCGGGCTTCCGGAAGACATGGGCGGAGCGGACATGAGCAGGGCCAAGTTGAGTGCTTGGTCAAACCGTTACAACGCATTTTCAAACGATAGGCCCTCTTGAACCCCCAGACAGGTGGTCCAAGGCGTCTTCAAGGTTCTCAATAGTGCTCTTGGGCGTCGCGAATGGTCGCTCGGGCTCGCATTTGGGTCGGCTCTCTAACCCACCTGAGCGTGGCTCTTTCGAGAGGGCCCGTTTTCTTGAGAAGCGCTGCAAGTTGAGGAGGAGCAGAAAAAGGACTCTGGGTCAAGCGTCATGGCTTCAGAGATCTGAGATCGCTGCATCGAATGCGGTTCGCGGAACAACCTCGGACTCGCATGCCATCCTGCGCTATACTAGGAGCATTCTCTCCGTGCGTAGTTCCAGGCATCGTTTTAGGGAAGGTTTCGTGCACGATTGCCAGCGTACCTGCGACGGCGAACAACCGGATCTCAGGCCTCACAAGACAAGGTTTGACAGAAAACTGCGTACATCATTGCGAAAGCGGGTTCTATCTAGCCTCGCATGTGGGGGCTAGTGCGGTGCTAGGGCTGAGTGTCCAACGCAAGGAGGCCCCTCACTCTTGCATCAAACTTCCAAAGTTCTGGCCGCTTGCGGAGAGGGCCGTGCGAACTTCATCATCGTGTGAGTCTGACGCAGCGCTCCGCTGTCACCGCGGTGTCGTCTGCACCTCCTCAGACCCGATTCCCTCTCAACGCCCTCGTCGCACCCTGCGCTATGGCTTACACCGTGGGTGGTGTGCCCATTTCCTTGGTTGCTGGCTTTGTCGGCCTTGTGTGGTTGGTCCGCAAGAAGCTCATTGCCATCTATGTCACCCCCATCGTGGCTTTGAGAGGACCACCTAGCCCAAGCATATTGTATGGCAATTTCCAGCAGTTGGGCAAAGTCGCGGACCCCACTCTTCTCCAGAAGTGGATGGACGACTATGGGCCGACATTCCTCGCACGATTGTTCATATTGGTTCGCGTTCACCACTTGACGGCAGGCGCTGCTCTAAACCCGTTGTCTCAGATGCCGTGCTTATGGACGGCTGACCCTCGAGCGATCAATCATATCATCACGCAATCCGGAAAGTACTTCAAACCCAGAGATGGCCGCAAGCAAGCCGCGCAAATTCTTGGAGAGAGTCAGTAGCTTCATGAATTGTTGTTGCCCTCGAGTCATGTACTGACTACGCTGGTTAGGCCTCATTATTGCCGAAGGTAGCGTCCCCATACTACATTTCATGCTGGCTTCCATACATCTTGGACTTTTTCTTGACAGGGGAATCTCACAAACGGATGGTGAGTTCAGCCGCATGTGTATGGCACAACTTGTATTGACAAGATGTGAATGGTATAGCGCAGGGTGATGGTATGCGTCATGCTTGAAATGATGTCTGTCATTGAACTTATCTAATGACAATAAGAACCCTGCGTTTGGCCCAGCACAAGTCCGCGAGTTGACATCTATATTTGTGGAGAAGGCCACTGAGGTACGCCCATAAATCACCAGCTCAGACTGGAAGCTGAAAAGATGTCGAATCAGCTGCGCGAGTACTGGAAGTCTGCCATGGTTAAAGAAGGCGGCACGCTTAGAGTGAACGTTATCGAGGACCTCAGCAAGACGACGCTTGATGTGATCGGATTGGCAGGTGACCTGAACGAGTGGCCGCATGCAGCCAGACGCTAATTGCTGAGGGACAGGATTCGATCACAACCTGGACTCGTTGAAGCCCGGGAGCGAACGCAAGGAGCTCAATGCCGCTATTCGGCATCTCTTCAAAAAGCCACCAAACATGACGGTCTTTCGCGTTCTGCTAGATTATGCGCCTTGGCTGAACCTCTTTGTGAGTCTACCCAAGATCTTCCACCTGATACTGCAACGTGACGTCCACTCACAAACCATTCGCCAGCCGGATGAGCGCCTGCGAAATCTCATCGAGGCGCAGAAAGTTATGCGTCGCGTTGCACGGCAGCTCATCGAAGACAAGAAGGCAGCGATCAAGGCGTCATCAGAGGACGACGAGCATGTCGGGCGAGGGAGCGTTCATGGGCGCGATCTCCTCACGCTTCTGATCAAGGCAAATATGGCATCGGACATTCCTGTAGATCAACGTTTGTCGGATGATGAAGTTTTGTCTCGTGAGTGCCTTTTTTTCTCAAAAGTAATATCGAAGAGCATGACGTGATCTAATAATGACCCCAGAGATTCCGACGTAAGAAAAACTGAGAACTCGGTCGTTCTGTGATGCTCAGTATATTCCTAGCTTCCTTCTCGCTGGCCATGAAACCACAAGCGTAGCGACTACATGGGCTCTGTATGCCCTAAGCGAGTCCCCTCGTATCCAGAGAAAGTTGCGCGAGGAACTCCTTGCAGTTCCTACGGAGACTCCTACGATGGAGGATCTGCATGCTCTTCCGTATCTCGACCAGTTCGTGCACGAGACTCTCCGCTTGTATCCTCCGGTGACGAACACAATGCGCGCGGCCAACGAAGATGACGTGATCCCCCTCGGGGAGCCGATCATCGACAAGAAGGGGAACGTACTACATGAGATACCGTATGTCTATCTGTCATCCTTGTGGCTGCTGCACACTGACAGCGAGGAATCTACCGGCGACAGAGTGGCAAAGGGTACTCGTATCGTGATCCCCATTCTTGCAGTTCACAGGTCGAAGGCAATCTGGGGCGAAGATGCCCTTGAATTCAAGTACGGGTTCACAAACCGTCCAGCTGTCCTAACGAATACTGAACCGTTCATTCCAACAGGCCGGAGCGCTGGGAGAATTTGCCGGAAACAGTTTCCAGCGTTCCGGGTGTCTGGGGCCATCTCCTTACGTTCCTCGGTGGTCCACACGGATGCATCGGGTACAGGTTCTCGGTCACCGAGTTCGTTCGCTCGCATTCCGGTCATGAACGGCATACTGACAAGTCTTACAGGCTGAAGGCTCTCCTCTTCGCCCTCGTGCGCGAGTTCGAATTCGAGTTGGCCGTGCCGCACGGAGACATTGTGCCGATGGGACTGCTGGTGCAGCGGCCGGTCGTTCGGAACGAGCTCAACAAGGGGTCGCAGATGCCCATGATAATACGGCCATACCAGCCGTCGTGACTTTTGGAGCTCGGAACGTCGTCGACTCTATCGCTCTGGCGGTGTGAGGGGCTCACGTTATATTCGTGATTAGTACGTGTAGTATTTCGAGTAGCAGCTACATGGTATAAATTGGTGCCGGAAATGCCCTGAGTGCTCTGACACATGGACACGTTCAGGAACTCCGTAAGGAATCCGTGATAGCCAAAACCGGGCCACACTTCCCTCAAATGCAACATTTCGCCTATCGCGCTTGGTCGGAATATGCCGTAATCTGCGTTGCATTTACATATATATAGACCTCTTCGGCCTGCCTCCCTCAAGCACCAGAGAGACCCCACTTTTCGATATTCGCTATCTGCAGCATCGTCCGGGTTGTCAACTCTGGCCTCTGTTCATCTCCATACGGACCTGTTCTTCGTGGTCAGAATATTACTACAGAACAGTGTTTGGTAATAAAACAGCACATATATATCGATCAGCCGATTGGCTTCAAGTTACAGCCTACAAGTAACATCAACAAATTGCCACCCAATACATGCTTCCAGTAATCAGCATAATCACAAACGGCCTTCAAGCACCTCGAGAGTATCGCGGGCACGAACATCTACCACGAGCGGAACGTTCAACGAGGCAGTAAAGGACTCAGCGAGCTCTGGCTTCTGGTAAATCAAGCCAGATGCGGTGGCGCCCTTGGAAGGCGCGAAATCGAAGTACGGGAGTATGCCTGAGAGACAAGCGATGAACTCGTACATGACAAGCTGCTGCCCAGGGCTAGCGACCCGCCGACCAGTGTCAGCAACAGTAATCAGAGAAGATATGTAGGCTACACGCACCAGAATCTCGGTCCAGCGCCGAAACAGTTGAACTTGGCCGGAGATGGCTTCACGAAATGTCCCTCGGCATCGAGGTGGCGCCCGGGGTCGAACAAGTGTGCCGTTGGTCCCCATACCTATGGTCAATACAATATGAGTTGAATGGTCCAGCTGAAAACGTTGCGGCCTTTCTGACATACATCTTCGTTCCTCATCATGTGATAGTCTGACCAGAAGACATAGTCTCCCTTCTCTACTTTGACCGCAGGGAGGTTATGCTCTGGGAGAGCTGGGAGTATATCGTCCTGAAGAGCCAACCGAGCGTTCTTCGGTAGCCCTGGCCATAGACGAACCGTTTCGTAGAATACTGCTAGATGGACGTGGTAGCGCTTGAATGTCGATTTGGTAAGTCTAGGAGACCTGAGGCAAGTGCGATTGGGAGCTTACTGCGACTTCAGAGTATTCTGCCTCCCGAGTTGGGTCCCTGATCGCCATTGCTTCCTCTCGCAGGCGATCCACCCACTGAGGGGCGTCCATGAGTGCATGAAGAGCCCACGAGAGTACATTCTGGGTGTTGTCGCGTCCCACGAACAGCATGGTGACCAGGATATCACGGATCAGGATCGGGTCATCGAAGGCGGGGTCTTACAGAAGCACGGAAACAAAGTCGCCATGGCCTTTCCCCTCAGACTTTTCCGCCATAGTCGACGCCTGGCTTCTCTGAGCACGCACTATATCCTCTACCCGCCTGCGGATAAAGGAGCGAGCGTGGTTGAAGCGCCAACGCTCTCCCGACAGCTGTCATGATCATGTCAGGCTTTCGGAGACCGGCACTTACGCCGCTTATTGACTCACTATTTCTGACCACTGCCAGACGGGATTGAAAAGACGTCTGTTCATGCCCACGTCAGCAACCGTAGCTCTGTGGCGATTGACGCGTACTCACTTGGCCGAAATCTGGTTGAGCGTTACTAACGCATCTCGGAGTGGGTCATCACGGTCCAAGCACGAAACGTCCCCTTCCAGAATATTCGTCTTTTCGTTTATGTGGGAACGAGTAAAGATGGTGATCGCAATACGACCCGCGAAGTCTAGTTACACCGGTGCCACCATCAGCATCAATCTGCAATGGGCCTTTATAACTTGCAAACTTACCGCTCCAGTCTATGGGCACGCCCTTCTTGCTAGCGCTAAGTAGCAGCGCGCGAGCAATAGGTACTATCTGAACGAGCATCAGGTCCCGAGCCCATGAAACGGCGCGTGAATAAGAAAGACACAATTACCTCGTTCATAGCATGCGAGACATGATCAGTAAAGGATCTGACTGTGAAGATTGGGCTGTCCAACGCGAACCGCTCGTATTATGAGCCCGGAATCTAGTTGCCATGTATGATGTACTGACTAGATCGATTTTCGTGCGAGCCGCCACTGTGCGCCTTCGGATGCCACGGGGGCTCTTCCTCCGGGGAACTCGTGGAAGATCTTATTGGCGTATGGGCCGCGAGAGTACATCTTCATATCAGCTGCAACCCCCTCAGCATTAGCACCTTGGATGTCTAGCAATATCTCAGACTCTCGTACCTTGCTTTATGTGAGCAAGCCATTCGGGGCGGTTAATCAGTATGCCTCTCCCCCATGGTAGGATGGTAAAGGTGCAAGCGGGCCCATAGTCAGACAGGAGATGGTTGAACCAGTCTAGAATACGAGTCTGCCACGGGATGGCTTGGAGAGAGTTTCCCACCAAGGGATGGCCCTTCGGTCCTGGGAGGTCCGGGCGAGCGTTGGTCGTGACGAGACGGTCTGGATACGCGATGTAAAGGAGGGTGCCAGAAAAGGTCAGCACCACCAAAGCGAGAGTCCAGGTGTCGAGTGTATTGAGCACAGACATTGCAGAGCGATATGGTGCTCGGACGAGCTCCGCATGGACGCGGATGAGCTTAGGGTTTATGAAGGTATTGTCATGTTCCGAGGCCGTGAATGATTTGGTTCAATGTCAGCGGACAAAAAATACTGCAATTCTCTGAGTCAGAGTCTCGGAGCCTCAACCTCGGAATCGAATCTACTCCATGTCAGTCGACTCCAGTGGCCATCCAGAGAAGATCCCTGACCATCATTGATGCTTCAGCGAGTGTGTGAAATCCGCGCCCAGTGCCTCAAGCCGCGTGGTCTCACGTATCTATGCAAGCATCCAGAAGGGTCAGTTACAGCGGCACCCTTGGTGCGCCCACGACTGAAGAAGTCAATATATGGTACCATCTGAAGTTGAGTATGTTCGTAGAAGTCGAAGATAAGCAGCGGTGTCTCGGGTCTCGGGCGTCCGACAGGGATAACTATATATGGCACACTGATTATGAGGCTATGCCATGCATACTCTCATGCGCGCGGCTGTCGTCTGTTCCTTGCAGTATTGCGGGAAGCGCTAGTACTCTGTTTTGGACGCAGGGCGTTATGACGGCTCTGCATGACTGCCTGTGTGAGCTGTCAGCCAGCTTCATCCGGCGCTGCTCCGCGTCATTGCATAGATAGAACGCACGGCTGTCAACGAGAAACTCCGCAGCCGGCGCTGCAACCTCATGTAAACCAACAGTACAAGGGGCATCTCCGGTTCGTGGAGGGCATCCGGAATATCATGGAGACCAACTACTTCGGTAAGATTGTACATGGCAGCGAAGTGTAGGCACGGGTATCTGATCGGCACCATGCCACCGAAGGGTAAGGCGATGTGCGAGGATCTCAGCTGAAACACTTTGAACTGGGCCCGGGGCTCCCGGGCCATGAGCTTAAACAAAGCCTGTCAAGCAGGGCCCGGAGCTGTTGAGGGGCTCAGACAAAAGCCCTCACTTTGGAAATGTGCACGGCCGGTTATTCACCGCAAGTCGTGACCTGGACCTTGTTCAGTTCAGTCTATCTCAGCTGAAGTATACCACCTCGGTCTAAGCCCCGATTCCGTCTTGACAGGCTGTATACCCTCCGTGTAAGGGAACGACTACCCACTGTGTCGTACCTGAGACTGCACCCGCAGAAAGCCTCGTCGACCCCAGTCCAGGTCCATGACATCCAAGGTGACGTCGATCACAGGAGAAGTCAGTATGAGCGGGATTACGGCAATCGGACACGGACGGAAAAGAAGATGTCATTCTTAGCGTTTAGGGAGTGGAAGAATAATTCCTCCAACCGGTATGAATCACTCACGCTGATTACCAGGAAGTACACGCACCATGTGTGACTACATCTTCACGCATCGACTGTTTGATTGCTATCACGAGAACAAGCATGCACCAACGGGCATGGCAATACATGATTCAGCCGATAGATTATTTAAAGCCTGCTTCAATATGTGCGAGGGCGCAGCTACCTGATGGGCAAAGCGGTATTGTTGCGGGCTTACACCAGATAGGAGTCCTTAGATAGATTATGCATATCTCTCTCGGCTGTATCTGAGAGCCGGGGCCGAGAATCCACCCCAAACTGCAGAGCGGCGACGGAACCCGTAGTCACAACATCTTTGGAGCTCGTCGTGGTTGTTCCTCTAGCGAACGCCATCTGCAGACGTTCAAAAACCTCGTCAGACAGTGTCGACTTGGGAGCATATCCCGATGTGCTCACCGATCCGAGTTCCAGTCCACTGACCATAGTCCCAGTGCTCGGGCCGCTTCGGACTGGTGGGAAACGGTACGGGCTCAGGTCAGAGCTACTCATATCTCCATGTTTTTGGATGAAGCGTCTTGAAATGAGGCTGTTTTCGGCTATGTGAGCGCGCAAAGCAATTGTGATCAATGAGACTCACGCAGTGACTAGCGAGTTGCTGTAGACTGTGTAGTTCGGTGAGTAAGTATTCAGATGGTTGAAGAGGAAGGAAAATCATACCTTGCTGGCCCACGATAAGGAACACTGTGAAAACGACATTGTGTGGCATGACTGTGGACTAATAGTCCGACAGTTTCAGCGACCCTTGTTTGGTCGCATAGAACACGAACGACGGGGACGTACCAGAATGACAGAGCCTATGTTGAAGATGCTGTAAGAGGTTTCTGTAAACTTAGATCTGAGGACGGTAGAAGGGTGGAACGGTACCAAATCAAAAGCCCTACATCATACTCAGAATAACGATCGTCACAGACATTCGAATTGCGTACCACTGCTGATAGTATACAATATTAACAGGTTTATCATTGAGCTGGTCCTGAAAATAAATATCATTAGGCAAAAGCACAACACATGGATACAAGAACAGCTGAAGTACCGTTGTATGCCAGTCCTACTGGTGTGGAGAGCGTATATGAGAACGCCAGTCAACTGGATGTCCGCCGCTAGTAGGAGCGAAGACGCAGTGATAGCACCGCCGCCCCACTGTTAGAGCATCAGTGTACGGGTGAGATCAACAACAAGCTCGGCATGCATACTTGACCGGCGGCCACGTCTTGAGTCAGATTTTTGATGGCAAAGCTATGAAGTGTCAGCTGTTTCGAAATGCGCTAATGATGGCAAATTCACTGACGCTTCAGCGGTAAGAGCTGATGGCGATCAGCATATAATAGCCATAGGTGTGGCGTAGACAGAATTTGAGGCTCACCGAAATATGAACCTGAAATCCGGTGCAATGAGCGACAGACATTGTGATGGCAAACCCGTACGCACCGACGCCACCGAGAATCAAAAGGGTCTAGAAATAGACAGGGTCATCACTCTGGGTGCATTCAGAAGATGGACTAGCTCACTGGAAGAATGGCAAACTTTCTGTACTGTTCTCCGACTGCACAACCGTCAATATGTCACGCTGCAAGTTGCTCAATGTGTGCCCACCCATGTACACTCTCCGTACAAAGAACCTGAGTGAGAAACGGCGGAGTATGAATTAGACTGCTGCTCGAAACCTGCGCACGCAGAAGGACGTACATTTCAACGAGCAAAATGTTGACAGGCTTCCAACCCACCCTCTCAGTCAGGAACTAGCGAAAGGTGAACCGCCAAGTTGAGTGGGGACTCACACCGATGACGGTTGTAGCCTGAGGGACGGGATGTCACCATCGAGATCTGAAGTTATCCTATAGGTAGTAGTGTAAACATACCGTCGCAGAGCTATGCAAAATATTAGTCAAGCATGGTACGAGAAAGGAGACCCACGCACACAACAACGCCCGACAAGAGTATCCCGGGGTTGAAGTAGTTTGATACCATGTAGAAGTAGCTGGTGCGGTCCCATCAGCTCTTAAACAGGTGAAAGAGTTGATGATCCATACCAGGTATGTATAGCCAAGGCAACAGAGACGGTCTGCAAGGCACTAACCAAAACCTCAATGAGCGTGCCCAACGTCGCGTCTCCTCTTCTGCTTTACTACTCACACCGTTATGCCAACCTGCAACCAATGTTAGTTACATTATTCGACAAGGGTCCGAGTTGCTGCGATCCTCACCCAAATCTTGAGGTATGGCGGGTCCTTCGGATATAGCCGAAAGTAGCGGAACGTCTGCAATAGCAGGATCCCTTCCAACCTAGGTACTCGTAGAAGGATGAGTTCCGAGGGACTTGGTAGCCGCTGAGAGTATGCTCACAAGGTACTAATGAACGAACCGACAAGCCATGAGCCAAGCCCGCTGTAGAACGCAGATGGAATCAAAGACGAGATGCCGGCAAGTGTTTCGCGCGTGGAGTGGAGGTCATTTTCGAACATGGCTGCGGTGGGTCTGATTAGTCGACAATGGGAATGTGAAGTAGTAGTATATGTGTTGCTGAGGCGGTGCCAGTACAAACTTGAATCGCCGGCGCCTGCACGACTCGTCCGTTTGGCTTCCAGCATGGGGCCCGTCGGCTCTCCATCTCTGATGGGGCGCCCATTTGGACAGGCTCAGTTACCTTCAAGACCATGTAAGGAATGCGATGTGCCGCGGTCATTTGGGCTAGAGCAGCGCAGGCCCCGAGACGCTGTCGCGCTCGGAGGAAATTAGAGCGGTTCTGTGTTGTCGTCTGCCACTGTATCTCCGCATTTGGCTGAAATATATTCCATCAGCCAATTGCGGCCTATGACGCTACCGGCGCATTGTACAGTTGGGATTGGTACTTCCGGTATGCTGCACTTGATGTGACTACCAGACTGTGGTGATTCGAAATCGCATGGCGAGAGCGGAGGAAAAGACCAAGATTTCAATGCCGCGTGGCAGAGCCGCGCGTGCTACGTGATTGCCAAGCGCTCAGGCGAATGTGGAAGGGGTGCGCGAAGCGCGCATCCTTGAGCTCGACGACATCTCTCCTCCTCCCACCGTCCACGTCCGGCCTCACGCCCCGCAAACGCAACCCACTTACCGCTCACAATGCTTCCCAGTGTCCGGAAGCGTTGGAAATCGTGCGACGAACTGTCCACGCCCTCGATTCGGAGCTGTTTCGTCCGTGAGGAGAACGCCTCGTGCCTGGGCGTGGTTCCGCGGGCGCTCCATTTCCCCGTGCGGCGTATCAGGGTTTCGTTCCTTACCAGTCCTGGGAGATCTTCCCTCAACAGTGGATGAGACAGCCAAAAGGAAGCGGTACTGTAAACGTCCGGCTCGGGCAGGGTCCAACCGCACCACGGGACGGCCTGTTCTTAAAAAAAACTGTTCGACGCCCTACATCCATCACAGTTCATGATCACCTTCCACTGCGGTACTCCCAGTGATCCTTCAGTTCCCCGATATTCACACGTCCGCTCGAATCCAGCTTCCTAGGAGGCTGCTGATGCTTGAGCTTCGTGTTCGGCCGTGAGGACCCCTGATACCTGGATCAGCTTCCATACTCCATACTTGAATATGCTTCCCTCGACGGCAGACCTTGCAGGAGCTCCCTCCACCAGACAATGAAGCCCGCAGACGACTCTCAACCCCCTGCAGTTGTCAGGAAGAAAGGCGTCGTGTTCTGGCTTATTTTCCTCTCAATTTGCGTTGCTCTTTTCCTGTCCGCTCTCGAGCTCACCGCCGTATCCACTGCTCTCCCTACCATTGCTCACGACCTCCATGCGTCTGATTTCGTCTGGGTCGGCTCTGCATATGCTCTCTCATCTACTGCGTTCTTGCCCATGAGTGGCGGCATCGCCCAGATGTTTGGCCGTCGACCCGCTCTTCTGGGGGCGCTTGCGCTCTTTGCGCTCGGCAGCGGTATATGTGGCGGCGCGAGCAGTATGACGATGTTGATTGCTGGAAGAACTGTCCAAGGTCTTGGGGGTGGCGGAATCCAATCATTGTCGTCCATCATCGTCGCCGACTTGGTCACCCTGCAAGAGCGTGGCCTATATGCAGGCCTCTTCGGATTGTGCGTTGTTCAGCGACTTCGTGTTGTAATGAGCATGATTGACAAGTCTCATTGCTACAGGACATGGAGTATTGCTGGCGTGATTGGTCCCGTCGTGGGTGGTTCACTTGCCAATGAGGGCCAATGGCGTTGGCTCTTCTGTAAGTCTCGCCTGCCGTCGTGTGGAGGCTCTTACTCTACTATTATCCGTTGACATCTTTGCTGCGGTTTCATGCAGACTTGAACCTTCCTATCTGCGGGGCGGCAGCCATATGTACTCAGCTATTCTTGAAGCTTCCCACACCACCAGGCACTTTTTCCGAGAAAATGAAGCGACTGGACTGGATGTATGTACTTCCATGTTCATACTTCCGACGTCTAACAATCACCATTCAGCGGAAACACGCTCATTATTGGAGGAACAACCGCCGTGACAATTGCGCTGACCTGGGGAGGGGTCACTGCACCATGGCACTCAGCCCAGGTGCTTGTCCCGCTCATCGTCGGGCTTGTCTTACTCGTTCTCTTCATGCTATGGGAAGCTCGATGGGCGTCCCACCCTCTGGTATGATACTGGCCAACTAGCGGATCCCATTTACTAACTCATATTGCGGGTGGATGCAGGTCCCCATATCTCTCTTGTCCAATCGAACTAGTCTCTCTGGGTGGGTTCACTGTCTCCCTAGAAAGGTCCGAGTCACTCACTATCTCCGTCATCCTAATGAGTAGATATATACAGACATTCTTTATCAGCGTCGTGGCCCTCGCAGTCGTTTGTGAGGATCCATTTGACTGGTTCTGCGAGGAACGTCTTGTTGATATAATTATCTACGTCAGACTACCTTCCCACATACTTCCAGGGATGCAAAGACGCGTCGCCAATCAAGTCTGGCGTCATGTTGCTTGGACTCGCCACTTTGGCTCCCGCCGCGCTCCTAGCTGGAGTTATCGTGAATCGTTCCCATCGCTATCGGCCTCAGATGTGGTTCGGATGGTGCTTGGTTCTTCTTGGGCTGGGTCTCCTCACCACTTTGAAGGCGCAAGACGGCGTGAGTCGAGCGATCGGATTCAGCGTTCTGGTTGGCGTTGGTATAGGGTGAGTACAGGGATGTCCTTGTCAGCTCCCTCAGCTCGTTGACGTGTAGCAGGTCGCTGTACTCGACGGTCATCTTCCCTGTGCAAGCGCCACTCCCTGTCTCGCAGAATGCTCGCGCGCTAGCGTTCTTGCAATTCTTGCGATCCTTCGCGGGTGTGAGTCTGCACACAATAATTACATACCGTAGAACCTACTCATGTTCAAATCACGCTCATAGGTGTGGGGTGTCACCATCGGTGCAACTGTCCTACAGAATGAACTGCAGCAGCGCGTCTCTCCATCCTTCCTGGAGAACTTCCCCCAAGGCGTAGGGATCGCATACGCCATCATACCCCAGATACCCTCCCTTCCGGGCCCACTGAAGAGCGACATTCACGGCGCGTTTGCTGGAAGTCTACAGGTGGTGTGGCAGGTGCTCATAGGCATCGCCGGGATTGGTTTCATATCCTCGCTGTTCATGGAGGGCTTGCCTCTCCATGCGGCTTTGGATGAGGAGTGGACCTTGGGCAACCAGGAAGCTACGGAGAAAAAGCGGGACCCGGAGGACGTTTCCCTTCCTGAGATCCGTGCAGCTAACCTGTGAGATCGATTTAGACAGTTTTGCGACCGCGATGTTGCATGTTCTTGCTTACTGTCGTGATCCCTGATGACCTGAGAACGTCGTTTGTGCTGAGGTTCCTGGGCACTCCGATTCGAGTCGGAGGTACTTGAATCCACGTGAGTGCGCTAATACGACCCCTGTAATCGGTCTATGACGAGTTGACTACTCAATTTGTGAGTCTTTTCAACGTGTCTCTTGACGGGTAGTATCCGAGACTCGACCACGCACTGCACAACATGGCCGCAGAATATGTCAACCGTTCGGTAGACCGTGGAGTTATCGTTCGCCACCGTTTCCATGGAGTGTTCCTGATTCCTTTACGCACCGGATTCCAGGAGATACGAGGGCTTAAAGCTGCTTCTTGACATGAGGTCACCGTTTCTCGGAATATATGTATGTTGATCTTGGGAACTACAGGCTTCGACTGGTCGGGAAAGACGGTCTACGTATGCACCCACTACCAACCCGGTGTACTTTGGGCCGATGCGATTCTCCTAGTTCCGGCCCGAATCAGATACGCTCGTAACGCTCATCTGAAGGATGCATCGAAAGAACTTTTCTCAGCTGCTGAGGTTGCACCACCCAGGTTCAATACATATTTTATCTCGTGTGATTTAACGTCTCCAGAGAAGACCATCACACGTCTAGCGATCCCCACCGGCGCTGAGCGAGGCGCGCGTGAACATCGCTACTGTAGTCTGTCATGGTCTTCTGCGACGCTGGTCATCAGACAAATCAGATACACGTGGTATGCCTGCTGGCTGGATGATCGAAGGCTGAGGACTAGTGGGGGGATAGATAAGGGATCAGACTTGGTGTGATTGCGATGGGCTCTTCAACCGCGACAAGGTGCGTCCTCGTTTCATGACTGTTCCATAGTCGGCTAGTTATGAACCCTCGTGAGTCGTCGGCCTACAGCACGAATTACCTGGCCAGATTTCGCCAATCATAGTCCTCCTATGGCATCCTCTCATCCAAACTACGCCTTACCTGCGCCGAGCGTCGACCAAGCATACGTCAAGGTATCCGCGCTCGAGGCAGGCATTATTCACCTCCCCCTTCAATTTTTTGTCAAAGGGGCATCGCCGTCCGAGGTCAGCGTGTGCCCCTCCCTGGCGTTCTATATTCGCCACATACCCTCCGGAGACAGTATGGTATTCGACCTGGGTCTGCGGCGCGATGTCGCTAGCTACCCGAAGGTAGTTCAAGATCACATCGCCAGGTTGATGCCGGTGACGGTTCCACAAAGCGTCGAGGAGTCTCTTGCCAAAGGTGGCGTGGACCCGAAGAGTGTCCAGAGAGTTGTCCTCAGCCACCTGCATTTCGACCAGTGAGTATCCTGTCACCTGCGCGCTGTGAGTACTCGTTCTCCGAAGGGTGCTTACTGGGTGCGATAACAGCATCGGAGATGCAGCCCAGTTTCCCAACGCGAGGTTCACGATCGGGGCGGGGGGCCGTGAGCTACTTCAACCTCAGGCAGCCTTCCCTCACAATCAGTCGTCGGACATACTTCAATCTACTGTACCTCTCGCTCGCACTGACTTCCTCGAAGAAAGTCAGTTCAACGTGTCCATTGGCCCATTCACTCATGCGTACGACTACTTCGGAGACGGGAGTCTCTACATCATCGACGCAGTGGGGCATCTGAAGGGACATATCAACATCCTCGCTCGTACGTCTTCCACAGGCTCGTGGATTTACCTAGGAGGAGACACGGCACACGACGTGAGACTTCTCACCGGGGAGAAGGAAGTGGCGTTCATGATGGATGCTGGCGGGAGGATGTTGTGCGCGCATGCGAACAAGGACGAGGCGGTGGAGCACATACGTCGCGTTGGGTCTCTCTTGAACGTCCCGAAGGTGCATGTCTTGCTCGCTCATGACTGGGAGTGGTACGAGGAGAATAAGGGCGGGGAAGCGTTCCTTCCCGGAACAATATCGCCCATGTAGAGAACATTTGGTGTGTACGTGTCGAACAACAATATGTGATGGCTTACGCACTGTAGTGGAGCATGGTCGTAGAGATGTGGGCCTGAAATTGCATACACTCAGACATGGTGGGGACACGAAGGTGTGTTGGTTGCGCACCTGCACTTATACCCATGTACCGTAGCTGCAACAAAGTCTAGGACGTCTGAGCTCCAGCCGGGGAGGTAGAGAAAGACAGCGTCTTCCGCAGTCTCCCCATCAGCATTCAGTTCACAGTTCGCGGACCCGAGACATAGTCGCTGGCAAAGCTGTCCTAAACATGAATGCCCGGAAAGCGTTTTTCATCTCACGATGTCGAGCCGCATAAGTGGAAATGGGCAATCACACACGTCATGACTTCGTGGTCGCGTCACCAGATCATAGTATCTGTAGCATTGGAGAAGAGAAGCAAGTCAAAAAGCAAGTCAAAGTATACCACTGGCGGAGGACGCCGGACTACCGCCTAGCTCGTTTGACTCTGCTCTTCGGGAACTCGAGAGGAATCTTCAGAACAGCGCGCTTGGTTTCCGCGGCGGCATCAGGCAGACCGCGTTCTTTGAGTTCGGTGGGACTGAGCTTCTTGATGGTACATCCTGCAGGAGGGCTGTTGGTACGTAGATAGCAAATAGGAGGTAGGAGACGCACCAAGTGCCTTGAAGAGGCCGCTGACCCTGGAACACGAGCCGTTAGACCTAGTCCAACTGCGGACGGCGAGCATGGCAACTCACTTCGCGGGTGGCATACTCAAGTCGTGCGCGATGGTCTCCGTATCGGTGGCGTAGTCGTCCACACGAAGGCACAGGGCGAACATATAAGTCAGGAGCATGGTTTCAGTTTGGGGGGTCATTTTTGGCCTGCACGAGAACGCGAAGAAAACGTGAGACTCGGCTTGACGATAAACAAGGAGTGCGGCCTACTTATTTGTACTGCGCTCTTTCTCCGTGAATCTTGAGATAAGACCGTCTAGGATGATCGAGGGAACACTCGCGAGCTTATGTTGAAGCGCGTCCTTGTCGCCTACAATCCGCGAGTTCTTGTAGAATGCTATCATGGCCGAGACATAGTACACGGTCTTCCTATGGTGTCGCGAGAAAAAAGTGTAAGCGTCTCTGAGCGCCAGCTGTGATACTACACTCACAGCTCGCGCTTGTCCGGCTTGGGCGCCGAGTAGATGAATCGAAGCTGTAGTTTTATCCAATCTGACCGGCTCCAAGGGAGTAGGGCGTAACAATCTTGCATATCATTTGCATTCTTGAACGCGTTGACTGGTATGGCATTGAACTCTGCTTCGGGGATAATATCATGAAGAGCGTAGACGTCGTGCGGGCGCTGAGCGTCCTCGTTGTAAGGGGGAATAAGACGATTGCTGTCTGCGGTGGCTTTCGCTTCCTCTGTGAAAGAGATGTATTGAAGTTGGAATGGAGGATGCGAGACATGTTATGGTTGATATAACACACCTGCTGTAGGAAGGGTATCAGTGTTCGCCATGATGGTGTCCTGGAGGTGACCCGCGACGTCCTTCATCGCGTCTATGTCCACCCTGTTCCGTTCGCGAGCACGGATGGCAGCTTTTGCCTTCTTCGTACCGAAAGCCTCGCCCAAGTTGTTGCGCTGGGCCATGCGCTCCCCTGCGGACACCTCTATAGGGTTCAGGTTCTTGAGCGCCTTGACTTGCCGCGCAAGGACGTGAAGGGGAGCGGGACGTAGAACTGTGGTGTTGGTGCGCTTGTCATGAACGCCGATCATGTAACTTCGTGGAAGAGGTTAATTGAGAAAGATATCATCAGTGATTCGTTTACGCACCTGCAGCCTGTCGACTGGAGAGGACCATCCGCCGAGAAGAACTCTACTGTCTCCCCCTCACCCGCTACTAACGTAGGCTGGGTCTCGAAAGACGCGTTCTTGTCCCTATTTCTCTGAACGTAGCATTTAAAAGCGGTGGACTTCGGTGGCTGGAGCGATGGGAAGCTTGCTGCGCGCGAATGTCAGGACAATGCCGCTCCGGAGGCAAAATTGCGTTACTGACCTAAGACGGGACCCACTTGACTCGTAGGCTGGGAGCTCAGTTGCAAGGTGACCTTCTCTGCGTCTTCTGCACCGCGTTTGCGCTTTTTGCTCACCGCTGACGAAGACATGAGTAGCAGAGGATGGTATGAGTTTCGTGGAGGCAATGGTGGTCAGATCTAAGACCGACACCGGGCGCTTGACCGCTTGTGTCCTTTAGACTTGGACTACGACCCGTCCGACCCGCTGCTCGACTTGCTCGTTTCTCTGCGGGCTCTCTATTGTCTTGTGTGCTCTCTGACCATCCTAGCTTTTGCGTTGTCTTTGATCTTCCAGCCGCGCTCCGCTTTGCGATATAACTTATTCTCATCTGGAATTTCGCAGCACTGAAGCATACTACCTTCCGGCTCGCTCGGCAACTAATTTCTCCCAGTCCCGCAGGTGTAATCAGTGCACCGACATCGTGCTCTCTATCGCAGGCCCTGATATGTCCACCATGACGGAGCTTCGGATCGAGAGCAAAGCTTCCGCTGCTCTGCTCTTCGAGTCAGACGCCGTCAAAGCCGAATCCTTGGAGTTCGGGATCATCAAGGACGAGGAAATGCTAGACTTATCTACGTCGACCACCGTCAAGGAAGACAGTGTCGAACCAGACATGTCTCGCAGCACATCCGTAGAAATGAAGCTGGAGGATGATTCCTCCAAGTCTGCCACTCCGTTGTTGCCCGCCAAGTCCAAGAGCAAACCAGGCAAAGCCCCCGTCCAGTTGATTGGTCACCTACCACGAGCGGAGGAAGAAGCTATGACGACCTTCGTGGAGATCCCCAACAACCACTATCAATATGGTACGCTAGGAAAGTCGAGGGAGGCCTTGGAGAGCATGACGTGTGATTGCCAGTACGAGCATGGTCAGTCGACGTTCCCTCCTATCGCTTCCCCCCTTCCTGGCATCCTTCTGCTACACTCTTCTTTCCTCTGCACTATCTCTGCACCATAAGTGAAAGCTGCGACTCGAAGTGGCCCATCTACTCGTCCCAGGCGATGGCTAGGGCTGTTTTTGTGTTTTTGCATCTCTTGGTTCGCACGTAGCCGCGCGCTATGCGGCCACAGCATCGTCCATTCTTTCCTCTGGCCTCGCAAGTCGCCTATGGTAGTCTTATTAACTTCGCTGTGCTGGTTTTCCTTGGAATTGCTCATTTGAGCCGCAATTCTGTCAGTTCACATCGGTCTCACAGCTTACTTCTTGCACCCGAATAACGTTGCTGACTATCTCATCTCTCAAACGTTATTTTCCAGGCGTCGACGACCCCGATATGGCTTGTGGTCTCAGCTCCGACTGTATCAACCTCATGACCCAGGTGGAATGCCTGCCAGATGACTGTCGGTGTAGAGGCTACTGTCGGAATCAGCGGTGGGTGGCGCTGGTATCCAATAAGGGTATCAAGATCAAGGAGCTCATTGAAGGTCAGGTTCCAGCGCAAGCAGTACGCACCAATAGAGATCGTCAAGACAGAAATGAAGGGGTTCGGCCTGCGTGCTGCGGCGGATATACCCAAGTACGCCCTGCCTATCTTCTCGTTGAGAATGCCTCTGACTGTATCTGCAGGGATACATTCATCTATGAGTATGTGGGTGATGTCGTGAGCCAACCTTCGTTCATCAAGCGAATGCGCCAATATGCGGAGGAAGGTATACGACACTTCTACTTCATGATGCTTCAAAAGGACGAGGTACGCCATGGTCGTTCTACTCTACTGACGGTTCTCGTAGATTGACGTTGAGCACTTTGCAGTTCATCGACGCCACCAAGCGCGGGGGTATCGGCCGATTCGCCAACCACAGCTGCAACCCGAACTGCTATGTGGCGAAGTGGACCGTCGGCAGTCACGTCCGGATGGGCATCTTTGCCAATCGCGTGATCAAGAAGGACGAGGAGCTGACGTTCAACTACAATGTGGACAGATATGGGTATGCGGTTCCCGAACATTGAAGTTGTCAGTAACCTAACGCTCGGCCAGTCATGAGGCGCAACCGTGCTACTGTGGCGAACCCAATTGTGTCGGCTACATTGGCGGAAAGACCCAGACGGATCTTGCTGCGATGGACGACTTGTACCTGGATGGTAGGTTTCATTGCTGAATTGGAAAATTGTGCGCGTGCCTAACGTAATTTTTGTAGCTCTCGGTATTACTGACGAGGTGGAGATGTATGGGCTCAAGGGATCGAAGAAGAAGAAGGGCAAGAAGCTGGATGAAGACTTCATCGTATGTCTTCCCTTCTGTCTCTATAGTCACAGGGCTAACACATTGTGTTACGTGTCGCCAGCCTGATCTCAAGCCAATCGTCCTCAAAGACGTGCCGAAGGTTGTATCGGCTATGCGTCAGACTCAAAGCAAGAAGGTCTTGGTCAAGCTGCTGACTCGCATCAAGGTACATTGTTTGGGTCTGCGACGGTTACATGGGATGAACTGATGAATCTGTGCAGTTGACGGAGGACCTCGCTGCGCTTCGTCAGATCATGCGTTTGCGAGGGTTCAGTCTGATGACGAACGTCCTCGAGGACCATAGCCAAGATGTCGAGATTCAGACTCTGGTAGGTGTGATGTGCATTAGCGACGTACTACGACATTGACGCCGTTTACTAGGCGTTGGAGTGCATGTCGACTTGGCCGCTTATCCAGCGGAACAAAGTAGAAGATTCTAAGATCAACGTACCTGTGGAGATCTTGGCACAATCCGACAACGAGGGTCTGGCGACGTTGGCAAAGAAGGTATGTGCAGTGGGTTCTCCGGCCTTCTCGCTGTGACGTCTCACTGCGCACCGTTTCAGCTGCTGGCTCAGTGGGAAACGCTTGAGTACGCTTACCGGATACCCAAGCGCGTCAAGGGCGACAACGACGATGCGCCAGCGGAGCAGGTTATCGTCTTCAACTACGACGAAGATGAACGGCCATCGAAGCGGTCACGGCCAGAAGACGACTTTCCGAAGTTCGTCCTCCCTTCCTTCTCGAGGCCACGGCCGAAGACGCCGCCGCCGATTCAATACGTCGTCGAGCCAAATTCGTATCAGAAGACGATGATGCAACGCCAAGTCGAGGCGCGGAAACAGCAGGAGATTGCGGACATCATCGCGAAAGCGGCCAAGGCCGCGGAGGAGGCGAGTAAGCCTAAGCCGGCGCCCCAGGCGGCTACTGTGGACTCGCTATTCGGCCTCCTACCGAAGAGAGAGCCTATCAGGGACTGGGACAGGAAGAAGAAGTCTTCGTCGTCGTCACCCAAACACAAGAAACCGCACCAGTCAAAGGAGGAGAAGGAGGCGAACAAGGAGAAGAGGCTGCTGAAATTGATTGGTGCGGTTGTCGTGAAGTGCATGTCCAAGTACAAGGACCAGATGGACCACGAACACTTCAAGAAGTATGCGAAGGAGGTGTGTATTTACTGGTGCTCCATAGGCAGAGGAGCTGATCCTTGATGACGTGAACTAGCTCACGCACATCATCGCCGAGAAGGAGAAGAAGTCGCAGAGCTACAAGGACGGCAAGCTGGACTCTCTATCGGAAGAAAAGACGACCAAGATCAAGAAATTCGCGAAGGACTACATTGCGAAGATTCTCCGCAAACTCGAGAAGTCGGGCAAGCGACGGAAACCGGTCTCCACTGCTGGCTCTTCCTCAACACCAGACAGTCGCGCGGATAACGACGACGCCGTCGTAGCAGCTGCTACTGTTGACGAGGTCATGGGCTTCGACCCCAACGACGATGGCGACGACAATGACGGCCTCGAGCTCAATGGGCATGATGAGCACGATGACGTGAAAGACGATCATCATCGAGAAGATGATGGCCCTTCGGGGTCAGGCAGCCCAGAAGACGCGGCCAGTGGTTCGGGGCAGACGTCGCCGACACTCGTCTGCGATCCTCGATTACGATTGGACTCGGAATGTGACAAGTTGGACTCGCAACTGAAGCCAACGTCACAGCCGTATTACACGAAGCCGAAGGTTCACTGCGAGAATGTGCACGATGCATCATGGTAGCATGCCCGACCGCGTCATTCACGCTTCACGTCGGAGCGTCGTTGCTGTTTGTATTATGCTTTGCTCGTTCACAGACGTACGTGGGTCCTTGGGATGTTGATTGACTTATTCGTTGTTCCAGTAAGATTAAGCTCACCTAGTTACACAATACCAATGTACTCTTCACACCACTACTTCAGATTTGGGGGTGAAGTTGCCATGATCCACATTGAAACTTAGTGGTTCTGAGCAAGGATCCTGCGCGCTACGGGAACAGAACGTCGGCGACAATCACGGCGCTGTGGGCAGGGTGCCTGACAACGGTGAGACAGCAGTCAAGTCAGTTCACCGCCTGCGCCGGAACAAAACTGCTGCGTAGGCGTGCTTATATAAAGCCTGTGCTCTAGTTGACTCCAAACTCTCACCTCATACGCTTGTGGAGGTCTGCAAGTCTCGATCGGGTATCAGTAATCTTGCTATCAGGTAAGTAAGCATCACTGCAATTTGTTTCGGCGTTCTTGGCTGATTTCGAGGTACTATTGTATAGCCGTCTTCCATGCTGCCGCCGGCCGAGCGAAAGTCGTCTTGTAGGCTGCCAATCGAGCTCGTACTACAGGTCCTTGAGGAGGCTCAGTACGACGATCTCGTGCCGCGTCACAAATGGCTCAAGAACTATGCCTTGGTTTGCCGCTCCTGGAGCATTCACGCGCAGCGGCTCTTGTTCGCGTACGTCACTCTTCTCAAAGGGTCGGACCATTGCCGCAAGTTCAGGAAACGAATGAAGCTAGTCGAGTCGAGGGATCCCGAACGCGCATCGCTTCTAAAGGAGTCCATCCGCACCCTTGGGATGGCTGTGGACCACCAGGACATTTATGCGGACGTGATCAGGTTATGTCCGAACCTCCGGGAGCTCCATCTCTCTCTCTATCATGCGTCATTTCGCCGGGATGTTCTGGAGGGCCTCGCTGCCGCAGGATTACGAATCAGCGCTCTTCGCGTGAAGGCTTACCATTACTTGCCGCTCTTCCAACTACTTCCCCTCCTACCAAGTCTCGAGTATCTCGAGGTCGACTGCAATAGTATCTTGGATGACATCCTCGCGATACCCTCCATTTCTCCCCCAGCGTGGCGGCTGAAATACCTGCGCTACGCCAACATGCGCCGACATACTCAGGCATTCGTCGAATGGGTCCTTTCCGCGTCTGGATCAGTCGCACGGGAGTCGCTAGAAGTGTTAAGCGTCATCTCTCCCTCATTCGAACTGTCGTCGATTGCCGCTCTTGGCCTTGCGGACACGCTGCTCTCCCTCACTGTGCAACGTCTGCACGACAGCGACGACCTCTCTGTCCTTACACGCCTCCAGGAAATCGCCGTCGTTCACCCCGAAGGCACCCCACCGACGTTCCGATTGCTCCCAGCCGGAGTCGTACACATCACACTGGACGCGATTCCCAAAGCTACGGAATGCGAAGTTGCGGTTGCTGGCCTCGCTGCGTATCATGAACGGTCGGGCGGGGCGTTGCGGGCGCTGACATACAATCGTCGATGCAATAACAAGGTTGACGGGCTGACGGACGTGGTGATGCTGTATGACTTCTGTACGGCTCGGAAGATTCAGTTTCGCCTGATGGATCCGCCGTACGGCTCTTATCCCGGAGAGGTTCGTTCTTCATGTCTCAAGAGTAAAGTGTCATGTGTGGCTGACTGTAGTCCACGCATCAGAGAACTTCTCTACAAGCAGCCCAGTCGTTTCCGCGAGAGCTGCCGGTATCGTCGCGTAGGCCCTCACAGTCGCAACTTGAGAAAGAGCCCCCATGGAAGGTGCAGGGGAAGAGCACTTTTGCACGCAGGATCGCGAACGTGGCTGGAAGAGCGTTTGGAAGCTCAATCCCGCCTATGGCATTAGCGAGGGGTTGACTGTGTGTATCGAATGTGTTCACTGTATTCCACGCATAACATAATAGCAATGGACGCCGGAACCTCATATCTACGGAGCGATGTAAATGGCCATGTTACAAGTCAAGCATTGGCCTATACCTTTTTGACCGACTCTGAGTCAGAAAGCGTCCATCCTCTCTCCAAAGACGATTACGTAAACGAGCCATTCCCAATGTGTCACCCCAATCTTCTTGCAGCAAAACAGACGGCAGATACACACAGTCTGGCATTCCTAGTCCGTCACTATACTCAAAGATGAATCTGAACGACTCGGATCGGAAATGACTTCGGGTGCTGCAACACTTGTTCACATCACGTGCCGTTGAAGTTGCCCAAGCATAAGTAAGTATTTACGTACACCGGCAGCCTTCCTTCATCCCTACCAGGTGGCAAAGGTCGCAGTCACATTTGCTGAGGTGAGTCGCTACTCCGAATATAACCATACTTGACTAAAGTCGTCTGGGCAAGTGAAACGCTTCGTTCCCCTCGTACACGTTCAGGAGGCAACGCGCCATGGCAGCTATTGGTGAACAGATGAACCGCGAACTCGTGGCGGTGTCTTTTGAATCCTTCATCAAGCACTATGCTCCTTTCCAACCCTCCAGTGAGGTCGTCGATAAATGTCTCGAGCGATTACGCACAGATGGCCTCGTCGTGCCTACGACGGCAGGGGTGGATCGGTTCGCCGGATTCCAGGAGCCGCCATCGCGACAGTATACATCGAAGAAGGTTGCATATGGTCACCTGTCCGCTATATGCCGTAGCATCTCTCAGGTCGCCGTGGACGGCAGAGTGGTCAGTTGTTCCTTGGTTCAAGAACCCGACACCACGACCGGTTCGCAAAACCCGGAGGCGTCTCACGCGATAGATGGGTATTGCAAGCCTGTCACGTCGACGGTGCCACCGCCAAACTCCCCCGAGGAGGAAAGGGAGGATACTGCTGATATTGCCGTCAATTGTGAATGGATGCTGCCGGAGAGCGACGATGATCCCGTACTACGTCACGGTGATGTCATTCATAGTCGTTTGAACGCAGTGTCCGCTGCTCTTCACGAGATGAATAATGACCCTCGACGGACGCATATGTACAGTGTGCGTGCAGTCTCTTGAGTTACTCATCAAGACATGTGATCTTACAATCTATCCAGACAACCATCGAAGACGAAGCGATGTGTCTTTGGTACTGGTCACGGTCCCATTCAGCAAAGTCGGAAGCAGTCGATATCACACAAGTGCGCGCGTTTGCAGTTGTTGACGCGTTGATACACTGACACTTCGTAGAATGTACGTGCGACTGTACACGGCCTCGTTTCCTTCTTATTCGCAAACATGGTCGAGCTTGGCTATGACGAGAACATCCAACGTCGCCTCGACCCGAAGGACGGACGCTGTTATTACGTCTTCCGCGTCGGAGACCGTTACTTCAAGTCGTGCCGATGCATCTTCGAGCATCGGAATACTTGCATCTCGGGGCGCTCTACCCGGGTCTTCAAGGTCGTCCAGGTCCCTAGTTTCGACGACATCACGGAGGAAGCAACAGCATCGCCTATGGTCTTGAAAGACGTATGGCTTGACACTGGGGCGAAAACCGAGAAGGAGATCCAGGACGCCATCTTCGCACGACTCGATACAGTGGCGCGCAAGCTACAGGATGGTCAAGATCTCCCTCATTTTGCCGGTTTGGAGGACGCCGAGAAGAGCCTCCTCCGTGACGCTCTCCGCGACGGGAATTACAAGCAGCACTTCCTGACCATCGATTGCGACACACGAGGGGCGCTGTCGAAGTCACTTCTCCAGGATTCACGTCGCCCCGGAAACCTCTTCTCTCCCCGGGCAAGTGAAGCAGTGCCTGCCAAGTTTGCGATCGGGGATACTAGTCGTTCGCAGCTACGTCTCCCACCGGATCCTCCCATACAGTGCCCTTTCCCCCCACGATCCTTCCTCGCCAAGTATCAGTATCGCGTCGTGTTCAATAACAATGTGACGCGCTGCACGATGTGGATGATTCCGGGAACGTATTCATGGCTATGAAGGACTGCCTTCTTGGTAAGAGGTCCAGGATGTCGCGTGTCGTCCAAAGTTGATGCATACTTTGATGCGCAGCGGTTCAGCTTCTGTTCCTTGCCGGCTGGGTCCACCGCGACATCAGCTCCGGAAACTTGCTCTGGGATCCCAAGTCAAAGAGAGGCATCCTGAGCGACCTCGAATATGCCAAGGAGTTCAACGCTGAAGGCACTGGCAGTTCTGACCCGAAGACTGTATGTACTGCTTTTGTCCGGTGGCTTTTGCGGCCGGCTGATTTGGTATGCATATCTAGGGCACTCCGGCGTTCATGGCGACAGAAATCATAAGCCAAAGGCTCATCCTGTTCTCCAATCCCGACCTCAGCTCAGAGGATCAGATGAACGCTCTGCTTAAGCCCATCATCCACAACTTTCAGCACGACCTCGAGTCCTTCTTCTGGCTCCTCCTCTGGATACTCACTACACGCATCTCCACGTGCACCCCCCCACCTGAAGTCCTATACGGATCGGCTGTTCCTAGTCGATGGACTTCTCGACCAGACGCACAGAGTCACACCGTTTCGAGAGAGGACGATCGGCTCTGAAGTCCAGGGCCTCCTTCCCGACGACATGAAGGTCTTTGCAGGCCGTATACGTATCTTGAACCAAGCGTTGTGTGATGCGTCCATCAAAAGGCACCTCGATTTCGGTAACATTGCTAGCTATGTCCACCTGTATGGCGCAGTGCGGGAGGCATTGAACTTCTGTATGGCGAAGTCCGATCTAGTGAAGCTCGCAGCAAGCAAGGGAGAAGCCGATACGAATATCCTGAAGCGCAAGCGAATCAACTGCATGCAGCCTGTCCGCGCGTCACCACACCGCACATCCTTGGCTGCACGTGCTAGCAACGATCGGTTGTTACGAGTGCGTTCCCTTGGGTCAGTGGGTTCCGGGCTATATCTACGCTCTCCAGTTAGTTGACTATTCTTCTTCTTCTTCTAGATCCCGTTTATTGCCCTGCGAGGCCGAGCCTCATGGTAGGCCGTAAATACAATACTGTCTACTTAGATGGTAATGGTGGTCGGCGGGACATGATTGAGCTGGATGCTCATGCAATCTAAGGGTGTGTGATGGGAGAGGTGTCGATGAGGGGTGGTGCAAGGGGACGTGTCAGAGTACAGACAGGGGCGAGAGTGAGACGTTCGAGTACGCAAGTGGTGTGTAAGGAGGGGGCAGGGCTCAGGAAAGGTGCGTTGCGGACGTCCACCCAGTCCCGGCCATTTAAGGCAAGTGAACGGGCTATAAACCTGCGGCCTCTGGGTACGATTGCGTCCCTGGGTCTCGCCTCTTGCGCCGGTCAGGTCTACGTCTGGCAGTGTCCCCGCCATCCGTCAGAACTCCCCCGCCCCTAGAGCGGGCGGGCGCCCGCAGCGCACGTTTCCGGTGGGATCTACGAGAGCGTGGTGGTTACATGCAATGGGGTCAGATCTAGGGCAGCGAAGTATACGTAGTAGGGTATGTAGTGGCGTCTTCCTGAAACAAACAAGCAGATAAGTCAGCATATGTGTGTCGCCTCCTGGTTGCGTCTTCCGCAACGCTGTGTTTGACGTCGTTCCGTCTCCTTGGGTGCTACATTGCCAAAGGTGTGTTGCAGGCGTCGCGTTGCGCTGACGAACTTGAGTAGAGGTTGTATTGCTGACGGTGTATTGAGGAGGAAAGATAGTGTGCGGCCACGGCGTCCGAGACGGGACAGGTGTTGCGAGCGGGCTGAGGCATAGGCGGGGCATTGTAGTAGGAAGTGTATCACCGTCTCCGGAGCTAGGTCGCATGCTGGACAGCGCTTCGAGTCGACCCGCGCGATTCGGTATAGGTGGTCGTTAAGGGGAGCGTGTCCGGTACGGAGTTGGAAGAGCGTCGCAGCCTGTCTCCGAGACAGGGCTCGAATCTTCTTCATATAGGCGGGGGAGGGGAGTGATTGATCGATGAGATGCAGTTTGCGACCGCGTTTGGAGGCCTTCCATTGCTTCGCATTGCGCTCGACGAGGGCTTCTAGGTGCGCCTGTTTCGCCTTGGTTGCACTCACAGGGAGTGATTTGCGGAGGAGGGGGGGGAGGGATTTGGGCGTGCTTGACTTTCCCTTG